CCGGGTTGGGTCCCACTGCCGCTGCCCCTGGGCTGCTCCCTCTTCCAGACGCATCCGGAACTTCCCGCTGCACAGCCAGGCCCTGACAGCAGTTCCGCTGGGCTCTGCCCGCCTGATGGACCAGCTGGAGGACCGAATCCTCAGCCATGAGAAGACCACGGCGGCCCTGGTGGAGCACGCCTTCCGCATCAAGGAGGACATCGTCTCCACGCTGCACCACATGCAGCACAAGGGCGGCGGGGACCGGCTGGCCAGGCAGCTGCTGGAGGAGCACATCCGCAACATCACCGCCATTGTCCGGCAGCTGAACCGGGACATCGAGGTCAGTCCTGGCAGCTCCCGGCCGGTCCGGGTCACGGGGCTCCCCTGAAGGGACGCTTGCTTAGAGAAAAGGAGAACGCCTCCCGCGGAACAGCCGCCCCTCGGCCCACCACGTCATCCCCGGACTGCCAGCCCCCCCCCTTTCCTGCCCTCGCCCACGTTGAGTGACGCCCGCGGGCTCCTCTGGAGAGGATGCCCCGTGGACCCCCCCCCAGCTGAGAAACGCTGCTTGCCCCAGACGAAGCGCCTGGCTGGGAATGCCGAGACCTTGTGCGCCAGGAGCTGCTTCCGCTGGGCTAGACCTGCCCCCCCCCCCGTTTCCTCTCACGGCTGGCATTGGGAGGTAGACTGCTGCTGGCCTGGGGTCCTCCCTGCTCCCAGGCGGTCTTCCCCTCGTCCCCTTTGGGAGACAGCCGTGGGGGGATTCATTCTCGCGTGTCCTGCGCTTGTCAGGCTCTGCAGGAGCAAATCCGGGTCAGGGACAACCTGAGCTATGGAACAAACTCCACCTTGAAGAGCCTGGAGATGCGGCAGCTGTCTGGGCTGGGGGACCTTCGTGGACGGGTTTCCAGGTGAGGCTCCCCCAGGCTCAGCGCAGGGGCCCCTCCCTGGGGGAGGAGGCCCCCGGGGGGAGGCCAGTCCTAGGTGGCCCTTTCTGCACCGGAGAACGAGGGGGCCTTTGGCGAGCAGCGGTCCTAGCCCTGCTGGTGGGCTCTGGGGTTGAGAAGGTGCGCCGAGGGTCAGAGCCTCTGGGAGCAGCCGGCCTGGGCCCGAAAGTTGCCAAGGAACTTGGAGAGGGCCTGGGCAAAGGAGGCCCCTGTGACTCTGCCCTCATCCCGCCAGGCTTGTGGCTCCTGTGGGCTTTGGCATTCCTCCCTGGCAAGTGGGGGTGAGGAGGGGGCCGGGCGGGCGGGCGGGCGGGGGGTTCCACTGGCTCCAGACTCTTCCTTCCCCACTTCCCCAGCCTGCTCTGGGGCCCTCCCCTCCCCTCCCCTCCCCGACTGGAACTATGTGGGGCTGTTTCCTGCCATGGGGACTGGGAACTTTTGGGGGGAAGTGCTTGGCTGACAACCCCCCCCACACACACACTTTCCGTCCCAGGTGAGTCACCTTCTTCTTCTTCACCTGATGTCCTTTTGCTCAGTTGCCGCCAGGGTCTCCCTGACCCGGCCCTTCCCCTAACCCCCCCAGCCTGGACTCCATCCTGCCTTGCTCGGGAGGAAGGGGAGCAGGTCCAGCTGGCTCCTCCTCCTCCTCCTCGGACCTTTCCAGCAGCCGCTCCCCCTTCTCTCCGTCCCAGGTGCGACGCAGGGCTGGCCAGAGTCTCCGCCGAGCATAAGGTCACCTACGAGAGGCTCCAGAGCCTCAGCAAAGAGCAGCAAGCGACCAAGTTGGTCCTGGAGTCCAAAATCAAGGAAACAGAGATACAGGTGAGGGGCTTGAAGCGACGGGTTGCCCCTCCTCTCTCAGGGGGGGCCCTATCCGGGGAGGCCCAGGGAGCTTGGGAGCCATGCAGGCCCCCGCAGGCTCACCAAGCCCCTGCCCAGAGGCGGCTCTGGCTTTGGCCAGCCGGACTTTGCAGGGGGTCCCCAGAAGACGCGTCCACAGCCCCCGAAAGAGGAGCAGCCCAGCTGCAGCCCTTTTCGCCTGAAACCGGCTCTGGTCTGGGAGGCCCCTGGGTGGGGGGGCTCTCCTGGGGGGCTGGCTCTCATCCCCCCCCCTCCTCGTCTGCCGGCCTTCTCTCTTTGCCCCTGGAGGAGCCGGGAGGGTTGAAGCGGCAGCTCAACGAAGGAAGGTTGAATTCCGGGCCCAGTTCAGGCCGTCTGTGTGGCTTTGGGGTGGGGGGGAGGCCGGATCCGGCCCCCCTCCTGCAGCCTCTCTGCTTTCTCTGGGAGGAAAGCTTCGGTTCGGAGATGGCTTCGGTTGCCATGGGAGACGCAGGAGCTGCACGGCTGAGCCATGGCTGTTATTGCTGCATAAAAGGGTTGTGAAGGGGGGGGGGGGGGGGGGGGGGGGGGCTTACTTTATTTATCTCTCTAACTGAGCAAGGGGGAGGGCGGCGGCATTTCAGATAAAGAAAGCAGGGGCCCCCTTGGGTCCCCCCTCCTGGGTTCGCAGCCGTGGCTCCCCCCTCCACGCCTCTCCCGGGGCCGCTCCTGCCAGCTGGGCTGGCCTGCCAAAGCCCCCTCACCACCTGGAGAAATTGGGGTGGGGGGGCATCGCTCCAGAAGAATGCACGAAATCGCTTCCTCCACACACTCGTCAGCAGCCCCTGGTCCACCTGAGCCAGTGGGGAGGAGATCCCGCACCGTTCCAGCCCCCCCCCGGATTCGCCCCTCTGTGTCCCCCGCCCTTGTCAGGAAAATGGCTGCCAAGTCTCTGTCCCTGGCCCCTCTTTGGGGAGTCTTCCCAGCGCCATTCGGTGGGGGTCACCCTGGGGCTTCCCCCGGATCCTCCTGCCCCTCTGGGCCGGCCTCTGCCGAGAGCAGCCCTGGGCGAGTTGGGGGGGGGGGCAGGGGGCCCAAGGAGATGGCGGGGGGTCCATGCTCCCCTCTCCTTGTGGGGCTCTAGCAGGGAGCGAGCAAGGGGGGGCGATGCACCGCTGCAGGCAGGCATAGGAGCACCCCGAGGCATTGGCAGGCCTCGCCATCCTGGCTGGGGTTCATGGGACCTGGAGTCGGTCGCTCGAGAAAAAGGCCCTTTGCTTTGCAGGCAGAAGGTTTGCTCAGAAGGAAAGCTAGCCCCCCCTGGCAGGGAAGAGACCCCCCCAAGTGCCGCCCCCCTCCGTGGAAACAGTCCCCACAGTGTGGATACCTTTAAAAGCAACCCTTCCCAAAACAGCTTGCAGACACGGCAGCCGTGGGCAGCTCCTTAGGGCCTCTAGGGCTCCCCCCACCCGCACCCCCGGGTCTGGGTCAGTTCAGCCAGCCGCGAGGGTCCGTTTCTCCCACCGTTCGCCTTTCCCTCCCTGCCAGATTTCGCACCTCCTGAGCAGAATCGAGCAATCCGTCATGCAACAAGACGCGAAGCTCAAACTGGCCTACAAAGAGAGCAGCCAGCAGCTCCATCTTCTGGAGGCCAAGTAGGTGCCCCCCCCGCCCCCCCGAGGATCCAGCGTGGGGGGCTCACACAGTGTCGTCCCCCGTCCCCCCCCCCCGTTGCAGTAGGGCGCTTAGAGCCGCTTCCCCCCCGCCCGAGCCCCTCCGGCTGCCTTTGTCTGCGGGGTGGGGGGGTCTGAGCTGTTTCTGCCCTCCCTACCAGGCTGCAGGACGCCATCGACCGCCTCACCAGCCAGATCTCCTCTGCCCGCAGCCAGATGGAGCAGGAGCAGGAGCTCTTTGAGAAGAAGTTCCTGGACAAGATGGACCAGCTTTTCCTGGCCCTCAAGGAGAAGAGCGTACGTCTCTGGTCTTGGGGGGGCGCCCCCCCGAAAGCCCCCCCCCCCGGAGCGATAGGCAGAGCTCAGTCGCACCGGCTGGCCACACAGTGCAAACTTGCTCCACTTGGCACAAGGCCAGGGTTTTGTTCTAGCCAAGGTCCGTGGGGGCGGCCGCACTGGGCAGACCCGAAGGGACCTGCCCCTTCCTTGGTTGACCCGCTGCCTTCCCTGGTGCCCCCTGCTGGGGAGGAGCTCTTTCCCCCGCGGGGACTAAGTTGCCCCTGCCCGGGGGAGGGGGGGCTTTCTGGGGCAGGTGGGAGACGGCTCTTTCTCCCGCTGCTTTGGCCACAGGAAACGGACAGCCGGGCCCTGGAGGGGCAGCTGAGCGAGATCCACGGGAAGCTGCAGAAAATGGAGGCCGGGCAGAAATGTGCAGCCCGGGAGCCAGAGGCGAACCAGGCCGAGGACAGGATGAGTGTCCAGCTCAGCAAGCTCCAGTCTGATTTCACTGAGGACATCAAGGAAGTTAAGGCAGAGGTCAGCGCTGGTAAGGCGACCCGGGGGACGCCCAGCCAGCAGGAGGGCCCTGGAGGGGGTGGGCCGGAGGGAGTAATGGGCCAAGCCCCCCCCCCCCGCAGTTCCATTGCCAGGGTTCCCCTCCCTGGGCAGAGAGAGGGAGGCGGGGGGGTGCTCCCCTGGGAAAAGGGTGGCCCAGCTCTCGCCATTCCTCTCCCCCGCCCCAGGACTCAGCACCATCTACGAGAGCATCGGGTCCCTGCAGCAGGTCCTGGAATCGAAAATGAAGCTGGACAAGGAGGAGCTGCAGAAGCAGATTCAGCAGCTGAAGTGAGGCGCAGGGCAGCTTGCAGGTCCTGGCCAGGCAGCGAACCGCCCTCCTCCTCCTCTTCCTCCTCCTCCTCCTCCTCCTCCTCTGCTCCAGCGGGACGGACGCTGGCCGCCTGGGCCAAGGGGCTGCGGGCCACGGACTGTAAATAAGAGACGCCGGGCCCGGCCAGAGAAACCGCCCTTCGCAAGGGGAACCGGGCGGGACGATGGCCAGGCCTCTCTGGATCTCGGCTCCCCGCCTGGCCTTTGGAACCGGGCTTCCTCCGGTCGGCGCTTCCTTCCGCCCTCAATGCCAGCGTGCCAAGAGCCGAGGGAAGAGACTCCGGAACCCAGCTGGCTGGCTTCCCTTGAGAAGGACGGAGGTGGTTTGCAAGCGGCAAGACGGCGCCAGCCAGGCGGGGAAGGGCCATTCACCGCAGCCTCCCCTGGGCCGGATACTGGCTCTCCATCCCTGATGGCTCCTTCAGCTTTCACCCCCAGAGCAGGTCCACAGGGGTCTCTGGAGAGGCCGTGGCTGGCGCCTGCTTGCACTTCCACATGGCCGGGGAAGCCCATTCTTGCTCGGGGCCTCTCCCTGCCACTTCTCCCCACCCACCCACCCTTTTGACACTTCTGAACACACCTGCGTGTCAGGACGGTGGCTCCTTTTCCGGCCTAGGTGCCCTCTGGCTTCCCTGCAGTTCTCGTGCCAGCCCCTCCTACGCCCTGCCGTCTCAGCTGACCACTGCCAACGTATTCGCTCTGCAGCCGGGGCCCAGCTCAGTGCCAGGAAGATGCTAGCCCCTCCCGAGCCACACCCGGCCAAGGCCTCCCTGCGTACCTGGGGCCCTGCCATCCTTGCCGGTCGCAAGCCTGGCCCCACCGAAGGCAGCCTCCCCTGCCCCAGCCAGCGGGTGACCCTGCCCTCCGTGTCTCCTCCTCCGCGCTGTCCCAAGGGCCCACCTGCCCTCCTCCGCGAGGATCCTGCCAGCAACAGGTACTGGGAGCCCCTTCAGCAGCTCCAGCCTCTCCCGGGTAGAAGCCTCCAGGCTCTCGCCCAGCCCCCCTGGGCCCTTGGGGCTCCTGCTGACTGGACCCAGGGAGGGGAGGCAGATGGGGGGGGTTGCTTCTGAATGCCGTGAGGCTTGGAGCTCGAGGAAGCTGGCCTGGGAGGTGGGAGGGGCGTGTTCTACAGGAACCTCTTTGCTCTGCCTTCACCTGAAGCTCAGGTGTTTTTGGTACAAATCTTTAAGCAAAGTGGCATTTTCACAAAATCACACTCCTCGCTCCCTGACGCCTTTCTCAGCTCATGTTTTGTCAAGATAACATTTGGGTTTTACAACATCTCACAGCGGAGAATCTTGCAATGTTTTTCCTCAGAATGTTAACCTCATGCAGAAATGAGATAAGTTGGTAAAATGTAGAATATTGTCATGGAAAGTCAGCCCCAGAACCAGATCCAGTCAGGGACATTTCAGCCCCTTCCCCAAATGTTTACCTGGGGTGGGAGGTTGAAGAAATAGAAGTTCAGCTCTTTCCCTAAGAGCAAAATGCTTAGCTTGGATTCCACCTGTTTCCTGCATTACAGGGGCCATCCGTGCGTTGCCCCTCGCCTTGGGCAGCGGGGCCTAATCAGGAAGGGCCCCCTGCCCACGGGGCTCTGGACATCTTCTGACCTTCAGGCATGATGGTCGCCCCTCATCTTGGAGGCCCTGGCTCCGATGCAACGGCTATGGATGCATGCAAACGCTGTGGCTCACCTTGCTCAGGTGTGCTTCTCTTCTCTTTCCATTGCAGAAACGTTGCAGCCCTGGCTGGCCCCCAAGACCAGCTTCCTTGGGCACGCTGATTGCCCGTGGAGGGTGTGACCAAGGCAACCAAAGATGGACCAAGCAGGACATTCTCCGTGCCCCCACTCGGCCAGCTGTCCTGGAAAACCTCCCTGCCCCACATCTGGCACTGGGAGAGCCAGCTCCCGACCCCTCCTGAATCGCTTGGTGCCGAGGGCCTGGGCAGCCCTCCAGCCAGCGCGTCTCCCTTTCCCTGGCATTGCTTGGGTGGGGGAATTGATCACCCAGGAATGGAGGCAGGGATGGATGCAGGAAAAGCTGGTCAGCCTTGGGGCTGCCTGCCGGGACCTCCCAGATTCCCCAAGTCCCAGCCAGCGTGCAGGAAGGCTCCCCTCTGGCGCAGGGGTAGAGCGTTGCGTTCTGGCTTTTCTAGGGGATGCCAAGCCCCAGGAGGGTCTCATCCGTGATGAGAAGGTGGGCACCCCTTCCTTCCTTCCTTCCTTCCTTCAACTGCCAGCCGAGGAAGCAGATGGCGTGGCCGCGCGCAGCCCCAGCCCAGGCCTGGAGCTTTGCCCCCCGAGGGGGGCTGTTCCTGGGCAGCTTCGGTTCGGACTGCCCCGTTGATGAGGTGCCCGGCAGGCTTAGCTGGGCATCGTGCCAAATCATTCCTCCTGGTCTCACCAGCCAAATTTATAAAAAAAGATTCTGAATTCATCCACAGTATAATCACGATGAGTCGATTTCTTCAGATATTCCTTAAATGTCTTTTTGAGAACAAAATGTATGTCTATATTTGTGTAATTTTTGACGACTTAACAGACACATAAGATCGGCAAGAAGCCCAACAGCCTTTTATAAATAAGGGCTCAACAGTTAGTTCCTTGATGGTGTAAAATGTTTAATAGTGAAAAAGAAACCGGGGGGGGGGGGGGGGGGGGGATAGATAACGGCCGTTACAGTTTTGGAGGGTATTTGACTGTAACCCTCCGTGCGATTCCCCCGGGCTGGCCCTGCAGGAACTGCCCGGGGATTCCCGGCCGTGGCGTTTGCGCTGCTGCGCTCTTTGTCGGAAAATTTTTTGCAACTCTGAATAAAAAGTGAACGTTTCGCGGCCGCTCCGGCCCTTCTTGCGCCCCGCGGGGGCTTCGGCGAGGCCGCCCCTGAGCGCGTGCAGAGGCCGGCGGCTCCTCCTCGCGGGGCCGAGCCGGAAGGGCTGCGCGGGCGGAGCGAGCGGGGCGGCCAGCGAGGGGCGATGCCGGCGGAGGAGGAGGAGGCGGCGGCGGCGGCGGCGGGCGGGCCGCGGCTTTGCGGCTACCTGCAGAGGCTCTCCGGGAAGGGCCCGTTGCGGGCTTTCCGCAGCCGCTGGTTCGCCTTCGACGCGCGGCGCTGCGAGCTCTGCTACTACCGGAGCCCGCGGGAGGCGCAGCCGCTGGGCCGCCTGGAGCTGGCCCACGCCGCCTTCCGCCTGCACGACCCGCCCGCGCCCGGCCCGGGCCCCGCGCCGCAGCCGGCCGAGGAGGAGCGGCGCCAGGAAGACGGCGCGCCCGGCACCGCCTTCGAGGTGCACGGCCCCGGCGGCGACGTGGCCGTCCTGCGGGTGAGCAGCCGGGCGGGGAGGGGGCCGGGAGGGGCGGAGCCTTTCCTCCCCGGGGCCCTCCGAGAGGCTCCCGGGTGGGCGCTGACCTGCCCCGGGGCGGAGGGCGGGTCGCCCTGGACGGCCCCTCTCTGCCCGGCAGAGACGCCCCCCCCCCGCGCCCTTGCCTGGCCCGCACCTGGCCAGGTGGGTGGAGGTGCCCAGGGCTGCAGACTTGGGCGGGGCGGGGGGCGGGCGGCCTTCCCCGGCGGGACCCTGAGCAGCCCTGGTCTCCGTGCCAGGGGGCCCTCCGTGCCGGGACTGCTCCCTGGGCTGAGCCAGGCCCCGGGTGGAGGCCCCAGGCGCCCCGCTGCTGCTGCGACCTCCCCTCCCCTCCCTCCCCCTCCCAGATGTTTAGGGAGGTCTCTCCAGATGGGTTTGCACAAGCCTCTTGGATGCACTTTGGATCACAAGGCCCAGCAGGGCAACCGCTCCGGTCTCTCACTCGGCTGACCCAGAGGGGGGCCTGTGGCCAGTGGAAGGCAAAAAGGGCTCCCAGTCAAAGCTGGTCGACCCCACCCCCACCCCCCAGTCCGGCCCTTTAGACGGACTCCCCACCTCACGAGGCCTTGAGCTCTCTGGCTCTCAACACCTGCCTGCAGCTGCTCTGGAGGGACCTCTGAGGTTTTTACGCCAGCAGCAACTGCCCGGCGGCCGAGGGCCTGCCAAAGTCCCAGAGGTCATCCAGCCCCAACCCCAAAGGCCAGTTGTGGGAAATGGCAAGATCTGAGAGACTTTGACTCCGTTCCTGGAGCAAAACCCCTTGGTGGAAGTCCCTGGTGCAAACACAAAACCTTAAAGGCTGCTAGGTGTCAAATTTCCTCCTCGTGCTGTGGCACAATAGCTGAGCAGTTGGCCCATGCGTCCATAGCAGGGTTCTGTCCTGGGTCAGACTAGATGGCCTCCAAGGCTCCCCCACTCTGCCAAGCCAGGTGATGACTGCCCTCTTGGGCTGTCTGTGTTCATCCAGCGGGTAGGGAAGCTGCCTCTCCTCTCGGCTGCCTCTGGTCCACTCTTCCTCCTCCTCCTCCTCCTCTGTGAGGCCTGTAACAGGCTGGGCTGCCTGCTTCTCTCCACCGCAGGCCGCCACGCACCAGGACATGATGTACTGGCTGCAGGAGCTCCAGCAGAAGAGGTGGGAGTATTGCCACGCTCCCGATGCTGCCAAGTGCTACGGCCGGACGTCGCCCACCCCGGCCGGGTGCTCCAGGGGCCTGGTGGCCAAAGACAGTCCCGGTAAGGGATGTGCCTCTTCCGGGGACAGGGCCCCGGGGCCGCGCAGGAAACGGCTTGGCAAATGAGGTCACAGCTGAGGCGGCTTCCACATGGTGTGCTGCTTTCACGCCGGCTTCGTGGTCCGCGTTTGGGGGCCGGATGGGAGGGAGAAAAGGCTCCAGCCACGTGAGGCCAGGCACCTCAGGCCAGGATCCCTGGACAACCAGGCCCAGTTGGTCTTCCTCACCTGGAGGTTGTGCTGGGACTGCAACTCCCAGCAGTGATTGTTCACAGAGTGGTTCACAAGCCAAACAAGGCTCTGTGAAAGCTGCCTCAGCACATTTTTCCCCCATGGGTCACAAGAAGCTGTTTCCTTGATTTGGTGATCATTTTTTGCTTGTTTTTCTCCACAACAGCAAACATTTATTTAAAACTGTTACTTTAAAGTTAATACATATTGGAAATTGTGGTGAACGTATACGTGCCTTTGTGCATGTGTATACACACACGCACATCAACAAATACAAGCAGTCAGCTTTTTGCTTTATTTTGCGTTAATGCTGGATTTCTAACTGAATTCTTTTGCCCAACGTTAATTTTTTCCCCAAACGTATACCAGGGACAGTATGCGTATGTGCATGTATTCAACAGAATATCCAGTTGCAACAATAACGTCATTCACAGTTTCCCCCCTTTTAACGGCCGTGTTTTTAAAGAGGTGGGCAGTAAATAAAACATGCGGCGCCCTTGTGGGTGAGGGAACCATCGTGCGGTTGGCATTTGCGGGGTGGCTCTGATTAGGCTGAGCTTTTGCCAAGGGGGATGGCCTGTGTGTGTGGGGGGGTCTCCGCCTCCTGTTGCAGGGCCTGCAGCTCCAGAACGGCTGTGGCCCCGGAGGGAGGGCTAGGCCAAAGGGTGGGGGAGGGGTTGCCTTGCCCTTCGCCTCCTGGAGGAGCCAATTCAGCTCAGCAGGCGGGGTCCCCGCCAGCCCGTCTCCTCCCTCCGCAGAGCACTCCGAGCTGCAGCGGAAGAGCTGGGCCTGCCCTCCGAGCTGGCTGTGGTTTCCTCCGGGGAAGCCACTTCAAGGCCTCCTGCCCAACTTCTCCCCAGGGAGCAGAGAGGCCGAGCCTGGGAGAGGCGCTCTGCGGGCAGACAGGTTGGGGAAAGCCTGGTGGGGGGGGCAAAGCGCTCCCACTGACCGTCCCAGAGAGGAACCCTGGTAGTGGCCACACAGAAGCCGGCGACCGTGGCATGGGACGGGGAGCTGTGTGGGCTTGGGCTCGCCCGCTGAGCTGCAGGAAGGGGTTTGCCCAGCTGGGCGTGCGCTGCCAGCGCCGCTCCTGTTAGGGTCGAGCAGAGAGGAAGTGTGACCCAGGCGGCGGATGAATGCGCCTCTGCGTTTCCTGCGAGGGTCCGTGAAGAGCCGAGGGATCAGCAGGCTCGGTTGTTCCCCGCCAGGCCTCCGTGGTGAACCCCCTGGGCCTCCTGGGACTGTTTCCTGGAAGCCTCGAGGTGGAAGCCGGTTGGCAGATAACGGGTGGGGTTTTTGCTCTTCCTCAGATTCCACGGCGCTGCCTGCAAATGCTTCGGCGGAGAAAGCCCGCCACGTCCTCGCCGTCGAGATCGCCCCCACGGAGCTGGTGGGGGAGCAAGCCGCCTGCCTGCCCGCTCCGGGCCACCCCGGCCCCATCAACTTCTCCCTGAGGCAGCTGGGCACCGAGATCAGGTGAGTCCTGGCGGAGGCCAGCTGGAGGGCTTGCTGGGCATGAATGCGCTTCCTCTTCTGGGGCCCGTTTGGACTTAAGGCTGGCGGCCCTGAAGCGAGCGAGCAGACTCTGGAAGGGGCTCCCAGCAGCCAAACCCCCATAAGTGATGCCGCCTGTTCTGAACTCTGAGCTCCCCCAGAGAAGTCCTGTGAAGCGCAAAGACGGCTCTCTTAGGCTGTGCCCCTCAGAGCGCCACGCTGGGCAGCGGCACCTGCCTTCCAGAAGGAGGGTGATGAGGAAGGGCTGCCACGAAACCGAACGTGGAAAGTGTGGTGGCAAAGTGACCTTTTTGGTGTGTGGGTGTTTTTTTTGGTAAACGAACATGGAACGGACATCGGGGTCTCCCCTTTGAGCTCTTGGCCATCAGAAACCTCGGCAATGGCCACCCCCAAGTCCAGCCCCTTTGCCACAAAAGCCCCCAGCTCCCCTCCCACAACCCCCCTTGGCTCTCCACCTGGTCTGGGGCAGGGCAGGCACGCAGCCTGCAAGGCAGCTGGGGGCACTTGAGAAACGACCGGGCCCTCGTGGCACAACAATTGGCAAACCCTTGTGAGTCATAGACTCTGCTCCCCGCCTGAGGCTTGAGTTCCTCCTTGTTCTTCAGAAATGGGGGGCTGGGTTTCTGCCTGGACAAGGAGCCCAGCGGCTGGTGGCCACAGTTGCTGCTGGTGCCCGGTGAATGGACAGCAGCTACAAAGGGAGAAGCCTTTGTTGCCCCCCCCCCCCCCCCCGAGTGTGTGACTTTTGGGACTTTTCCTGTTGGGCATCTGCCTCCCGAGGGCTTCCCTGTTTTGTTGAGCCTTCCCACGGCCTGCTCGGCAGTGCACCCTTCCGTGGGGTAAACAGAGGTTGGATTTGGCAATGGGGCAGGCCTCGTGGCCGCTGCGTCGAGCCCGCTTTCTCCTTGGAAGGAGGGAGGATGTGGGGCCTGGAGGTCTCTACCTTGGGGCAGAGGAATCTGGCAACGCCGGTGTCAGTTTTAAAAAGTCCTTGGGCTCCTGTGGCTTTCTTGAGAAAGGGTGTGACTTCCCCGTGGGACCAAAATAGAACGGCAGGGTCTCCCGGCTTTTGAGCGAGGCAGGGAAAGTCACGGGCTGGTCAGAGCCAGCGTTGGTCTTCCTAAACACCCTTTCTTCACCTCTGTGTGTGTGTGTGTGTGTGACCCTGTCTTGGCTTATTTTCTGCCCCACCCCCACTGGTGAGAAATGGAGATTTGGCGCTGCAGAAGGCCTGTAGCGTGGCAGCTGCAGCTTGACCACAGGTGGCCATCGGAGGGCCAGGCTCCTGGTGTTCACGTTTTAGCTGAGAGTGGCCAGTGGGTCGCCAGCGGGGAGGCCCAGAGATTCTGGCGTTGGGCAGGAAGCGCAGCCGGGCCGATGAGCCTGAGCGCCTGTCCACAGGCGGTTCCAGAGAGCAAAGGCTTGTGATGGAGGGGCAACGGAGCCGCCCTGTCCTGGGCCGCTTTGGAAGCCCAAGGAGGTAGAGACGCTGATGCTCTCGGGCACAAACATTCTCCAGGCGGCCTCTGGGGGGGGGGCGGGTCTGCTTTAAGGCCCCCGGAGAGGAGGCTGGGGTCTTGGCTTCTGCAGCTTCGTGGCTCTTTCCCTCTGCCCTCCCAGCTGCTTTGGCCGTCTGTCCTTCGCAGGAATTCCGTGTCTTCCTTGAGAACCGGAAAAGGGAGCGGCGAGAACCGCAGGAGCGTCTTTTACACCGAAGAATGGGAAATGCTGGACCCCTCCCCCAAAGACCTGCAGGAGTCGGCAGCCCAGGAAGAAAGGCGGAGGCTGGCAGCCGAGCCCAGCAAAGGTGATGCCCGTTGCCCCCCACCGGCTCATGTTCTGCTTTTGCAGAATCGCTCTGGCTTTGCAGGCTTTGGGGGTGGGGGCCCTTTGCCCCCCGGCGTCAGCAGAGGCCCCCAAGGGTGGCGGGATCTCAGGTGGGCCTCGGAGCACCACGAGAATCTTCGTTCCCCCAGAACTGGGAGCTGGCGGGGCCAGACTGGGGGGGCAGTGGCTGCAACAGCTGAGCCCCCCCGCCCCCCCACTGGAGGACGTCCAACGTTTGTCCCGGGAGGTTCGGGCTCAGGGCTCGCAACAGCAGGCTGGGTGTTCCCTTCGATGCCTGGCTGGCTGTCCCGGCTTCTCTCCCGGCTAAGATTGTTTGGCAGTCTGGATGGTTCTGGAAGCAAGAATTGAGGGGAGGCTCCTCCCCTGCTCGGACAGGTGGGCGGCTCAGGGCTCTCTGGACTTGCTCCGTATCGCTGAACCGGCCAACCTTCTGTGTTCCCCCCCCCCCCCCAATGCTGCAGGTGGGACCGGCCTGACCTTCCCCTTTGATTTCGGCCGCCTCCCCCACAAGGCCAGGCGTCCCTCCTCGAAGGACCCCATGGCTTCTGGCAAAGGCCGGGGCAGCCCGGAGGCCTCCCCTCTGGAGTGGAACGGAGGCCGGCCGGCTGCAGAGATGCAGCTGAGGTTGCAGAGGCAGCAGGAGAACCTGGAGCAGCTGAAGACGGAGCTGGCCAGCCAGAAGGTGGGCGGGCGGGAAGGCGGGCGGCTTTGGCCTCCGGCTGTGGTGGAGGAGGACACGTGGACGGTGCCTGGAGGGGAGGTTCCTCCGCTCGCCCGCCACCTTCCCCATTGGCATCGGGGGCCCAAGGGGCAGGAAAGCCCTTCCCTGGGGCAGCCTTCGGCCCACTGGCTGAGGCCTGCCTGTTTCCGCACACCCTCCCTGCGCCCCGTGCCGAGTACGACAAGCGCTGGGCTCCTCCAGCAGGAGCCGCACCCCCTGACGCTGGCTGGGGCTGAGAGGGAGGGAGAGAGGGTGGCCCGGGAGCCCCTGGAGCCAGTTCCCACAGTGGGGACTAGAATCTTGTTCTCCCCACCCCTCAACCACAAGGCCACCGGCTCTCTCTTTAAGCAGGCAGCAGCAGCAGCAGCTGTCCGAGGCCTTGAGGGGATGCGTGGCAGGTGATGCCGGGCTTTCCTGCCCCTTGGGGAGTGCCTGGCGTGGGGCTCCCGGGGGCAGGGGGCTCAGACCAGCCGGGGCAGCAGGTCCACTGCCGCAGGCGGCCTCTGCTGCGAACGGGCCCAGCATCCCCCTCGCTCCCTCCCAGGAACTGGTGCGGCTCCTGCAGCAGACCGTCCGCTCCTCCCAGTACGACCGGTACCTAGCGGGGCCCCTCTGCGACGGGAGCGCCAAGGGCCACTTGGAGCTGCTTCACCAGAAAGACCACCAGATTCTGGGCCTCAACCACCAGCTGGAGAAGCTGAGCCTGGAGAAGGAGCACTTGCAGCAGGAGGTGGCCAGCCTGAAGGCCTCGCTGGGGGAGCTGGGCGAGCGGCTGGAGATGCTGATGGAGACCATCCAGGCGAAGGACGAGGTGATCGTGAAGCTCTCCAGGGAGCTGAGCGAGGGCGAGTCCTCCTGGCAAGGCGCCCCAGCCGACCCCTCCCCGCCCGGCAGCAAGGAGCAGCAGGAGCTCAGCAGGCTGAAGGTGAGGGCCCCGCTCGCCTGCTGGGGGGCTTAGCCACACCCCAGAGCCCGCCCACCCACCTGGGGGAGGGCCGGGATGAGGGGGCAAGTTCCTTGGCAGGGTGGACAGCCGGAGGGAAGATGCGGGGCCGGTTGAGCGGGAGGAGGCCTTGCGCAAGAGCGGTGGGCCCCTTGCGCTGCTCGCCGTGTGCCGCCGTGGTGGCTTCCTTAGGCCCAGTTTCTTAGACAAGCCGCAGTGGGATTCCCCCTCCTCCTTCCCTCTCCAAACGCCCCCCCCTGACTCTCTCTCTGGCGACAGGACAGCCTGCAGGGCTACAAGACCCAGAACAAGTTTTTGAACAAGGAGATCCTGGAGCTTTCTGCTTTACGGAGGAACGCCGAGAACCGGGAGAAGGCGCTGAGGGCAGAGGTCAGACCACCCCCCCCCCGGGCGTCAGAGCCACTGACAGCTGACCCCGTTCTGGGGGGCAGAGACCCAGCGCTCCGCTCTCCAAGCTGACCGGTCTTTCTGCCCCCGGGGCTCTCGCTGGGGTTGGGGGGAAGAGCCGGACTGGGGCGGAGGCTTCCCTTGGCTCAGCCCCTCCCGGTGTGCCCCCACAGCACACCAGCCTGGAAGCCCGGATGTGCCAGGTGGAGAGCAGGTACCTGGTTCTGCTGCAGGAGAGGAAGGCGCCGGTGTGCCTGGAGGAGCCCAGCCCCAACGGCGACCTGGTGGCCCGGCTCTTGGAAGACGCCCTGGAGGTGGACAGCGGTGAGCTGCCCGAACAGGCTTACTTCAAGCCCCACATGGTCAGGTGAGCCCCTGTCCGAGCTTTGCCTTGCTCCCCACCCCTGGGAGTGGCTGCGGGAGGGAGATGTGGCCCTAAGAGCAGCTCCCCCCACATCCCGGCCTTTAGCAGAGGCCAGGCCAGCGGCCGGCCGCTCCCAGGCATGGGTCCCGGGCTCTTCTGGGGCTGGCAGCAGCCCCCTTTCCCAGCCAGAATGGGGGTCGAGCTGAGCTCCGCATCCCGCTTGATGCGGCCAAAGGATTGGAATTTGGCCCAGCCTGGACACCAGAGGCGGCTTCCGTGACTTGCCTGGCAAGGTTTCCTGCCTCTGGTGGCCGTGGCAAGAGACGGGCTCCCTCTCCTCCCCAGCGAGTACGATGTCTACGGGTTCCAGACGGTCCCGGAGGACGAGGCGGAGGAGGAGAGGCTGGAGGCGAAGGTGCGGGCCCTGGACCTGAAGTCCTTGTCCCTCACGGAGCACCAGGAGATGTCCACGGGCGTGAAGTGGGAGAACTTCCTGGCTGCCACCGCGAACAGGGAGATGGTCCGGACGGTGGAGCTGAAGAACCTCGTCCGGGCCGGGGTCCCCCATGAGCACCGTTGCCAGATCTGGAAGTGGTGCGTTGGGCACCATGTGAAGAAGATCAAGGAGAAGAAGCCGCCCAACCACTTCCAGGAGCTGCTGCAGGGCTCGCTGAAGAAGCAGAACCCGGCCTCCAAGCAGATCGAGCTGGACCTCCTGCGGACAATGCCCAACAACAAGCACTACGCCTCACCCGCCTCCGAGGGCATCCAGAAGCTGCGGAACGTCCTGGTGGCTTTCTCGTGGCATAACCCGGAGATCGGCTATTGCCAGGGGCTCAACAGGTGGGCAGCCCTGCCAGGCCGAGGGGCCGAGAGGACTCCAGGCCCAGGGATGGACGCCCCGTCCCGCTTTCTCTCCGTGTGCCCCCAGCTCCTCCCTCGTGCTTCCTTCCTTCCTTCCTTCCGTCTCAGGGCGGTGCAGCCTCTCCTGCTCCAAAGTCCACCGCTGCCTCCTTTGCGCTGAGGGCGGAGGTGGGTCCCCCTCCCTGTCCCGCCTGCCCAGGAGAGGAAGGCCTGCACCCTCGGCTCCCGGCTGGGCCCATGTCAGAGAGCAGGCGTGGCTCGCTTGCCTGGCTCTGCGCCAGGAGAGGCCCTTTGTGGTGCCACGCCATGTTTCTCCATTGCCCACTTTATGGGCCCCGGGAGGAAACGAAATAGGTTTTTTAAAGGCTGCTGCTTTTTGCAGAAACTGGGTTTGGCTTCCACCTCCTGGCTCTTTGGAGGCAGCCAGGTTTATGGTGGTTTGAGTGACCTTGGGAGAGGAAGAGAGGCAGCCCCACAGCTGCCCAGAGGGCCCAGCAAGAGGCTCAGGAGTGGGGGACACACACACACACACACCGTTTCCCAGGCTGCAAAGGCGGGCAGGGGAGAATGGCATCTTCCGATTTGCAGAACTTTCCTAATGTCGCCTTTCAATAAAGTTGAAGTAGCTCACCTGGGCGTGTGTCCTGCCTGGAAGGGCTGCCCGGATGCGTTGAAGGGCGTTTTGGGGGGAGGGGGAGGGAGGAAGGGAGAGGCACAAAGCCCCCTTCCCCTTTCTGAAGCCTTTTCCTGGGCTCTCGGCACAGCCGGGCGCCAGTCCTTGGGCTCTGGGCAGGAAGCAGCGCGTGTGACGGGGTCTCTTTTCCAGGCTGGCGGCCATCGCTCTCCTCTACCTGGAGCAGGAAGACGCCTTCTGGTGCCTGGTGGCCATCGTGGAGGTCTTCATGCCCCGGGACTATTACACGAAAACTCTGCTTGGCTCTCAGGTATGCAAGAAGCGCCTGGAGCTTTCTCCGGAGGCCTCCAAGCCACGGGGGGGTTGGAGAAAAAGGGGTGTCTCCCCCCACCATGAACAGTCTGGGGCCGCCTTGGAGTCGAATGGCCCAGCCAGCCGAGGGAGGGAGGCCTTCGGGGTCCCTCAGAAAGCCCCTCTCCAAGAGGGCTGCCTTCCCCGCTTCTCCTCCTCCTCCTCCTCCTCCTCCAGGTGGACCAACGGGTCTTCAAGGACCTGATGAACGAGAAGCTGCCCCGGCTGCACGCCCACTTTGAGCAGCACCGGGTGGACTTCTCGCTTATCACCTTCAACTGGTTCTTGGTCGTCTTCGTGGACAGCGTGGTCAGCGACCTCCTCTTCAAAATATGGGATTCCTTTCTCTACGAGGGACCAAAGGTAACTCCCCCCCCCCCCGTGGATTTCCTGGGGATCTTCCGGAGTTGGGGGGGGGGGGGGGCTTCTGTGCGGCCTGCTGTCCTTTGTAACCCAAAGCGTCTTGGACTCCCAGGTGATCTTCCGCTTCGCTCTGGCGCTCTTCAAGTACAGAGAGGAGGAGATCTTAAAGCTCCAGGACTCCACGTCCATCTTCAAGTACCTGCGGTCCTTCACTCGCACAGTCCTGGATGCCAGGTGAGGAGGCCTTGCGTGCTCAGCCCCTCACACCTGTTATTAGAAGGAGCGCCCGGCTTTATCTTCTGTGGGAGTAAAACAACGGAAGTGGGGCCATAAAACGGGGTTTCAGCCCTGGCCGCCTTCAAGGAGGACTTGATGGGGTTCCAGGAGGAGATTAAGGGCGGGAAATGTTCGCTCCAACCCGGCTCATTTTCTGTCGCTGGAGCTCTCGATGGGCGGTTCCAGCTCCGCCGAGGCGGGGAAAGTTTGCTCATCCCTGCGGTGATGCCTTTGAGTCGGCTCTTTGGCACAGCCCACAGGGAGGCCTCCCTGGTGCGACTTCCTCCTCCTCTTCCTCCCCCAGGAAGCTGATGGGCATCGCCTTCAGGGACCTCAACCCCTTCCCCCTGCGCCAGATCAGGAACCGGAGGGCCTTCCACCAGGAGAAGGTGCGCCTGGAGCTGCTGGAGCTGGAGGCCATGCGCGAGGACTTCCTGCGCGAACGAGAGACCGACCCAGAGAAAAGGGACCTGATCAGCGAGGATGAGGAAGACAGCTGAAGGGACCCCGGAGGACCCCTCCCGCCAGGGGAGTGGGCTTCTTCCTCAGGGCAGGACCTCGTGGGGATCCCGCCTTTCGCAACAGGGGCGGCTCCTGCTTATGTACCCGGCAGCACTTCAGGCTTCCTTCCAGTGGCGCAGCTGGGCTGGGCGTGCTCCCTCCTTCCTTTCAAGGCCTCCGAAGTGCCTCCAGGCGTAACGCTGAAAGGCCCGCCGCCATTTCATACCAAATCCTCGGCCTTTAAATTGTGCCCTTTGGGAGACACGGTCCTCGTCTCGTCTTTCTTTGAGAAAGGAACCAAGTGGTGATGCTTCATCGGACGCTGGCGGCTTCAAAGACATTCCGCGGGGCCCCTGGGAAGCCGCAGAGGACCCGGGGGTCGCACTGGGGGGTTCCGGATGGCTGCCGTCCCCCTTCTGGGCTGGGGTCCCCGTCTCTGCTGGAACCAGCCGGGCTCCCAGGAAGGGCTCCTTTAAGGGGCCAGTCTTCTCTGCAGGAGGGCCAGCCCCATCGTCGCCCGGCTGCGTGTCTCTCTGGTGCCGGCCTCCCCGGTCCTCCTGGGGAGGGGCTGAGGTTGAGCGGAGGAGACGAGGAGGCAAAACCCAGCCGCGTTTCTCTTGGGGAGCCGGGACAATTCATCCCAGAAGGATCTAGTCGTTCCGCCTTCCCTCCATGGAGCTTTTGTTCTGTAATACCTGCCCCCCAACCCGGAGGCCTTCCTTGGGGAAGAGATGGGGAGGCCGTGCAGCCAGGAGCTCTGCCTCCCTCCAGCCAGGACTTGCCTGCTCACGGCCAGGCCCACGCCGCTTTGGGGGCAAAGAAGGCGCCCCACAGCCCAGGGTCGGTTTGGGAAAGGCAGGACCCAGGTCCGCCGTGGGCGTCTGAATACCTTGAATCCTAGTCTAATGCCCTAATCCGCGGCTGCAACGGGGGAATCCCTCCCCGGTGGAGTTTTGGCCGACTTGTGGCTCCCTGGATCAACGTTGGTGTCCTCGGCTGTTGTGCCAGCCAGTCCAGTGGGTTTCCTCTGCGGGGGGGCTATGTGGGGTGCCCCAGGTTGTGTGACGCAAGGGTTCCTCTCCCTGCGTTCCTCCCCACGGAGCCCAACGGGCTGGACACCTTCATCACCCAGAGGCCTCCCAGATAGTCAGCACGGGGGCGGGAGACCGCCACACACGGCCCCAACACACAGCCCGGTGGCACTTGGAGCTGGGTGGATGCCAACGCCTGGAATTTCTCTGCTGGCTGGGAAGCTCCGAATGTCCAAATATTCAGGTCTCAATTCCGGCTGCCAGCTTTCCCTTCCTTTTTATAAAGAACCCCAAACTCTGCTATGTATTATATGTGCAAAGTATTTTATGCATGGTGTCTATTCAAGTGGAATGTAACACACACACGCACCACTCTTGCAATTTGCACAAGCTTCACAGAGATCCAGTCTATTTTCCTGCCTTTCTTGCTGGAGCCCCTCCCCCCCCCTTGCCTCTTTTCCTCTGGAGGTGGGGTCCGAAGGAGGGATCCCGGATTCTGTGGAGGGAGTCCATTGCAGGGCCCACGGCTGGAGTAACCCCCGGCCCAGGCTCCAGAAGGCAGGGTGGGACGTGGGGATGACAGCGGGAGGCTCTCTTCCGCAGTGGGCAAGTGCAGTTGGGGATCCTCAGAGTTCTTTGGGGGTTCAGAACATTTGCCAAATTTTTGCAACCTCTTGAAAGTGGACCATTTCCTGTCTCTTTTTTGACGGCTTCTGATCTTCATTCCTGTGTCTGGTTTTGTCTGACCAATCCTAGTGAATAAATGCACACGACCACCTGCAGCTGTTAGATGGGCTTTTCTGTTTGCGCCTGGAGGCCGAGTGGGCTGCACCTGCTGTGGCCCTGGCAGAGAAGTGGGTGGCGCCCGCAGGCCGAAGGGGTGCAGGCCAGGAGCAGTGGGGGGTGGGGGTGGGGTCCCTTTGTCTGTGGCAGAAGAAGAAAGCCGAGCTCTTGCCGCGACCCGGCTCAGCCTTTGTCACTGGAGACCCTTCGGCTGCGGGTGTGGAGGGGCCGATGGCCTGGAAGTGGCCACTGGCTCCAACTGAGAATCCCAACCGCCCTTTGCCCTGCCCTGCGCGATGGGCCCTCCCTCCCCGAGGAGGCTCGCCCATTCCTGGCGGAGGGGACCTGGGGGGTGGGGGTGTCAAGAAAAAGGCAACTGGGGGGTGGATTGTCTGGCGGAGGCAAGAAAGGAGCTTTTCCTGTTTGCGCCTTTGACCTCCAAGCCGCCCCGCCCCCCATCTTGCGATGGTCAGCCCAATAGCCGGGGGCAGTTGGCGTTTTTGCCCCAGCAGCTGGCACGGGCAGCGCCCGGCTCCGCAGGGAGGCCCCCCCCCCCCGCCTACCCGGGGCTGCTGGCCGGCCGTTCCGCCACAGGGCAGCAGGGGGCGCCCGCGGCTCCTCCCCGGCCCGGCCGGCCGAGAGAGGCGGGGAGGCGGGCGGGAGAAGGGCCGCCGCTGCTCCGGCCGCCCTCGGCTCGCGGCGCCGCGCGGGGGGGCCCGGCGGGGGGGGGGGGGGGTCCCGGCGGGGAGGGGCCGCTTCTGTTCCCCGGAGAAGCCCCGGGCGGGGGCGGCGAAGGCGAGGAGCGGGTCGGGCAGCCCCCCCTCCCCCCCGGCGATGCCGCTCAGTTGGTGGGACCGGCGGGGGCGCTGCGTGAACGAGGAGAGCAGAAGAGAAGCCCCCCCCCCCCCCGCCCTCGGGGGCTCCAAGCGGGAGCTCGGCCTGCCGGTGGCCCTTGGGCCCCGCGGGGCCTCCCTTCCTCCGGGGCCCGAAGCTTGGCGGTGCCCTCGGCTCCCCACCAGGCGCTCGGCGGGGGAGGCCAGCCGTTCGCGTGCTTCCCTTGCGAGGAAGGCGCGTTTCTCCCCTGAGCAGGAGGGAGCCGCTGGGCGCGGGGCTCTGGGGGCTTGCGGGCCTCGCGGGGCCTCTGCACAGGGGCACCAGCTGCCACAGCCCTGCCCAGGCCCTCCGGGGAGAGAGGCGGCCGCCCCTTGGAGCAGCCTCCGAGCCCTTCTGGCCCACCCCGGCCTCAGGGCCCCTCGTGCCGTCCTGAGCCCGAACGGAGGTGTTTTGTGGCTCCGGTCTTTTCCAGGGCCAGCAGCTCCCCTGGGACCCTTCTGTCCAGCTCGGCCCCCGAAAGGAGCTTCCTCCCTTTGCAAGCGCCTCGCCTTCTCCTGGGCTCTGCCTGGCCTGGAGCAGTGAGGGGTGGGCGGTGGTGGGCAATTGGGGAGACCCTGGGAGAGGAAGGGGCTTGTGCCTGGGTGGGGGGGCTCCTTCCTCCTGGATGTCAGCTTTGCCTTCCGCCCAGCCCCACCAGGCCGTGGGGCAGCTTCGGGGGGGGGAGGGTCAGCACACCTGCAGAGGAGTTTGGGTCCCAGGTAAAGCAGCCCCTCTGGGACCAGGCCACGTTTCTGTGACTGCTGAATCCGTCCGTTGTGTGCCAGTCCAGGGAAGGGAGTCTGAATGGGAGCCGGATGTGCCGTGCCTGGCTTTAAACTCGTGGCGGAAAAGCGGGCGAGGAGCTGAGCCAAGTGAGCGGCTGCTGGAAGGGCCGTTTCTTCCTTGGCTTCCCGGCTTGCGGGGCGCAGCGTCCGGGGATGGCCGTCTTTCAGCAGCAGAAGGTGGAGGAGCACTACGAAATCGGGGAGGAGCTCGGCAGGTAAGCAGCCCCCTCGTTCCCTCCCATCCAGTCCAGTCCCAGCCTTTCCCCTCAGGTCCTGGATATGGTGTTTCTCTGCCAGCGGGGCGCACCCCACCCCAGTGGGCTTTTAGGGGGCTGCCTGGCCGAGGGGCTGCTCAGTGGAAGGAAGGAGGGTCGTGGCCTTGGAGGAGGGCTGGCTGGCCTGTTCAGAGAACGTGGGGGCTGCAGACTCTGGGGATGGAGACGTCGTTTTGGACGTGCCGATGTTTCCACGCTGGGGTGGGGCAGAGGGGGGGCCTGGAAAGATGCCTGAAATACCCATTCAAAAGACGTTCGCTGGTCCGAACTGGTCTGCTTGCTGGGCAGAGATGGCAAAGTGCTTTCCCCTCATGGGAACCAGGGGCCCTTCTAACATTTGGGCTCTGAAGGCGGCTCTGTGGGGCCAGAGCCCCGATGGTGTCAGGGGGCAGCCTCCTCCTTGGTTCCTCCAGGGGAGCCTCTGACAGTCTCCCGGCAGACAGGCGGCAGCTCCAGGCGGTGACAGCCGCGTCTGGCCAGCGAAGGGCTTGCCAGGGCCTCCCGGAGCAAAGAGGCTTTCAGCTGGCAGCTGGCGGGGAGGGGGAGGGGGTGACTGTCCTGCCTGCCTTGCCCCTTGTGCCAACGACGGAGGCTGCCTTCTCCTGGCACAGCAGTCGGCTCAGGCGCTTCTGGAGCGGCCCTGCAGGAGCCCCGCCTGTCTTGGGCCCTGAGCCCCACTTGCCTCCCGTGGAAGGGCGTCCTCGGCAGGGGATTCCTCTGGGGCAGCGGCCGGTTGGTGCTCCTCGCCCAGAGTTGGCTGGCACCTGGGTGCTCGGGGCCTGTTGGCGCTCCCGCCAGCCTTGGGTGCCGTTGTCAAGGGGTGGAAAGAGGAAGCTGCTCAGGGCATGAATCAAAGCGTGTTCCAGTCGTGTAATTTCCTGAGCCAAAAGCTTTCGGAATTGCAATTCTGGCCCAGTGCAGGTGGCCCCTCCCCTGCAGACTGCTAGCTGACCTCACGAGGTCCCGGGTGAACCTGGGGAAGTACTGGGTCGCTGAGGACTGTGGCCCTTCCAGTGATGCCCAGCTAGGCCGCCACATGGTCAGCCGGTGGCCGGTGGGGATTTGGCAGCTTTGGGGGGCAGCGGCTCCTCCTGGGCCCTCTGGGCGCTTGGGATCTGTGGCACTTGGGTCGTGGGGCCAAGAACGGCCCCGAGGTCAGGGCTCCCTGGTTCTGTGGACTTTCGAGGGGCTCCAGGCTTTACTTTGGATGGGTTCCAGCGGGTGGTGTTTGCGGCCGGAAGGTGGGGGTGTCGTGCTTGTGGAAGGCAGTTGGCCAGGGGGGCTCAGGTCCAGCCTTCCCAGCTCCCCTCCGTGCAGCCAGGGGCTTCCTATTTCCAAAAACGAGGGCTGAACAGCCGCTTCCCTAGTTCGCCCCCCTGAGACGGGCCTCCCACCCTTTGGCATCCCCAAGGGCTCCACTGGATCCGGTGGATAACCAATTCGTTGGGAGGGCGTGGTGGTTTGGGAGGGTGCGGGTGGGGCAGACCCCCTCCCCACCCAGGCCCTGCCAGGGGAGCCTCTGAACCCCAACCCAGGGAAGCGGAGAGCAAGGCTGACCGCGCTAAGGCAGGAGGCGCGATGGGGCCCAAGGTCACGCTGGGCGTTGGCCGGTTCCTGGGCACGGAGCCGAGTGCCGGGAGGAAGCTGAGGGCCGCTGCCCAGAATCGGGGTAAAGGGGAGCGATGACGAGGCAGCAGTCAGGACACCTGGGAGGAGCTTCCAGATGCGCTTGGACTGCAGTTCCCATCATCCCCTCTTGCCAGATTAAGGACCAACCCGAGGAGCCTGGTTTCTAAGGCTCTTAGGTTGGCGAGATGAGGGGCCGGCTTGCTGCTTCACCCGCCACTGCCTGGATGGCCAGTTGGGGCCCATCCAGGTGCGGTTGGCTCTCACCGGGATCCAGACAATAGTGGCTCGTGCAAAAGCCGCTGCGAATGAGCCTGAGGTGCCCAGGTGAGGCAGGAGCACCTGGACGAGCGCTGTGTCCCTCCAAACAATGGCTGGGCGTATGTTAAGCAGGCCGATTCTCCCGGGTGCAGGCAAAGGCCGGCCCCAGCCTGTGGAGGGGTGTGGGGGTGGCAGGCTGTGGTTCCCCATCCCAGCTGAGAGTCCCTGTAAGCACCGCCCCGGGTGCAGCCCCCACCAGCCGGAAGGAGGCCGGTCCTCCCAGGGAGCCTCTGGGGTCGGGGACTGGCCTGGCCCAGGAGGTGGGGGGGCAAAGGCAAGCAGCTGCCCCCCACCCCCGTGGGAAGGGGGCTGACTCAGCCAGGGGTGCGTCAGATGGGCTCCCTTCAGCCGAGCGTTTGCATTTCTGGGCTGGTTCTCTGGAACTGGGAGTGGGATTCTGGCCGCTGCTGCTGGACGTGGTGCCTTCCTTCCCCCAGGCGCCCCCCCCCCCAGTTTCATGGCAGCTCCTCCCCTGACTGTGCCTGGAGGGGAGGGCCCAGAAGGGCTGGCCGGCCTCTCCTCCAGCCCCTCCTTCCCAAGGTTTCTGGGGGGGGGTGTCTGGGGGCTGCGTTCCTTGCAAGGCTTGGCTTTTCTACCAAATGCAGGGAATGGGGAGGGGGGCGCAGAGGGGCTCCCGTGTTGCCTGTGGGGCTGCCGAAAGGGGAGGGGCCGCTGCAGGGTTTCCAGCCACCACTGGGTTTGGGCTCCGGGTCCCATGGACCCCGGCTACGGTGGGAGGCGTTCCTCCCTCCAACTGCTCCTGGCGCCTCCACGGCTGCTCTCCGGATTCTGCCCGTTGCTCTTCGCCCTTTGCCGCTTGGCTCCGTCCCCTGGCACAGTCCGGCCGTGGCTCCCCCAGAGTGACCGGCCTTCCGTTTTGCTGCCCCGGCCCCTCTCTGGGACCCTCCAAGCGGCTGCCTCTCATTCCGGGCATAGCTGCTCCAGGTCCTGGGCTATCTTTAGCTCCTGGGGGGGGTCATTCTGGCCACCAGGAAAGGCAGCTGGGGGGGGGAGCAGGGAGGGGAAGAGGAGGCCAGCTGGATCGGCTGCCCCCCCCCCCAGGCCTCTTGTGCAGCACCCAGGGGGCCTGGCTGGCAATGGGGCACCAGCCTTGGCCGAGGAGAGCCGGGCGGGAGGGCCACAAGGCCCGGGCTCTGCTCCTGAAGAGGGGCTGCTTCCTTGCGGCCCCCACACTCAGCCCAGGGGGAGGAGGAGGAACCAGCAGCCTGGCTGAACGAGGGACCAGTCGATCTGGGGTGGTCTTAGGGCACCCCCTTTGACCGAGGAGGAGCAGCCCAAACAGATTTGCCCTAACAGGCCCCGGAAACCTGCTTTTGCGGGGCTGGCTGACATTGTGGAAAGCAAACACAACGCAAGTCCTCCCCTGGGGTCCCACAGCCACAGTGATGGCTTCAGCCCTCACCCCCCTACCCTCTCCCCGGTCCTGCCCTGCCCCCTCCTGGTGCCCTCAGCTGGGTTGGAAAACAGATCCCATCGTCCCCAGCTGGCCTTGGTGGGCAAAGAAGCCTGTTTTGCAGCGTGTGTGAATGCTCTGCCGCTGAGGACATCTGGGCAGCATAAAGAGGGCAGGCAGCTGGCCCTCCGCCGCCTGGGGCTCTGGACGAAAGGCTCTGGGTGGTGCCACCAAGTCTGACTGCAGCTGCCAGGAGAGGAGCCCCCTCCCCGTTCTCCCCCCGCCCCCCACTTTCCTCTCTGCCTTTGAGCCTCGCTTTGGTCCAGCCGGGACTGGATCTTGCACTCCCAGCTGGGGGCAGCTGCCTCTGCAGAGCATCGGGGCTCGGACGGGGCCTCCCCCTGCCCATCACGCCAGCCTGGGATGGGGTGCCGATGTTTAGATGAGACGCGGCCTGCCTTCTGGCCCGCCTGCCCTCTCAATATGCTTTTCCCAGTTCGGATGGGCTTGCAAGCTGGGTCTCAAAGGCCGAGAGTTGAAAGTCCTGCAGTTTCAGACAGGGCGGGGGGGGGGAGGCTTATTCTGGGCCAGAAAGAGCCCCCACCCCATTGCTTATTCCACAGAGGCCACAAAGCCTAGCGCCATCTGGTGTCTCAGGTGCATCACTGCGCTACCCACACAGCCAGCGCCTGATGCTCCTGGGACCTTGGCGAGTTGGGATACTCTGAGAAGGGGTCGGAGGGGGTCCATCTCGCAGCCGGGGGGGGGGAGGGGGTTGCCTATCCTCCAGCCTCCCCTCCTCTGGAGCCCATCCTTGAAAGGGTTTGAGGAAGGAGTTGTGCAGCTGCTTCCTCCAGGAAGCGTCCGGCTTCCTGCAAGGCCCCCTTCTTCGCACCTGGAGGGAAGAGGGCTTGGGGGAGCCCCCCCCCCGGCTGTGGTGTTGGCTCATCCGCTCTCTGTTTCCTGTTTCTGACCTCGGAAGGGGCCCCTGAAAGGCCTGCTGGATGGGCCCCCTTGGGACTCCGGTGGCCGGCTGTGCAGAGAGGCTGCTCCCTCGAGCCTTGCCAGCATTTCTCCCGAAAAGGAAAAGGCCAATGTGACGGGAGATCCAGTCATCCAGGCCAAAAGTATCTAAAAGGTGAAATCATGGCATCTGGGCCAGAGATGACTAAAAAAACCTCCCCGATTCTCGGCCTGCCCCAATCCTCACATTGACTGAAGGGGCTACTTGGACGAGTAGCCTTGAAACACCTCAGTTCTAGTGAGCGTCTGGTCCAGTTCAGATACTTTGGGCCCGGATGACGGGGTCTCCACTTGCGCCTTGGCCTGCTCCCCCCACCTCGGGCAGCCCTCATCCGGGGAGCCTCCCCACCGCTTCCCCAGACCCTGCCCGCCTCCTCACCCCGGAGTAACCCTGTCCGGTGGCTTTGCTTGCAGCGGGCAGTTTGCCGTCGTGAAGCGGTGCCGGGAGAAGGCCACAGGGCTGGACTATGCGGCCAAGTTCATCAAGAAGCGGCAGAGCTGGGCCAGTCGCCGCGGGGTCCGGCGGGAGGAGATCGAGCGGGAGGTGAACATCCTGCAGCAGATGCTCCACAGCAACATCATCCAGCTGCACCAGGTTTACGAGAACAAAACCGACGTGGTCCTTATCCTGGAGCTGTAAGTCAGGGGCTCCAGCAGTCTTCGGGGTTGGCCGGCTTCCCCCCTCAGAGGAATCTTCGGGAATGGCGGAGTGCGTGAACGGTCTCGTCGCTGGCTGGGGAATTCTGGGAGTTGAAGTCCACGGATCTTAAAATCCACCAGCTTGAGAAACACTGATCTGTTTCTTCAACACAGAGCACTGGGAATCCTCCAGGTTACGGGGTGATTCTGGGTCTCGGCTAAGATGTTTGCCTAAAATAAGAATCAATCTACCTGCAGGTCAGTTCAGGGCTCTCGCTCCTCCTATCGAGGTTTCCTCCGTTCACACAAGCAGCCTGCTGAGCCCAGCGTTTTCAAACTGGTTGTCTGGATTCAACAGACCTTGAACCAGAGGGCTCAAATCAAACCAACCACATAGTGCCTGGACGTAGGTCCTCGTGCATAATAACAGTGCACCCTTTCCTTGTTTATTTTATAACTCCAATTTTAATGAAGTGCATATTATCTGAACAAGAAAGAAACTGTTCCAGGTTGTTGGTTCAGAACAAAGGCAGACTTTCCCAAAGGGTTGGAGCTTGGGAGCCAAAGCTACGATGCAACCCCCCCCAGCCATCCTTTTTAAGTGCAAAACTCCCAAGTTACTCCGCCCTTCCACATAAATATGGACTTGGGGTCACTGCAGCTGTGGAAATACTCAGAGGGATCTCTAGAAGCCTGGATCAAAGCTGGCAACTGCCTTGCAATAACGTTCACTCCCTCAAGCTTAGCGTAAACTCCTCCATCCACATTTCTGGGTCACCGTTATTGCTGGATTTTGACAGAATGCAAAGCAAAGCTGTGTCTCTTGCCACGATTATGGATCTGTCACACAGCCAGTTCAATCGTTTGGGGGCATTTCTGTTTGGGGGGTTCTGGGACTAAATGAAACTCAGAATTGTTGTAGTTCGTTTCTCAGAGGGCGGAAAGGATGAGAAAGCAACGTAAGCCTCAAAATGGCAGCCTGATTGGTGGGAGGAAGGGAGACCTTTGGGAGACCCCTTCTCATCACAGGCAGGCTGCCAATTGTGGGGGTGGGGGGGCTGCAGAAGGAGCCTGGGGTGGATCCGAGGATGGAGTCCCAGCACACCCTGACCCGCCGGGGTGGAGGCTGGGCTCAGCTGAGGAAAGAACCCAAATTGGAAGGTTGCAACTCCATCCTCCTCCGTGGAGCGTAACAAACTCCGTAAAGGAGAGTAGCCCCCTCCGAAGAGCAGCATCTTCACAGGAGGAGCAGCAGCAATTTGCTGAAAGGGGAGCCACCCCCCCCAATTTTCCTGGGTGTCGTCGTAGGGCATCTCCTGGCGCAGGGAAGGGAAGGCGTCCTGGCTGATCGCCTTCCTGCAATTGAGACTTGTACAGGTTATATTCCCTCTTTTGTTCATAGTGTTATTTCATTGGGGATGAATCGCCAGGTAGGCAAGGAGCACGGGGGCCTCCATGCGCCTCCTCTTCCTCCTCCTCCTCCTTCTTTTGCAGAGTATCCGGAGGGGAACTTTTTGACTTCCTGGCCCAGAAGGAGTCTCTGAGCGAGGAGGAAGCCACACAGTTCATTAAGCAGATCCTGGAGGGGGTCAACTACCTGCACACCAAGAAGATCGCCCATTTTGATTTAAAGGTGAGGAGCGGCTGCCGCCAAAGCCTCTTTCCTGCCAGGGGTGCAGCCCCCCCGAGCCCCCCCCTCCCCCGCCTGCCCAGCTCAGCCTGGGGGTTGATGTGCTTCTCCCCTCTGCTCCCTTCTCCGCCCTGAAGCCTGAGAATATTATGCTGCTGGACAAGAGCCTCCCCATTCCTCACATAAAGCTGATCGATTTTGGCCTGGCCCATGAAATCGAAGATGGAGTGGAGTTTAAGAATATATTTGGGACGCCAGAATTCGTAGGTAAGTTGGTACCCTTTTGCCCTCAACTCATCCAGGGCCCGGGGTGTGTGTGGCAGGCTGTCTCAGTCTGGGGCCCTGCCCCTGCCTGCCAGGAGTGCGACTTCCCTCCTGGCCGAGGATGATGGGTCCTGGCTATCTCCAACACATCGGGGCAGGCAGCCTTTGTCTCTCTGACCTTGGGATCAACACTCTCCTTCCAGCTCCGGAAATCGTAAATTATGAGCCGCTGGGATTGGCCGCTGATCTGTGGTGAGTCTTCCCTGCCTGCCTGCGTTTCCTCTCCCTCCAGCCTCCTTCCTTCACCTGCTCTTCGCTGGTTGGTCAGCTGGTTTTTGCCTGCTGGGCCTTTGCAAACAAGTCAGCAAACGGAAGAGAAGTTTGCTGTTTTCTCCTCACTGTCAACCTGACCGAGGGGTTGATTTCAGCATAAAGCTCTGAGTGTCTTTCCTTTTTTCCCTTTTCCCCAGGAGCATCGGAGTCATCACTTATATATTGTAAGTACTGGATTATTAGTCCCCTTTACGTGTTTATTGTCATCCCTGCTCTTTTCAATCCCACCTTTCCTGCCAGATGTGCAATCCCCACAACGACCCTGTAAGATCAGCAGATTGAGAGGGAGAACGTTGCCTCAGGCAGCTGGTGGCAAACTAGGAGGTGGGCTCCGTTCCCCCAGCCCCTCCTGGGAAAGGCTGCCCAGGCGCTCCGCGGGGAGGCCTCCCACCGGGGTGGGGTGGGAATTGTGGGGAGTGGGCTGGGAGAGAAACAACTAGCATTGAGCTGCGAAACAGGAGAGAGAGAGAGAGAGAGAGAGAGAGAGAGAGAGAGAGAGAGAGAGGCCGGGACCGAGTATTGCGCAGATTGGATGGAGGTGCATACGACTAATGGCTGAGATTAAAAACATCCTAATCTGCTCTCTCTACTCTGACAGACCAGCAAGGTGGCGGAAAGCAAGCCAAGGGAGAAGTCCAGGCTGGCCCGGCAGGGTCCTTGGGCAGGGGAGGGAGGAGAGGCTCCACAAGGGGGCTTCTGCCCACTTGCTGCTCCCCGTCACCCCAGCAAAGTGCCCAAAGCTGCCCAGGGGAGGCCACGGGGAATCCCTGGCAGCCGTTGCACAGGTCGCTCACCAGGGGGCAGCGTGGACCCGTCCCTGGTCTTGGGGAGGCGGCAGCCCAGTGGGGGGAACTTCTGGTGCCCATCCGGGGAGGAGGGCTTTGGGGGTCCCTGGCATTCATCCCCCCACCCAACCCCCGCAGGCTGCAGTTGCTCCCTCTTCCTGGCTTGTTGGGGGCACCCCAATTCCTACCAAGGCAGGAAGAGGAGCGAGAGTCCTGGATCTGTGCTGGGGGGCTCAAACAGTCCCTCCCTCCCTCCCTCCCTCCGAGCCCCCAGGGCAACCTGGCCCTGGGCCACACAAAGGCTCGTCTCGATTTTATAACCAGATTCTCCCGGGCCCTTCCCTGTGGGCTCTGCACATGGGGCTCGGCCCTTCTGCCTCCCTTGGCCCTGCCAAATCCTGATACTCTCCCCCCCCCCCCCCCCCCCCCCCCCCCCCCCCCCGCCATTCCTCATGCAGGCTGAGTGGTGCCTCTCCGTTCCTTGGAGAGACCAAGCAGGAGACACTGGCTAACATCACTGCCATCAGCTATGAATTTGACGAAGAATTCTTCAGCCACACCAGCGACCTGGCCAAAGACTTTATCCGGAAACTTCTGGTGAAGGACACACGGTACGTCCCGAGCGCCTTGCCAGAAGCTGGCCGGTGGGGTTGAGGGCTCTTCGTCTGGCCCAGGAGGGGCCCGGGTGACCACTGGATCTGAGAAGAAGCCGGGGAGCGTTTGCGCCTCTTTGGGACCCGGCAAGGGAAGCTCCGTGTTCGGTTCAGCGTCATTTGGCTCCGGTGTCGCAGGGCTGAAGGGCTCTGCTCTGACGGGGCTCTCGGAGAACCCCCAAAAAGGAAGAAATGGGCATTTATGGGGTGCCCTTCCTGGTCCCCTGATCTAAGGAGGGATTTCCTCTCAGCGCCTTCGTAGCTTTCAGACCTGCCTCTCCAAAGTAAGCATAGAAGGTGCATCGATGGCCATTCATTGTAGACAAGCAGGCCTACAACACACACACACACACACACACACCCATGTGGTCCTTGGGTGCCTCCCTCTCAGCCCAGGGAGGCTCCAGATGGGCCTCCTCTTCCTGATCTGAGGCGGGGGGTGGGTGGGAAATGAACGTGCCCTCCCTGTGCCTCACGGGGGGCTCACGGAGGCCTTTCTCCCCCTTTAGGAAGCGACTCACCATCCAGGAAGCGCTCAGGCACCCCTGGATCAGGGTAAGTCACGAAGGGCCGGAGGTTTTGCAGTGGACAGCCAAGCCCTGCTGAAGTTGGACAGAACTTTGTATGGCCCTCCCTCTTTGGGCAGAGAAAGCTTCACGCTCAGACCCCTGGCTTTCATTATTGAGCCGCGTTTTCCGCTGCAAAGCCTGGCCAAGCTATTTCTCAGGTTCTTTTCAGGGGAAAGGAATAAAGTAATCAGGCCTAGCTTTTTTTTTAAAAAAAACATTTCTTCTCTTGGACATGTTATCATTATTATTATTATTCCATGTTTGAGATACAATTTTCTGTCCTGGCACACCCGGACTTGTCCGTACCCATCTCTGTTGTCGGCATGGAATGACGCAGTGGGTTCTCTCGGCTTTGCTTGTTTGGGTCTTGTGGCATGCAGACTCCTTCCCTCCTGCCCTTCCGGAAGTCACGAGTTGCTTGTAAGTGCAACTTGTCAGGAAGGACCAGGAGAAGGGAGACCCTCTTCGGGGATCAGCCCCCTTCCTTGTGGCCTGCATGCCAAAGCCAGAAGGGGCATCCGGATGGCAGCAATTGCAGAATATCAAAAACGTCTGAACGCCGGCAGTCATGTGTAAACTGATCCAAACGTTTATTTTATTTTTGGATATCCATGAAATGAGTTGGCACAAAATCCGCTCTTTGCTGGGAATCCTGTGTAAGACAGGCTCTGCCCCTCGAGGCTGGAATGTACCTTTCCCCAGGCCTTTATACCTTTCCTCTAGGAAGGCTTGTGGGGCTGTCCCAGAAACGGTTCTGTTTTTACAGAGGTTAGTCCAGAGTTGTGGGCCGATGTGGATGCCGGCACATAGTGAGGTCATTTTCCTGGTGGGAAGGCGCCCGTTACACAAGTGTTTTGCAAGGAAGATACCAAATGCATGAAGAGGAGCGAGGATTTGCGCTTGCTTCTGGCACCGTGCACGTGTGTGTGTGTGTGTGTGTGTGTGTGTGTGTGTATTTGCACCCTAGTGTGATGAGGCTGATGGTGTGGTGTCTTTAGACCCTTGTGGTGAGATGTTCCTGGTCAATAACCGTCCTCCGGCTTCTCTCCAGTCCAAAGAAGGCTCCAAAGTCCAAGGCCACAGGAGGACCGAGCACAGGCCGCTGAAGACCAAGTGGCTGAGAGATTACACCATCAAAAGCCACTCCAGCATTCCTCCGAACAACACCTACGCCACCTTTGAACGCTTTGCCCGCGTGGTGGAGGAGATCTCTGGCATGGAGAAGAGCTTCGGCGCCCTGGCAGCCTCCCACGACTCCTTGCAGGGGGACATGGACGCCCTGGTCTCCATCTACAACGAGAAGGAGGCTTGGTACAAGGAGGAGCACGAAAGCGTGAAGCACGAGCTCTCCCAGCTGAAGTACGAATATCGCAAGGTCGGCTCCCTGAAGAAGCACCTGAAGGAGGATGTCCAGGCAGCCGGTGCCAACCTCGCGGGGGTCGCAGGGAGGTACGCGGGCCTGCAGGCGCACTACGAACTCCTGAGCAAGGAGCTGTCGGAGGAGCTCCAGTGGATCCAAGGCTTAACGGGCAGCTTCTGGCCTGCGGGCAGCGAGGAGGGCTACGTGCCTGGCCGCAACTTCGGCTGCGTCTTCCAGAAGGACCTCAACGAGCTGCTGAACCGGTCCTGCTACGAAGAGTTCCTGGCGGCCTTCAACCTGAGCGTGGCAAGATCCAGCCAGTCAGGCTGCTGAAGATGGAGGGGTTTACACTGCTGCTTCGCTCCCAATGGCGGAGGAATCGCCGGGACGGGGAGCCTGTGTGCCGAACTCACGTTTGGGTTTATTTTGGAACAGTTTGACAGACCCTTGTTGCCACCGTACTTTTACGTATTGGTTTTGTCCCTGAGAAAATACGTCCTGGTGGCGGTTCTGGATGTTTGTGCCTGCCTTGGTTGGGTTCCAATGAATTTCTAATAAGGCTTTGCATTCCCACCCCCGACCCCTCCAAAGCTTGCCCTATTTTTATCCTTTGGAAGGCGGCCTTAGCTTACCCTCACAACTGAGGGCCTCCTCAAGACACGACTGTAGATCAGATCCTTAAAAGCTTTTTATTTATGGCTGAGTTGCCGCTGTAAAGAGGCATTGATTTTCTTTTGGTTTGAAATTCTGTATGAAAGTATTTTTTGATAATGGAGCCAGATGTGAAGTCTGTTGGGCTCTGCCAAGCACTCTCTGCAGGCTCTCTGGCTGAAAGACAACCTTGCAAATACCTGGGAGAATAAAGGGAGGATTCTGAATAGATTTGCAGAACCCCTCAGACGAGCTGCTGCGTAAGGCAGGACCTTCAGCCTGGACATTAATCTCATTCCTAGTAAATAAGCCACTTCCTCCCAGTTAAGACTATCCAATCTCTCTGCAATGGGAGAACTAATTTTCGTATAGAGATAATTTGAAAATGAAAGAGGGAGCAACGTGGAAGATGCACTGTCTGCCTTGCCCTTATGTTCTTCAGAGCATGTCCTTCTGCCCACTCTGTATCTAATCTCGGAGGACGAGAGTCAATAAATACTTGCTTCGCGTCACGGCTTTCTCTCTAGACAAAGCTTGTGTCCAAAGACCCTGGAGAATGACCTTGGGGCTAGGAGGGGGAGGCCTTTCCCGCTCAGAAATCATTTCCCTCCCAGGTCAGCAGGAACAACCCCAAAGGTTTAAAAGAGTTTAAGAGCGCTCGATGGAGGAGGTGAAAAGCAGCTGCGCGCAAGGAAAGGGAGGGAGACTTTTAGCAGGAAAGGGAAGAACTGAGGAGGCTGAAATAAGGGGGGGGGGGCTGCTTGGTGGGCTCTCTTCTTCTTCTCAAGCCCAGGGAGGCTACCGAAGGAAGCTCAGCCGTAGCTGAGAGCCTCCTCATCTTCTCCCTGGGCCTGAAGCGAGCTTTCAACGTAGCGCTGTGCCACTTCTTAAGGTTTATACCCCATCCAAAGTCTTATGGAGTTGGGCAGCAGATAAACATAGCAAAGGAATAAAAACACAGTAAGTAAATAAATCTTTGAGAGACCAGCTTGGTCAGCTGTTTGTGGCTCTTCCCCAGCCAAGATTTATATACCTGAATCTGGGCTCCTATTTTGGTGGCAGAACACTGGAATCTGTAGGGTGGGTTGGAGCAGCGGGATGACCCTCCGTTGATTTTATACGGGATATTTAATGTGCCCAGCATGTTACAAAAACAAGGCGGTGGGTCTTACTCCAAGGAACTGGAGGACTAAAACCCAACACCTGCAGAGGAAGGACTAGAGAGGAGGCAGGTGGACAAGGTAGCCGAGGTTAGGAAGAAAGCCAGCCCCAAAGGGAGCCAGGCGATGCCCGGAGCATTGGAGCACTTTCTCCTCAGGGGCCCCGGGGTCTGGGCCTGATCTTGTCCCTCTTGTCTCCAGCCCAAGGACAACCACCAGGCCATGGTAAGGCGGGAATCGGCCGTTAACCTGGAGAACTTCAAAAAGCAGTACGCCAGGAGGCGGTGGAAGGTGAGGAGAACCTGAGATGGGACCTTGGGAGGCGCCAAGAGCTCCCAGGGAGTCCAGGCCATACAGCTTCCCTTGCAAAGATCCTTCCGTGGGGGAGAACGGGGGCAAGGGAATGGCCCCCATCCAAAGAGAGGGCAGAGGAGCGAGGGTCAAGGCCTGCTTGGTCAGCCAACTGGCCCGACTCCTCCTCCTCCTTGAGCCCAGGCCTTGGGGCCGGCTGCCTGGACTGGCCAGAGCAGGCCCTGAGGCAGAGCGGGGGCAGGGGCTTCCTCTCCTCCCCCAGGTATGTTTTCCCGCTGCCTCCTTGCAGAGAGGGGGATGCGCCTGAGCTCGGCCTCTGTGGCTCCTTGTCCCAGGGGGGGCTTAGAGTACCGAGGAGAATCTTTGGAAGGAGGCAAAGGGGCAGCCAGGAGTTGGGGGAAGGTGGTGGCGTGAGCCTTCCTGGGGTGGTTTCCAGGGGTGGCGCTTTCTAGGAACCTGACGATGAGCCTGAGGGTGTCCCTGGCTTGGGTTTCCAGTGTGTGACCGAGGGCCTCTTTCTCCTCAGCTCACCTACAGCATAGTGGCTCTGTGCAACCATTTGTCTCGCTCGCTGGTGCGAAAAGTTCGCTTAATGCAAGAAGACAGTTTGGTAAGTAGGCTGAGCGCAAAGAGTTGGCAGGTGAAGAGTCCCACTTGGGCTCTTGCTCTTCCAGGATCGAGGCCTCGAGAGGCGCAAGGACCTGGCCAACTTTAGGACCGGCCTGGGAACTTGGCTGCCCCAGGCCTGCTGGGCTGCACTTCCTCGCCCTCCGGAGTGCCGTTCAGCCCCTTCTGGGAGATTTGCGTTTCCCCTCCGTGGCGCAGAAGGTTGGAGGGCAGGACTGATTCTCATCAGGGGCAACCCAGGCTTGATCCTGGCAGGGAGCTTCGCTCAGGGGCTCCTGGCCGGTCCTGCCAAGGAAGAGACCCGCAGGCTGGTCCTGGCACGCTGGGATTGTCCTCCAAGAGGACCTCTCCTCCCCCGGCGGCAGCAGGTCTCCAGCCTAAAGATCGCACTGCTCTGTTTCAGCGCCATTGCGAAAGCGACCACGAAGACGACCTGCCTGGCCGAAGGGTGGCCTCCCATTGTGTCCTGAGGCGGAGGAGCAGCATCCCATAACTGGGACCCACCGGCTGGACTCCAGCGGCTGAGAGCCGAGCTCGTGGGATGGGCTGGTTGCCTTCCACAGGGCTTCCTGGGGGAAGAGTCCCTGGAAGGAGCTGCCCCAGGACAGGAGGCACCTTGGCCCAGCCCAGATGTTCTTGCCGGAAAGGGGAGGAAGGCTGCCTTTCTCTCTGGGGCAGTGCCACCTGGCCATCTGGCTGCCCCCTTCTCTTCTGGCAGCAAGAGGTCAAACCGCTTGGTCAAAGCAGCGACGCTCCACTGGCCTCGTTTCTCCCCAGACGTCTTTCTGAAGCTTGGCCGCTTCTGGATGGGTGGACTTCAACTCCCAGAATTCCCCAGCCAGATCTTGCAATTGCCAAGGCTGATGAACCCTGAGCCGGAAAGGTGCAGCGGCCTCTGAAAATGCCTGAAAGCAGCGTGGACCTAACAGGCCTCAGGGCGGGCGTGGGTGCATGTGCGCATGTGGCTCTCGTGCTGATGCGGTTTTTAAGAAATGGCAGGATGCACACACCAGAGCATCAAGCTGGCCTTCTGGAGAGCCCGCCTTAAACCAGTAAGAGAGCCCCAGCGGCTGGGCAGGGGCGAGGGCTTGGCCTGCCGCCAGCCTCCGAGTACGCTGGGCTCAGCAGGGTTTCCCTGGCACCGATTCTCCCCATGGCTGGCGAGCGCGGCTGTGTTTTCCTTTTCCCAGCCGCTTCCCAGGCAGGAATTCGTGGCAGCAACCTGTTTTCATTTCCTTTTGACCTTTGAAAGAGACGAGGCAGGCGTCCACGGGATCTTTCCGGTCCCTGTTTTGCCAGCAGCCTAAATGCTAAAAATACACCTGCAATGTTGGGCATAGAGGATGGCAGGAGGGACGGGGGAAGCCGGCTTGGCTGGGTGACCAATCAAGCCGGCTGAATCCCTTTGGGAAGACCCCCGGGAGCTCAGGCCTTTCCGTAGCCCTAGAGACCTCCATGCTGCAAATCGGGGGTTTTCCCCACATTGATTTCGTTCCTGCTTCTTTGCCTGTATGTGTCTCCCTCGAATGAGGCGGTTTCTCCAAAAATAAAAGTGACATATGGGGCACCAGGTTCAGCAACGTTATTAGCGTCACGCCTCTAAAGCTTCTGGGTTTCCCGATAGGCTGTGCACCATGGATCCTCTGCACTGATGAAGGAGCCTCGTTCATGCTGAGCGTGGCCTGCCCAGAGACAGCCAGACGGCCGGCCAAGGAGGGCTCCTCCCTCGAGCCCTTCCAGCCCCACCTGCATGGCTCAAAGGATCCAGGGATGCGGGCCGGACCCAGCGGCCCCGTCGCCTCTTCCAGGCCCCTGAAGTGGGGAGGGGTCTCTGGGCCAAGCGGGCTCTCGGGAGTCTTCTTGCCTTCTCTCCAAATGAAGCGACCGGAGACTCGGAGTCCGAATTGCGGGGGGGGCCCAGTCCGGCGCCCATGATCCACAGCCGCCCTGGATTGCGGCTGATGGATGACGGCGGCCTTGCCGCAGCCTGACCGGGGGAGGCAGGCGGGAGGGACCGACTACAAGGCCCATCCTCCCATTCCCTCTTGCTAAGGGACGGGGCGTCGCTGTTGCTCCCTTTCTGGGGATGGTCACTCCCGGCGCCGGACGCCAGAGGGCGCCGTGGCGGCCGGCTCGCTCCTCCGCCCTCCCTTCCCCCGGCGGTGTTGCCGCGCGACGGAAGCGCGAGGCGGCGGCGGGTCTCGCGAGGCTTGGCTGGTGCTGCCCTCCCTCCCTCCCTCCCTCCCCCCCCCGTCCGCTCCCGCCTCCCGCGCGGGATGCTACCTGCTGCCTGACGAGCCGCCGCCGCCGCCGCGGGAAGAGCCGAGGGGCGTTGCGGACGGGCGGAACCGGGCAGGTAGGCGCGGCGGGCGGGCGGGTGATTCTTGGGTCGGGAGGCCTGGAGCGTCGCCCCCCTGGCGGCCGGTCCCCGCGCGGCGGGGCTGAGGCGGCGGCCGGGCTGGAGCGCGTCTCGGACTGCAACTCCCGTCGGCCTCCTGGCCCCGCGAGGCATTCTGGGAGGGGCGGGAGCGGCGGCGCTGGACAGCTCCGAAGGCCGCCCGCTCTCCGCCGCCTCCGCTGACCGGCCCGGCCGCCACCCCGAGAGCGGACAGGTAGGTTGGCCCCGCTTGGCCGGGCTCCCCTCCCCGGAGGCTCTGCCCTTCGCCCGCCCGGCGGCCCTTCCTCTGGACGGTTCCGGGCAGCTCCTCCGTCCGCCTGGCTGGGCCTCAACCCCCGCCTCGCCCGGGCCCTCCCGGCTCTTTCGGAAGCTCCCGGGGGGCTCCGGCCTCCCTTCCGCCGCGAAGGGCCCCGCTGGAGTCAGGCCGGGTCCTCCGGGGCGGGCAAAGCGGGCCGGACGCCCGGCTCCCTTGGCAGCCGAGCCCCGGGGCGCCTCCGCGGTCCCTCCCTGGGCGGCGGAGGACCCGAGGAGAGAGAGGTCGGGGTTAACCGCCAGTCGGCTGGTTGCGGGCCACGGCCGCGATACCTGCCCTCCCCGACCCAGAAACCTCCGGAGCAAGAAAGCGCCTGGAATCGGAGGGAGGCCTGATGCGGGTCGTCGAGTTGCGGGTTTCGGGTTCCGTCCTGGGGGACGATCCCCGTCCGAGCAGCCAGCGCTGCCTGCCCGCCTGCCCGCCCGAGTGCATAGGCGACCTTTTGCCGGGCTTTTCAAAAGCGCCGGCCGGGTCAGGCCGGAGGCATCAGATCCAATGGCAGACCTAAAGCCCGGCGAACCATCTGTAAGGCAAGCCTGATAAACTCCGGTTTGTTTCTGCGGGGTCTCCTTTCCTCCTGGGACAGAGAGAGAGAGAGAGAGAGAGAAATGAAAGCGGGGAGGAGACCTCGGGCGGCTCCAGGGGGACATGCAGGTGCAGCTCCCAAGGGAAAGGCGAAAGGCGCTAAGCCTGGGGCCTAGAAGCCTGGGCGGCGGGTTGCCCACAGGGAAGGTTGCCTGAAGCCTGGGAATCGGCCAATGGCAGCCGGGCTTCCAGGCGGGCCTCTTGGGGCTGATCCAGGCTCATCAAGCCAACTGGAAGGTTTCCCGGCAACCCTAGGAAGAGGGTTCTTTTCTGGAACAATGGAGGTGATGGACAATAATATGGAAAGAGCCGACAGGGCCCACATTGGTTTACATTGGTGGGTTGGGAACTTAGTAGCTTGAAAGTGTTTTTAATTATGTAAATCAGCTATGTGTAAATTTAGCAATCAATACTAAACTTTGCAAATCCACACCTAGTATGAAATAGGCCCAAACGCTCAATAGGAAAGTGTTTGTGGAGCCTTGCTGGCTATTAAACAGCAGAACACTGAAAGAGCCAAAGGTTATAAGTAGGGAAGACTTCTTTTGCAACTTTGCCAGAGTAGATTCAGCCGGGGCTGGGCTAGATGATCCGGTGCTCTGATTCGCTATGCACAGTTCACACATGCCCCGAACCCCTCCGTAAATATAGCTCCATTCCATGGGGATAGCTCTTTGTTTACCTTGGAAGGCACTCCCTTGCCTTCATTGGAGGGAGGCTGGTTTGGAATGCCGTGTTCTCACTTTCATTGTGTCTTACAGATTGCGCTTGTTTCTCTTGTTGGAAGGAAGTGCTCTCATCGATTTTGCTTGCCTTGAGAATAAATAAATGATAGCACAGCAAATGTAATCTTTATGTGTATACACACACACACACACACATACACACATTTCTGGTGTACACATACAGTGTAAGAAGTCTTAAACAGCAGGATAACATATTTGCAAGAGAAAGCACAAGTGAGTGTTCTTTTTTCTTATACTCTTCAAAATACAAGCCTGTAAGTGCAGTTTTCACAGAGAATATATTTGCAAATATATTTTCTAACCTTCTGAAGGAGTGTCAGACAGTCTTAGCTTATCAACACATCAGATGCTAAATAAATATTTGTTTTGCTGATTGCAGAAGTCCAACTTTTCTGTAGTCTGTGATACTTTGAACTCTTTAAGCACACTGAAGCAGTGAAACAACACACTGAGAATTATAATTAGCAGCATAAACACAAAGTATATTTTTTAAATCAAATTACTTAGTTTTTAAGATGTTTAATTTTGAATTTATATGTCTATTTTGAAATTGAACTGGAAACTCAGAACAAAGGAACTACAATATCAAAATACTGAATTCGCCTTAAAGTTATACAGTAATGCTTTATCTGAAAATACTATCTTCTGTTATGAAGTCGAGATAAGCTTTGACTTTGTGGCTGCTGCTGAGACTTGCTGGAACATTGTGGCTAACCTTGAATATTCATTCCTCTTTGGGGCATATGGAGCTGCCTCCTCTGCTTCTTAGAAATGGTTATCTGGCCAGAAATGACGGGTGGTTTGGCTTCTGCGCTGTTGTGAATTTGTCCTGAATGGACCCCAAAAATGTCTGTATGATGTAGTTTCTAAATTTCATACTTCAAGGATGGAGTTTGAGCCATCTTATTTGCAGCATTGAGCACTAGAAAGATTTAAAGACTGTATTAATTTTGAGAAGCTTTTGCGTTATTTAAAATAAAAAACTCTAAGAAAATATAATCATTGTTCATATCCTAATTTATGAACCTCAATTAGGACATTTGTTTCTTGCAATGAGCCCTGCATTTTCTTTAGAAATGTGTTGATCCAATAAAAAATACCGAAGTAGTGGTTGGCAACTACGTTCGTGGTTAGTTTTATCCATTTATACAGTGTCCTTTTTCTGGAGGGAATTTCGCAAAATAAAGGCAAGGCGTTCCTTGTTTTGACCTAAATGTTGTTGATAGGCTGAAGAGCGAGAAAAAAAAGCTAGCTAAGAATATAAAGAATGACAGTGAGCCAATGCACTCACAGGTAACTGGAAGTAAGACTAGATCATTCAGAAAATGTACGGCTACAATTTCTTTTTGAGAATTTCTGCATCTCAGCATGTGATGTAACATCCACACGGGGTGGACTTTCATCGTGATGACATCATGTTGGCTGCTTTGTTCTTTGGTGGAAAGAGGAAAGAGATGCCAGATTGATGCTCTCAGCTCAGGGATCCCTGCATTATCTGAGATATTGAGATTTTTTTTTTTTAATGTGAAGGATTGGGCAGCATCCTGACCCTTCAGGAGTCCGTGAAATGCTGTAATCCAAAGAGCTGCCTAGCTAGACCAGAGCCCAAGTCCATCCAAATGAAATACGAACTCTAAATAGGATTTATACTGCATTCGCGTATCTTGACTATCCGTTGTTTATTAAAATACTTTTGCAAAATTAAAAATTCTCCTTGAAAAATTCCTTCCGCCTGATGTCCAGCCTAAACCTCTGGTGAAGAGCTAACTCCATAGTTCTGCTCCTGCCTACCTACTCTTTTTTCTTTGGAGCGACACTTTGAATGTTTAATGTGGCTGTAAAAAGTCATAAATGAGCTGCTGCAGAGTTGGAAGCCGTAATCCTGTCACTCTCCAAGTCTGCCCGTGTCGTTATCTGTCTCCTTTGGCAAAGCGAGAAACACGCCGTTGCTGGATTGTGTCTTAAGCACCTGCCCTGCAGGTGAGGTTCTGGCTCCTGAGGAATCACGGGAGGAATCACCCTTTGGGGACCTCAGATGCAGTTTAGCGTCATTCTGTTTCATTATAAAATACCAACAATATCTGCCTATTGTTGAGTTATGGATTTCATGGTTGAGACATATTTGGGCTTCGATATCCTCTTTTTCTTTTATTCATAATTCTGGACAAAAGATAACTAGGTTATAATCCCTTTATTTATACCTAGTGTACAGCAAGAAGTTATTCATTAAATATTGCTTATAAATAAAGTTGTTTAATGGGAAAGCTTGTTCTTTTAAAAAGAAAAATGTACCCAAGAAAAATAATTTAAATATTAATTGCCCGAAGAACAAGGACATTTCTTAGTATCATACACAAATATTGATGACTGAATCATCTTTAACCCTGGGGAATATTGGATATTTTATTGTGTGGCCACCCCACCCTGTCTTCCTCTGGGGACGAGTAATGAAGCTCGTCCTGTTTGAGCCTTTTCAGGCTGATTCCTGACAGCTCTGTTGCTATAGCAATGGACGTGTGACAGTGGTTCCTTCTGCAGTCCTCGTCACGGGTGTTGGTATGCAGAACACACAACAAGCAGGGAAAAGAGTGTAATCTGTAGCATGAATCTTCCTCCGGTGTTAATGTTACCCTTTTCTTTCCCTGTGGCTTTGTGTATGTCTGCATTGGCATACAGGTATATCATCCCTAATTAAATCTTGAAGTGCCTCTTTAAAATGGCCACAGTAATGCAATTGGAATTTGTTCTGTTGTCTTCTTAGTCCAGAAAATGAGAGTCTAGCAGGTAAGGCAGAGTCTTCAAGGGACACTTTAAAAGAATCAAAACGACTCTATGTATATGTGTATATAGGCCTTCTCACGTACGTACGTAAAGTTGTAGGTGTGAGTTTTAATAAGGGGTTGTCCCGTTTCATTGTATCCATCCATACAATAAAGCCACCAGTGGGGAAATGAATTTAGATGTGGTTTTCTGGTCACTGACACCAAGTGTTCAGTCATACCCGTTTCCCCAAACGCCTGTTGGTTACACTGATGGGGTAGATCTATTCCAGTCTGATTTACTTCTCATTGTAGGAAACAGTTGCTTTAAGCGGATGATGTGGCAGGGAATGGAAAAGAGGAGAGACAAATTCTTGCTTCCCTTGAATTTCTCAGAAGTCTCATGGACCAGGGGGTCAGAAAAACGATGGTTGGGCAGTTCTGCTCTATCCCATTGCTAGTCTCCCTTTTACTGTTTTTAGTTTTAATGGAAACCGGGGGAGGCATTTAGATTTTGAGCTGAAATGCAAATAGAACTCTCCTTTTGGTGGTATTGACAATTTGGGACAAATGTGTGCAAATGCAGTGAGATTGAGTCCAAGCAAGGCAAGGGTCAAGGAGACCTGGCTCCTCCGGACAGAGAGGAAATGTCCTTTGGGGACAGCCTGGTTGCTGTACACAAGCGTGAGTTGGCCTGAAGGAGGCCCAATTCTGGGGTTATTTGGGGGGAGAATAATATAGAGAGTTATGACTATTTGGGAGTCACAACTTTGTGATCATTTCCCTCTGGCAATTGTGTCGTCAGTATTTCACCAGTGGCAGTGGAGATCCAGCAGGTATGAGGTTTGGTTTCTGGAAATGCAGTTTAATAAAAGAAGCTCTGGGGTTTTTGGGGACATACACTTGCCTTTTCATTTTAACCTACGAGACTCACAAATAATTAGTGTTCAGAAAGCATCCAGTTCTAAGGAGTTGGTGAAGAGGGATTTGGGAAGGACGCCTGTGCAACAGTTCAGCCAGCCAACCCTTAATCCCCAATTTGCAGGGAAGGGGTGCGTGCCTTGCACGTGTGTTGGGGCTCCCTCCAGTGATGCTCGGTCTAAACCCCGAATCCCTGAATTAGTAATAGATCAGAGAGCTTTGCAGCAGGACCTGGACAAGCAGACGAGGCCTCTGAGGGAAGCCATTTTGCCTGGAGCCGCTGAAGCCAAAGGCGAGCGGGGGCTTCTGCGCACAGCTTTACTTTGGCGGTTTTAATGCAGCAGACACACAAGTGTATTTTCCCCTTTAGGGGGAAAGAGGTTCTTAACTCAGGGGGCGAGAGGCAGGCTTGGATTTGGGTTGTTAGTGCACAAATCAGGAAGGTGGGGTTTGTTGCTGTTGTTGTTGTTTGTTTACTAATTAAATGTCTGTGCCACCCACTGTGCTGCCCATGGGTGTTGGTAGGATATGGCCACTGTTTCGTCATGAGTGTCCTTTCCCTCTTAGATCTGATGGCCAGTCGGTAGACCAGAATGGCCACCATGGTTCCACCTGTGAAGTTGAAATGGCTGGAGCACCTCAACAGCTCCTGGATCACGGAAGACAGCGAGTCGATCGCCACCAGGGAAGGCGTCTCCGTCCTCTACGCGAAGCTCGTCAGTAACAAAGAAGTGGTCCCCCTGCCGCAGCAGGTCTTCTGCCTCAAAGGGCCCCAGCTGCCTGATTTTGAACGCGAATCCCTGTCCAGCGATGAGCAGGACCACTACTTGGACGCTCTCCTTAGCAGCCAGCTGGCTCTGGCCAAGATGGTGTGCTCAGACTCCCCCTTTGCCGGGGCGCTTCGCAAGCGCCTGCTGGTCCTGCAGCGCATCTTTTACGCCCTTTCCAATAAGTACCACGATAAAGGACGGGTGAAGCAGCAGCAGCACTCTCCGGAGAGCAGCTCGGGCTCCACGGACATCCATTCGGTCAGCGAGAGGCCCAGGTCGAGCACGGATGCGCTGATAGAAATGGGCGTCCGGACGGGGCTGAGCCTGCTCTTCGCACTGCTGAGGCAAAGCTGGATGATGCCCGCTGCGGGGCCTGGCATCAGCCTTTGTAACGACGTCATTCACACGGCGATTGAGGTGGTCAGCTCCTTGCCCCCTTTGTCTCTGGCCAATGAGAGCAAGATCCCCCCCATGGGCCTGGACTGCCTCTCCCAAGTAACAGTCTTTCTTAAAGGGGTAACGATCCCCAACTCCGGGGCGGACACCCTTGGGCGAAGGCTGGCTTCCGAGCTGCTGCTGGGCCTGGCGGCTCAGCGCGGCTCCCTGCGGTACCTCTTGGAGTGGATTGAGATGGCCCTCAGCGCATCGGCTGTGGTTCACACCATGGAGAAGAGCAAGCTGCTGCCGAGCTCAGAAGGCATGATCACTTTTGATTGCTTCATGACGATCCTAATGCAGATGAGGCGGTCGCTGGTACGTATGCCCTGCCCGCGGGGGAAAGGGAAGGAAAGCTAGGAGTCTGTAGCTTCTTTGCAACTAGAGGTGGCACAATATCGGATGGCTGTCCATCCTCACCTGTGGTTGGTGGCGTTTGAACCGTTTTGAAACGCGTTGGTCGTCTTTAAACCCTCACTTTGGTTCTACTAACAGCCATTCCGATTTGAACATAAGAAATCACAATAAACGTTAAATAAAGTAGGCAAAACAGAAATAGTGCCAGCAGCAACTTTGAACTGTGTTTGGTATTCTTAATTACTTGAGAGGTGCCTCTACTTATATTCTAATTAATAGCAGCTACAAAAAAAAAAGCTCTTTTAATGTTAGTAGCTTAAAACATTGGCACCTGTACCGCTTATCTCTTGTTTAGAAGAAACAAATAAAAATTCAGGCATTCTGATGTAAAACTAAAATGAATTAAAAATAGAATGCCAAAGAAGATGCATACAATTATTTGCAAAAATAATAAAGAGCTAGATCCAATCTGGGTCGGTCACTGAGACCCGAGATTTCATCTTCCAAGCGTTTGGACTGGTGCCGGAGCTCCTCCTCGGGGAATTTCCCTCTAGCAGAGTGCGTGCCATAAAGTGCTGTTACTTTGAGGATATACGTTCCTTTTAAGTCTGTTTTATTTGGGGAAATATTCTACTACTTGGTTGGTGAGATACGTTTATATACTTTTATATGTGTGCGGTTTTACGTCGGTCACACTCTTCCGTAACTTCTATTACAGGGGTCATCTGCAGACCGAAGTCAGTGGAGGGAACCAACAAGGACTTCTGAAGGGCTGTGCTCACTCTACGAGGCAGCCTTGTGTCTCTTTGAAGAGGTGAGTCTGGCTGCCCAGCCATCAACTAAGGGCGAAAAAAGCCTGTTTCACATTCTCCCAGTTGTGAATTTCTCACTCCTCTGAAAGCGTGAAGGAAACTTGGTGTGTGTCCTTGATTCTGTGTATTTTGACTACGTGGTTCTATTTCAGTATTAACTGAATTTCTATCCTACTTCTTCCCAAGGTTTAAGGCAATGAATTGCTACAGAATACCGAAGAAATTATATTTATTGAATTCTGGCCTGGCTTAAAACTAAAAAGTATTAAAACAAGAACCACTATAGCAGCCCTGCCTTGGCTTAGCCTATGCAAATGCTAGGAGAAGGGAATTTGCAGGCCACTTGATCTTTCCTTTTAGAGAAGGGCCTTGGGGGCTCAGGAGTCTCCACTGAAGCTGGAGAGGGAGTTCTGTCTTAACAGGCTCGCCTGTTTGGTCATCGGATCTAACGCAGTCAGTGGGCGTCCATGCACCAGAGGGAAACGTGGGCTGAAATGAACCCCCTGACCCAAACTCCCGCAGTCAGATGTGCCCAGATTTTAGTTCTGTGTCTGAGAATTCCTGGAACTGAAATCTAACCACACAGAAAGCACCGAGTTGGGGAAGGTGTGGGGTTCCTTTGAGTTAATGAGACAGCTGGATAGTTGCCTACAGATGTTTGCCTGTGCGGCCTGTTTGTTTTAATAGGTGTGCCGGATGGCCTCGGACTACTCCAGGACATGCGCCAGTCCCGATAGCATCCAGACCGGAGAGACCCCCATTGTTTCTGAAACCTGTGAGGTGTATGTCTGGGGCAGCAACAGCAGCCACCAACTTGTGGAAGGGACCCAGGAGAAAATCCTCCAGCCTAAGTTGGCTCCAAGTTTTTCTGATGCGCAGACAGTGAGTATCTTTGGACAGGGAGGGTAGATTGATTGGTGTAGTTAAAAAAAAAAGGATCAGCTGCGGAAGTCCGATGGCCTCTTGGTTTTTTTTCCCCTCCCCGCTATAGATTGAAGCTGGCCAGTATTGCACCTTTGTAATATCCACGGACGGCTCCGTTCGAGCTTGCGGCAAAGGCAGCTACGGCCGATTAGGATTGGGTGACTCCAACAACCAGTCCACTCTGAAGAAGTTGACTTTCGAGCCTCACCGATCAATCAAAAAAGTGTCGTCTTCCAAAGGCTCCGATGGCCACACGCTGGCATTCACCACCGAAGGAGAAGTCTTCAGCTGGGGGGACGGCGACTACGGGAAACTGGGCCACGGCAACAGCTCCACCCAGAAATACCCTAAGCTTATCCAGGGGCCTTTGCAGGGAAAGGTAGGCCGCGCCAATGAACGTTCAACCGTCTGCCTTTGTTCTTCCAGGGGGTTCACGTCGCGAAGGTTTGGGTTCCCCTGTTTCTGCCTTTTTGAGCTATGTCCCCATTTAATAGCCCCGCCTATTAAGGAGCTTCTCCACCTGGGACTGGAGTCTAAAAGGAGAACTCTCTTCCCCTCTTATCCAGGTGGTGATTTGTGTCTCGGCCGGGTACCGGCATAGTGCTGCTGTCACAGAGGATGGTGAATTATACACCTGGGGAGAAGGAGACTTTGGCCGGCTAGGTAACAGGAATAATCTCACTTTCCACCTTCTTTAAACAGCGCTAATTAAAAAGAATTTGTTTAAAACAGGTTAGAAACGGGTTCTAGGGTACGTTTGGTAGAATGGCGAGGCATAAAGAGACCCACCCCTGCAAATCCGCTTTCTCTCACAAGGTCACGGGGACAGCAACAGCCGTAACATCCCAACTCTCGTCAAAGACATTAGCAACGTTGGCGAGGTTTCTTGCGGCAGCTCACACACCATCGCATTGTCCAAAGATGGGCGAACGGTTTGGTCCTTTGGAGGAGGAGATAATGGTAAGAGCCTTGGCTGAGGGGTGACTGTCGTGCTTGAGGTAAGGAATGACCAGCATGGAAAAGCCCACGATCCTTTTTGGCCTGTTGCCTTCATCTACAGAAATGTTTGCTAAGCTTTAAGCTATCGTAAATTGTAAGCATTCATTTTATTGCGGAGCAATTTGAACATGAATAAATACAGAAGCCGCCTAGTCTTCTCTCTCTCTGCTTCTTCTGTCTCAAGCTGGCAGAACACAGGAATCCCTATTTGTCTTTAGCTAGCGGTCCCTGCTAGAGCCAAACTGGAGATAGTTAGCTTGATACCAGTTAATATTAGGTCTACCTAACCCTGGTTCACTAGCACCTCAAAGACCAGGGATGCCCACTTGGGAGACAGGTGGGAACTCTGAAGACGTGTGCACTGGAGAGCTGCAGGCTGTGGCACTTGCCCACCGCTGAGACGGCCAGTGCAGCTGCTCCGTAGAACAGCCTGGCACACAGGTGAGGAAACATCCCTGGATCTGGTCATTGCGGCTGCTGCTAAATTGTAACATTATGGTTAAATATTTGTAATTTAAGTTGGCAGTTTATTTTAGATGGGTGTCAGTGACGTAGCCCTCGATCTGCAGATTGTAAGTTCCCTTGTATGTGTGGTCCCAACAGGCAAACTGGGTCATGGAGACACCAACCGAGTGTATAAACCCAAAGTGATAGAAGCTCTTCAGGGGATGTTCATACGGAAAGTTTGTGCCGGAAGCCAGTCTTCGCTGGCTCTAACATCAACTGGACAGGTAAGCAGAACGAGTTGCAACGGAGCACCCAAAAGCTACTGGATCAGAAACAGTTTCACTAATTCTTTGAAGGAGTCCGTGGCCCAGCAAGCAGCCTGGGGGGAAAAGAAACTGCACTTGGGTCGCTAAAGCTTCTTTCCCTGTTCTCACTTTAAGTTGGAGCTATTTGCAAAACAGGGAAGAAATAATTTGATAAAGAGCTTCCCTCATGTTTGTTTGTTCCAATAATAGGCAAAGACTAATTGATAAGGGGGCCGAGCCTTAAAGGGTGACAATGCCCATTCCTACTTTTAAGTGGTCAGTATGTCCCCAGAGTTGGCTCTGTCTTCATTGTTTGCAGGGGACGGTGGCAGACCTGTGTCTGGAGACATGACGCGGGCATTTGTACGGATTTAATCCGCCCCGGCTTGTCAATTAAATGAGCAAGATTTCTTTAATAGTGTCCGAGTTCTTGCCTGGGTTGTAGTTGGGGGCTCATGGACTCTGGACTGTGGGCCTGAGCGTCCTTTGTACCCGTTTGATCCAGGTGTCTGCCTGGGGCTGCGGGGCATGCTTGGGATGCGGCTCCTCCGAAGCCACGGCTCTCCGGCCCAAGCTGATTGAAGAGCTGGCTGCCACGCGGATCGTGGACATTTCCATTGGGGACAGCCACTGCTTGGCCCTTTCCCACGGTAAGAAGATGTGGCCCATCGTCCTCTGCGTAATTTGGCATTTTGCCGATGCCAGCGTGGTGATCTCGAACTGCTTCTCTTTAGATAACGAGGTTTACGCGTGGGGCAACAACTCCATGGGGCAGTGTGGCCAAGGGAATTCCACGGGCCCCATCACTAAGCCGAAGAAAGTGAGTGGCTTAGATGGCGTCGCCATTCAGCAGATTTCGGCTGGAACGTCCCACAGCCTGGCTTGGACAGCCCTTCCCAGAGACAGGCGAGTCATACGTGCGCAAGTGCGCTTCTGTGTGGTAAACAAAGCCGTGTTGTTTCTGTTGCCAGCATCTAATTGAAGGGCCTGATGTTTTTGAGCACTGGGCCTTTTCCTCCTGGGGCCCTTTGTCACCAGGGACCTTGACTGATTTTCCAAACTTCCTGCGTGTGTTTTATAACTCCTTAGTCGCCAATATCTGTCTACATTCTCCTTTTGTAACTGGCCTCCAGCATGGGACTCAACGACTGCCGGATGCTCCGTTTTGGACCGTTGTCCACAGAAGGCCAACTCAAGACGAGCAGAACGGCTTTTAAAGCGAGAAACTGAATGAGTGGGGAAGGGGATTAAAGGGGTGATGCAGTAGGTGGTCCTTCTGAGGGGGCGTGATCCATAAATACAGGGCGATTTTGGGTTCACTGTGTTCTTCTAAACTGTGGTGAGATTTCAGTTTCACTCTCATGTATTTGTGAACTGCTCTTCCTGTGCATTTGGCACAAAGATAACGTAAGGCTATTGGGAAAAAAGGGGCAGCCCTCAAAAGGCCCCTGTTTCCAGCCCAGCCCCTAGATCGGAGTAAGTGGGGGGGGTGGGCTTCACTAGCAGGGTGCATAAAAGAGAAACAGGAATGGCTGTAAGAATTAAAAGGAGGCGTTCTGGTTTTGCTCGGATGAGCAAGCTCTGACTAGCTAGGGTTGATGTCAAAACACCCAGCGGGGTCAGTTTGGAGGCAGACCCAGGGCAGCTAAAACCCCTGCAGGACGGCCGTGGCACCCAGTGCTCCCACCACGCGGCCAGTAACGCTGCAGGACGTCACGTCCCCCTGAAGACGAGCTCGGTTTGAAGGAACTTGGGCGCCTTTCACAGTATCGGATCTCCTTTCATCGGCCTTGCCTAGTTCTGCTCCGCGGGGCCTGTTAATGCGATGGGTCTCTCTGTTCCTTAAGCGTCCTTTCTCCGATTGCAGGCAGGTGGTGGCCTGGCACAGGCCGTACTGCGTGGACCTTGAAGAAAGTACCTTCTCCCACCTCCGTTCTTTCCTCGAGCAGTACTGTGACAGAATCAATAGCGAGATCCCGCCTCTTCCTTTTCCTTCCTCGAGGTACCTGTTCATATGATAACCCTCTGGGCTGCTTCTCTTGCGCTTATCACCGTTACTAGTGCGGATGGCCTCGGCTGGTGCCTTCAGCAGGAGCCAATCTTGTTTTCTCATGAATGCAGAACTAGAATTCCTCCTTTTTAAGACGTCTGATTAAGTAATAGAAATCCTTTTGGGCAGTGATGTGTGGCCTTTTCTGAAGGCTTTGCTGCTGGGTGGGAGGGAACCTTTGCTGGTTTCTGTCCCCGCTGCAGCATGAACACAGAGCATAGGACAAGGCCCGCCGGGGCTTTGGGGGGAGGGCTCCCCCACCCGTGCTTTCGGCAGTTCAGCCGAGTGGGGGGGGGGCCGTTTGTAAAGGGAGGCCGGACAGCCTCCGCTAAGGGATCCTCCTGGTTTTACAGGGAGCACCACACCTTCTTAAAGCTCTGCCTGAAGCTGCTGTCCAACCACCTGGCGCTGGCTCTGGCTGGAGGGGTGGCCACCAGCATCCTGGGCAGGCAGGCGGGACCCCTGCGGAATTTGTTGTTTCGCCTGATGGATTCCTCCGTCCCGGATGACATACAGGAGGTCAGTCTCTCATCCCACCCGTTGGGCAGTCGCTCGGCACCGAGGTCTGAATTTCACCACAGCCTTGAGGAGGAGCCATCATTTCAAAATACATTGGCTGAACGATATCAAGTCTGCTTTGCAGCTTTCAGCGGGATGTTGACGTGGTTTGGTCTCCCTCCAAATTTTAGGTGGTGATTGAGACCCTGTCGGTCGGAGCGACGATGCTGCTGCCCCCCTTAAGGGAGAGGATGGAGCTGCTGCACTCCCTCCTTCCCCAGGGCCCCGACCGGTGGGAGAGCTTGTCCAAGGGGCAGGTAAGAAGTCCAGAGCGCTGACGGGGAGGTGCAGCTGCAGAGGATCCGGCGCTTAGTGCGCTTCCGAGTTGGAACGGTTGAAAAGGGAGGAGGACATTTGTCCGTCAGTGAAACCAGTTAAATTCTGGACTGCTGGGCAGTGTGAAGATATATAAGTCAGAAAATCATCGGTAGCGTTGCTGGAAACCACGCGCAAGTGACCTTGCTTTGACATCTTATCTGGCGGTTACCGTCAGGAGATGTCTAAGCGAAGGAGGTCGTTCTCCGTCTTTTCCTTCAGCGAATGCAGTTGGATATTATTCTGACCAGCCTGCAAGACCACACTCACGTCGCCTCCTTGCTGGGCTACAGCTCTCCCTCGGATGCCACAGATATCTCCTCCCTCTGCATCGCTTACGGGAATCTCTCCGACGCAGCCTACGGGGCCCAGAGTCACCACCCCGACACTCACCTGGCCGAAATCTTAATGAAGACTCTCTTGCGCAATTTGGGGTTCTACACAGTGAGTTCACTGCCTGGGCGACCTTACCTACTCCTGGCCTGCCCCGGAATAGCTTAGCCCAAAAACACTAGTCAGTTCAGAGGGCTGACCGGGGTGTGTGTGTGTGTGTGTAGTGGAGGGAACAGCTGTTTAAAAAGAATGGCTGTTCCCTTTCACCGCTTAAGTATTGTCCACATCTCTAAATTGCACTAATAATTTGGTGATGTCACCTCGATTCTAACTCCTGGGTGCTTTTCCCTAGTCAGTGAGAATTGCCTTAGTAGGAAGGACACGATATTTCTTAGAAAGCAGATACAGAAAGCAGCGTATTTGTCAGTAGAAGCATGGCTCCTATAAGAACGTGGTGAGGATGAAAAATAAGGGAAACTTACCCAGCGAGGCATACTAAACTTTGGGGTGGGCGAATCTTCTGCCTCGGTAGGATCAAGCGTTTGGAGAGCTGGAGAAAAACAGTGACAAATTTTTACTCGGGACGTCTTCCTCCGAGAACAGCCAGCCGGCTCACCTTCACGAACTCCTTTGCTCCCTGCAGAAACAGCTGCTGGCCTACTGTCACATCAACAGCGTCGGCGAGGTTAGTGCCGCGGTTCTTAGGGCTGCCCCCAGAGTAAGCAGAACCGTAAAGGCCAGACCGGACGGTTCATTTCAGGTGCAGCCTTTGGGCCTGAGGCCGTCGTGCGAGCAGAGGAGTCCATCGCTGGTGGAGCAGGCGACTCCTTGCCAGCCAGGTTCCTTCCTGCAGCTCCTTTCCCCGCCTCTCTCTTGCCTGCAGAACTCCAGCAGCGTGGCCCTCCTGCACAAGCACCTCCAGCTCCTCTTGCCTCACGCGGCGGAGATCTACTCCCGCTCAGCCACTTTGCTGAAGGAGAGTTCTTGGAACGGCAGCGTGGGTGAAAAATTGAGAGGTGGGGTTGCCCGCGTGTTTATCCGGCTGTGCTCAGTAGAGAATAGAGTTGCAGAACTGCGTTTGTCAGGCTTTTGCCTCCAATTTGTCTGGTTTTTGCTGAACGTTTATACGGTTAAATGCCCAAATGCATGTCGGGTCTGGCTAGGCTGGTCATACTCCTGGTTTGGAGTAACGGCTGGAGATGCTTAGCCTGTGTTTTGGGACCACGTAGGAGCCGCGAGGCTGTTTCTCGAATCTGGTCAAGGGATGCCAAAGTGATGTTGGGGGCAAGACTTGCCTGCCTCCAACTGAGGAAGGAAGGAGAAGGGATTTCCCAGACAGGATTCTGGGAGTTGAAGTCCACACAGGTTGAGAAAGGCCACCCGGGGATCCTGGCGTTTTTTCCTCCCAGGCCTGCCGCTCATTAACCAGCCGCTTCCCCCCATTCCAGATGTCATCTACGTGTCTGCCGCAGGAAGCATGCTTTGCCAGATCGTGAATTCCCTCCTTTTGCTGCCTGTGTCGGTAGCCCGGTCTTTGCTGAGCTACCTCCTGGACCTCTTGCCACCCCTGGACTGCCTTAACCGACTCCTGCCAGCCGCAGTGCTTCTAGAAGACCAGGAGTTACAGTGGCCTCTTCACGGTGAGCCGACTCGAACGAGCAGTTCTTCTTCCCAAGCCGGGGTGGGCGGGGGGATTCAGAGTGGAAATGGGCTTGTAACCCCACTTTTCCAAAACGCTGATTGCTCTCCTATTCCCAGGTGGGCCTGAACTGGTTGACCCGGCTGGAATACCCTTACCTCAGCCTGCCCAGGTGTGGGTGTGGCTTGTGGACCTAGAGAGAACCGTCGCTTTGCTGGTTGGACGGTGTCTGGGGGGGATGTTGCAAGGGGCCCCGATGTCTCCCGAAGAGCAGGACACGGCTTACTGGCTGAAAACACCCTTGTTCAGTGATGGAGTGGAAATGGACGCCCCGCAGTTAGGTAATCCGGTCAACAGCGTGAAAGGTTTGGAAACTGGAGGCGCATTGCCACGTAATCACGATGCTTGTTAAAATAACCCCGTCGGTGTCCAGAAGTGGGAGGAAAGGAGGGAAAGACGCCACGGTGGGGGCCTTTTGGCTTAGGAAAGTGGGGGAGGGGGGGGGGCAGAATAAGAGAAACCTAAGAACATACACTGGGCTGGAGAAAAAGTTCTTATTGTACAGTATTGGAACCCATTGGGGTTGTGAAAAAAAAGGATTCATCAGTGCCGGGTTCTGGAGAGATGCGGGCAAGCCAGCCCTTCCCCATGCAGTTGGGGGCGTTGGCCCCACAGAAACGCCCCCAGCCTGGCTGGCTTCAAAAGGGAGCCGTTGGAGGCCGAGCATGCTCAGTAGCCACCCACGTTGGGGTCGCTGCAGGACCATCCCCGAATCTTCCTTGACTCCGCCTAAGAATCCCCAAGTTGGCCCCGTCTGATCTGATCCCGTTTCAGGTGGGTTGACCTGCGGCTCCCATAAGTCAGGGCGGATTTGGAAGGCTGGGCTAAGTAAAGGGACAGCCCTGGATTTGTGCCTCTTGTTCTTAGAGAAGTCGGTGAGTTCCCTCCTGGAAGTGGCCCTCTCCGGGAACGAGGAGCAGAAGCCCTTCGACTACCGCCTGCGCCCGGAAGTCTCCACCTTTGTGGACTTGGCCCTGGGGGGCGCCAAGGAGCCGGCCCGCAGCCTCTGGGTCAGCATGCAGGACTACGCCGTGAGCAAAGGTCAGCCCCGGGGAGCAGCAGAGGGGGGGGGGAAGGGGTCTGCCCCGGTGAAAGGCTAAGGGAGCACTTAGCCGCCACCTGGGGGAACCCCCGAGGTTTTCGGAGCAGGGTCTGGCTCCGTTGAGCACCGGGAAGGCGGCCTCTGAGCAGCCTAAGGGGGCAAACTCGGCCTTCTGGCCTCCAGGGAACCTTGGCCGGTCACGAGCAGAGGCGATGCAGCAGCCCAATTTTCCATCCTGTTTGCAGAGAGCTTGAATCCGGCTGGGAATAGGAGTGGGGGGGCCCTTGGGGGCCAGAACTCTGGGCCAGGGGGAAGCGGGGGCTAATTGGAGCCCTCGAAAAGAGCAAGCGCCAAAGGAAACCATCGTCATGGACTCTCTGAGGCCGCTCCCACTTCGGTTTTTATTCCGTTTCTCTCCTGCAACCTAGACTGGGACAGTGCAACCTTGAGCAGCGAGTCCCTGCTGGACACCGTCTCCCGGTTTGTTCTGGCTGCCCTTTTGAAGCACACAAATCTGCTCAGTCAAGCAAGCGGCGAAAGTAGGCAAGTATCCAACAAATAATCTGGCCTTTTTATCTTTTGTCTGAGATCGTCGTCTCTGGCTGTAACCTTGTGGGATGCTTGTGTTTGTAGGTACCAGCCCGGAAAAGCATTAGTAGAAATCTATCGATGCGTGTATAAAGTTCGGAATCGTTTGCTTGCTTGCAAGAACATGGAACTTATTCCGACACGCTCGTCTTCCCGGGATAGATGGGTAAGCCTGGCGAGCAGCCAAAGTTTCCTTTTCTTAAAAGAGAGGGGGGGGGTATTCTAAGATGAAAGATTTCAGGCAGAAATCCACGTGGGCATTTCTCCTCGTTCTGCTTGCGTTGAATCGTCGCTTTATTACGTTTTGCTACGGATGGATTTCAGGTTTGAATTCTCTGGCAGGCGATTGAAATAAACGTTGGCTAAAAGCCTGCTGTGATAGCCGGTGGGTTGTTTTTATCCCCTGCAAGTGATGGATCGTTCCCCTTCAACTGAAGCAGGGGCTCTGTTCACCGCCTCTCCTCTTTGCTCCCTTTCAGCTGTCAGGTAACCCAGAATCGTCGGACATCGATGCTCAGGAAGGCCCCTTCACCCGGACCATCGATGAGGAAGCCGAGATGGAAGAGCAGGCAGAGCGGGAAAGAGAGGAGGGGCATGCGGAGCAGGAGGAGGAAGAGGAAGAGAGAGAGCACGAAGTGATGACCGCTGGCAGTAAGTGGACACGCTGGGGCCGCCGGGCACCTTCGGCCGACTTGGGCTGGGGGCCGAGATGTTCAGCTGAAGAATGACTGCAGTCCTTGAGCTCTGCCTGGCAGTGAAGACCTTTTGTTTTTGTGTCGCACGTTACAGAAATATTTCAATGTTTCCTATCAGCCCGTGAAGTCGCTCGCAGCCGAGACCGAGAGAGAATAAATGGCGGGTTGGGGGCGCAAGCGGAGGATCAGCCCCCCCAGTCCCAGCAGGAGCGGCGTGTCAGCAGAGACCTCCCGGAGGGCCAGGACGTGTACACGGCTGCCTGCAACTCGGTGATCCACCGCTGTGCCCTGCTGATCCTGGGGGTCAGCCCGGTGGTGGAGGAGCTGCAGAAGCGCAGGGAGGAAGGGCAGGCGCAGCAGCTCTCGGGCGGCACTCCGGAAGGGGTCGGCCTCATGATGACCAGGTGCGAGCAGCTCGGCCCTCCTCGCCAGCCTCTCGGGGACCTGCTGTGGCGGCTGCGCCTGAGCTTCGAGGCAGCTCGGTGCCCTTTGGGGTCCTGGGATCGGAGAACCCAGCGGAGCCCTTACGGCTGTGAGGACAGGGCTGCGTTTTCTGTCCAAAAAGGACCCACGGGGTTGTCCTTGGTGTTCTGGCACGCATGGGGCACTTGCACATCACGGGAGGGTAGATTTAATCAAAGGTTGTGGCGGAGTTTATGCAACCAGAAGCACTCGGGCGCGTGCTCAGCGGGAGGACGCTGAGCGATTCCTGGCCAGACACAGAAGCTGCATGGGTGGAAATGGAAGGAAGCGCTCTGAAATTGGGAGGGTTTTCAGGATGACGGCCTATAACGCAACGTGAAGCAGGACGCTGCGGATCCAGGCAAATGAGAAGGTCTTTGCATCGTTGTGTAGTTTTTTCCCCTCTCTCTGTTGTGTCTTTATGCGAGGCAGAAGCGAAAGTCTTAGCGCAGAAAGTCGTTCGGGCCACTCTACCTCAAGTTACAAACTGATGAAATCGAGGAGTGAATCTGACCTCTCCCAGCCTGAATCTGATGAAGAAAGTTACTCGCTGGTAAGCGGAACAAACAGCAAGTTTTCCTTGATGGGACGAGCCTGATTCCGTTCGAAAGCCCCGCGTGTGCTTAGGGTCCTCCTCTCCTAGCCGGTGTTTCTGGCCTTGGCGTGTTTCCCGCTTCCCTCCCTGCCCCCGTCCCCTTTTGTGTTACGTCTCTTCATTGGTCATCCGGGGTTTTAAAGCTTGACTGCCTCAGGAACCGTGACTACAACAAAAGTACCAGAAGGAGCCAGTAACGTTTTCTCTTCTCCTCTTTAGAGCGGAAGGCGAAATGTGGATCTGGATCTGGCATCGTCGCATAGAAAGAAAGGTAAACTGTTCATCATCGCCCCCTCATAGCCCTGTCATTCTCTGAAGCCGGGGTGTCCAACCTTAGCAACCTGACGACTTGTGGACTTCAACTCCCAGAATTCCTCCGCCAGCCGGCAGTGGAAGTCCACAAGTCTGAAAGCGGCCTCAGTTGGAGACTCCTGCTGTAAAGCAAGGACCCTTTGCAGTTTCCGACTATATTTTCCAGGTCTGTTCTGTGGCCCCATTATAGTGGGGGGGGGGGGAGGGGGGGGGGATTCTGAGAAAGGGCCTGAGCGGATGGTTCACCAGCATGTTAGCCCGGCTTGCCGGCCACACCCTCCGCCAGCCGCCATCAGAGTTGCATTCCAGAGCAGGCTGAAGTTCTCGGCTGGTGGCCGGAGACGGTCAGTCCTGGCTGCCTGTTTCCATGGGCTGCTTTAGGAGGGGGAACCTCTTGGCCTCCAGTTCCTCAGCCAGTTCCTTGTGCTGGGGACGGTTCAGGCACCTTCCGGTTGCCAAGACTGGAGCCCCCTGTAACTCTAAACCTCTCAGATTTTAGGAAGTGCATCTTTACGGCCACTGCTTGCCTGGGACCCCTCAGGGACCCCCCCCCGCCCCCCCCCCGCTCCCCTTCCTGACCCCGTTTCCCACGTATGGGCAGATTGCAGATTGAATGTTGTCTTCTCTCCCCAACGTCTCTCTTTGTCTTCGGATTCTTGTGGGGTGTAGTGTGTTTGCTCCTTTTTGGCCAGTTGAGCCCCAGAAAAAAGAACAGCTTCAAGCAAGTACACGATGGCATGTTCCCATTTTATATTCTCTCTCTAGTTTGCCTACATACTTTATAAAACATAAAATATGTATAGCAGCCGCTCCACGTTCATTCTGAATACCGCATTACTGAAAAATGGCATACGAGGACAAGTAAACGTGGGTGGTCGTCCCCCCCGCCCCCCCTTTTTGTCGAGGGCGGGGTTGAACTACCGCCCTTGGGCTTTGTTTAGCACAGGCGGCGTCGCTTGCTTGCGAGGGGCGTCCTTAAAGCACTGCAGAGCCCTCTTCGCCCTGCAGCTCCGCAGACGGAGGTAGAAAGAGCAGCTCCCCCCCAGCTGCGCTTCCGGGGGAGGGTTGGCTAGTTTCACCCCAAGCACGCTGGACCCTCAAGACACCATCCCCCCCCCCCCAGTAGTTCCGCCTTGGTGTGCCTCCTGCCTCCGCCTCTTGCCTCGCCCTTCCTCAGACCACACCGCCGTTCTTCACGGAGGATGGATCGGCCTTTGGCATCTGCCTTTCTTTGGCTTTCACGCTTGCGTAGCTCCCCTCATGCTCAGGTGTCGATGTTTAGGGGAAGGAAGGCAGCTTAAGACTCACATAAAATCTCCCAGTCATTGTAAAGTTGAACGCAAAGGGGCATACCGTTGCTCTGAAACTAGAACGCAGAAGAATTACAACTGATAAGAGTTTGACCAATCACGTTTTTATGTTTTGTATGTGTATGTTTGTTTTTAAAAATAAAAACAAATTAAAAAAGAGGGTTTGACCAATCATGTAACTAAAATTATTGCAAAACTGAGGAGCTGTAAATGGGGTTCGCCCCCTTCCCCTGATTCTAAAAGTTTCATTTTTTGTGTGCAAACAAGGTCGCCCTTCAATTTTTTTCTTTTGGTCCCTGTGCATTTACTTAAAGAGTAATAGCTTTTTTAAACAACGGTCTTGTCTACTCGGCATCTGGTTAGATGATGCCTCAACTTATGACCATAATTCTGGGTTTAATTATGGCGGCGATTCGGGGGCTTAAATGTAGCTGCTTAAGCTCAGCCTCTTCGCTCTACAGCCAGGCCCACACAATGCCAGCCGTTTGTGCCCGTTTACTTGACCTTTACTCATCTCTACATAAACTTCCAGAAAAGCTATAAATCACCCACTCCTGCTTTACACCGATGCAAGTTAAATACGAACCTTTTTGTGCAATTAGCTGTCAAGAAAAAAAGTCTTATCTTCTTTGTGTGTGGCAAATATTCTTTTTTTCCCTTTACCTCTATGTTGTTTTATTTGCATATCACCTTTTTTCGACGTTCTAGCTTTAAGCTAAACAGTTTGAGTGGCTTGTGCTTTTAATTTCCTGGTAAGGCAAAACCCGTCGCCTGGAGATTTGCCAGCAAAACATACAGCTCTCATTTTTTTGGCCTTTGGTGTGGTAGGCATTGCTGACCGTGCGCATGAAATTGACAGGGGTTCCCATTTCCATCTGTTTCGAACCGCAAGTCGCGTGTTCATTTCTGCCGGTTGGAGAACTCAGTTGCCCTGCCAGTTACAGAATTCTGTGTGTTTCCAGGCTCCTTCCACAGCCCGATTGAAACGCTCAGCGACTCGTGGACTCGGCTAAAACAGCGCGATTGGCTCTCCAGCTCTTCCTGTTTGTTCGGGGAGTCCGAGGTTGACTTCACTAAATCCGTTGGTATTCATACTTTGATCGAGAACATGATTAGCTTCATAAGTGGGGATTTAGGAAGCTCCCCAGGCTTCAAGGAGCCCGAAGAAAGCATGTCCACCAACCCCCAGGCCTACCTCGTGGCCATGGAGCAGCAGCAGCAGAGAGCAGAGGTGCGTGTTGCCTGTTGTGGTTCCTTGTCATGCTGGTTCTCAGAGGACCCGGGCCTTGGCGTTGTCGGCTGCCATTCTGCTTGGGGAAGGAGCCCTTTCAGGTTCCTACACTCTGGCAGTTTGGTTGGTTTGGCCTTTGCGCTGTGAAACGTCAGAACGGCCTCCCTGCGCAACACCCAGCACAGGAGTCCTCTGGCAGCCTCCGCAGACTCCATGCAGTTGAGCCCCCAGTGGGTTCATGAGCGGTTGCCTTCACGCGCGCAAGGATTATGGCCTTGTGGCCTCTGCATTCTGTCTCCTTTTGAGGTGGCTGTCCTCCCAAACTCCAGGCGCTTCCTGGGCATCTTGGGAGGAGAGGTGCCATCATACGGGCTTAAGTCCCGTAAGCTTAAGTCCAGAGTCTCCTCTGTGGCCTTTGCAGAAACCGCCTATCCTGCTGAAAAGTGGCCGTTCCGCTTCAGGAATGGTATTTGCAAGGGGGCTCCTAGACGGGGGGCTCACCTCTTGCCGTGCTGCCGTTGCGGTTTGCTTTCCAAATAGCAGCTCCGAATCGATTCTTTTCCATCGCCCTTAGCTGCGCCTGGAGGCCTTGCACCAGATCCTGGTTTTGCTTTCGGGGATGGAAGAGAAGGGGGCCACCGCCTCCCTCGGGAGCCGCCAAGGCCTGGGCTTCCAGTCTTCCTCATTTCTCACTTCGGTGAGGCTGCAGTTCCTGGCCGGCTGCTTCGGCCTGGGAAGCGTGGGGCACGCTGGAGCCAAAGGAGAGAACATCCGGCTGCACCACTACCAGGTAAGGGCTGTGGCCTGAGAAGAGGATGCCGTTGTGCCTGGGGCTGCTTGCCAAACCCGTGGGTGGCTCTTCCGTAGGACTGGCCCTCGGGCGGGAGGGCAGGCTTGACCGCCCTGGGTTTTTCACAGGATGGCATCAGGGCAGCCAAGAGAAGCATCCAGACCGAGATCCAAGTGGCCGTGCACAAGATCTACCAGCAGCTGTCGGCCACTTTGGAAAGAGCCCTCCAAGCAAATAAACACCACATTGGTAAGCAGAGCGGATCAACTCCAGCGTCATTTTTATTTCTGGGAAGAAACAAACCAGGCTCCCCCAGCTCAACCTGGGACCCCTCTCAACGTATGTCCTTGTTTTTCCCTTTGTGCTGGTGTGTGTGTGTGTGTGTGTGCGTATTAGAGGCACAACAACGGCTCCTGTTGGTGACCGTGTTCGCCCTAAGTGTGCATTACCAGCCGGCCGATGTCTCCTTGGCCATTTCCACCGGGCTGCTGAACGTCCTTTCTCAGTTATGCGGGACGGACACTGTGCTCGGGCAGCCCCTGCAGCTCCTACCCAAAAGCGGCATCTCCCAGCTCAGCACCGCTTTGAAAGTGGCCAGCACGAGGCTACTCCAGATTCTCGCCATCACCACCGGGTAAGCGCTAATGAGATCAAACTCCCCCCCCCCCCACACCCCCAGTTGACTGGTTGAAATACTGAAAAGGTGTGATGAAAGCCCCCAATTTACCTCCTTTGCAAAACCAGGCAATGCTGGCCTCCCCCCCGCCCCCATGCCCCCTGCACCCCCCCCCCCCATCTGCAGGCGTCTCAGGGGGTGCTGGCTGAAGGCCCAGCCTGGTTAAATAAATCGGGCCTGAGGTCAGCAGGGAGGGTGCTCCACGGTCAGCCTCAGGCCGTTGAACAGCTGCTGTGGGGTGAACAAGAACAGCCGCACCTGGGAGCCGAGCGGAGTTCCCCTCCGTTAGCCGTTCGGCTCGTGGGGAGGTTAGTTCAGGCAGAGGAGCAGGAAATCCCCTTCCCGGGAACATCCTCCAGTGCCTGACTTAGGCCTCTTCCCAGGGCTCGGCCACCTCTGTGTGACCCCGCTTGACCGCCCCCCCCCTTTTCACCTAGGACTTACGCAGATAAATTGAGCCCCAAAGTGGTACAGTCCTTGCTGGACCTGCTGTGTAGTCAGCTGAAGAACCTGCTGTCGCAAGCGGGCGTGATGCTGATGACTTCTTCCTTCGGAGAAAAGGAAGTGGCCGATCAGGACGACAAAAAAACCGAATGCAAAGGTGACACCGAGAGGAAAGACTTCAAAGGTACGAGACCCCGACCTCTTTTTTTAAAGGGAGAACTAGTAATAGTCAGGAGGCAGCAGGAGGCGGGGGTTCCCCTGGCTTACGATGATCGCCCATAAAACTGTGAGGCGACCTCTGCTGCCCCTTGCTCGGCCCGCTTCGTAAATGCCGCCTGGCTGGCAGAGATTCACTCTTATGGTTTGCTTTTGCAGTTGCCCTCCGAAAACAGCACGCTGCCGAGCTCCATCTGGGGGACTTCTTAGTTTTCCTCCGAAGAGTCGTTTCTTCCAAAGCCATCCAGTCCAAGATGGCTTCTCCAAAGTGGACGGAAGTGCTTCTGAACATAGCTTCTCAGAAGTGCTGCTCAGGTACGGGCCACCCGGGTGCGAGTGAGCCGAGGAAGGGAAGGCCGCGTCCAACGCAGAATCCGGGGTCTTCCGTCGATGTGTGGGCTTGGGCCTTAGGGCAAGGTTTTAAGAACTGCCTGACCGCTGCTCAGGTCCATGTCCCGTGTCCTTTCCCTCTTAGGTGTCCCTTTGGTTGGCAAGCTGAGGACCAGGCTACTTGCCCTCCATGTCCTGGAGGCTGTGCTGCCAGCTTGTGAATCCGGTGTGGAGGATGACCAGATGGCTCAGGTGTTGATACTTGGGAGAGAATTTAGGAGGGTTGTAGAGTGGCACCTGCCTCTCTAAGCTCGGATCAGGTCTCTGCCTCCAGCAGCTGCGCCCAGCTTCACCTTCCACTTGTGCGCCAGGCGCTGCTTTCTCCCAAACCGAACCTGGGGTCTCCCACCTCCGGGCAGTTTCCCCCAATTGGCAGCCAGGGAGAGTTCCTTCCTTCATCCCGTATCTCTGGGCCATCCCTCCTCCAGCGATGCCCAGAGAGACTTTGGGATCCTCTGGCTGCCTTGCGTTTGCTGCCGTTGGAGGGCGGGGGTGGGGTGCATTGAAGCCCTTAACTAGCCTCTGAGGACCCCCCGCAGGCCCTCGGTGGCCTTTAGCGGGGGGCCCTTTACCTGGGAGCAGAGTGGAGGAGCGGAGTTGCAGCCTTTCCCTGGCAGTTCGTTGCACTGAACGCGCGGTGCTGATGCTCCCAACAGGTGATCGAACGGCTGTTTTCCCTCCTGTCCGACTGTATGTGGGAGAGCCCAGTTGCGCAGGCCAAGCAAGTCCTTCAGGCCAAAGAGAAAGAACAAGAGACGAAGGCGCAGGTACCGTTTCATCTACTTCTGATTAGCTCCGTGCTCGCTGGCTGCGTCCCCCTGACAGAGTTTTGCCGTCTGTCCCTGAAGAAGCAGGGGGAATCTGAAGAAGAAGACGAGAACCTGCCTATCCAGGAGGTCTCCTTTGACCCCGAGAAAGCCCAGTGCTGCCTAGTGGAAAACGGCCAGATTCTCACTCACGGCAGCGGAGGAAAGGGCTACGGGCTGGCGTCCACGGGCGTCTCATCCGGATGCTACCAGTGGAAGGTACGGAGGTCGGAAACAACATTCCAGGCTCAGGCCTGTGATAAACTGTCAGAGCTGGAGGTGGGCATCCCGTCTCCTTTCTTGGCATTCCTGGCTCCACGGGATGGAATCGGGCTCACAATGTAGGAAAGCCCATCAGAAATACGGACTCAGTAGCCTTTGGGCCCAAGATGGGAGGTTCTCACCCAAGAATAAACCCACTGCAACTGCCCCTTTCAAGGTTGGGAAGGAAGCCACCAGGAGCTGCTTCTCTGCTAGGAAGAGGGGGGGGGCGTTACTTTGTCCCAGTTTCCCCTGTGATCTGCCCGTGTCCCTGTTTAAAGCTCACCGTCGTTCTGCGCTTTCTAGTTTTACATTGTGAAAGAAAACCGAGGCAACGAAGGGACGTGCGTGGGGGTCTCTCGCTGGCCCGTTCATGATTTCAACCACCGCACCACCTCCGACATGTGGCTGTACAGAGCCTACAGTGGCAACCTCTACCACAACGGGGAGCAGGCGCTGGCCCTGACCAGCTTCACGCAGGGGGACTTCATTACCTGCGTCCTGGATATGGAAGCAAGAACCATTTCCTTTGGCAAAAACGGGGAGGTGAGAGGCTTTGATCCATTCCTGCCTGGCTCTCTTTTCACAAGCAGTTCACGGGAGAGGTTAAAAACGCCCCTCGGTGGCGACATTAACACCCCCCCACCCACCCCCCAGTTTCAAACAAAGTGGAAGAAGAAGAAGAGTGGCACGGTGTGTATTTCTTGCGTCTGGCGCTCTATTCCCACGGGAAAGTCAGTCTCATGAACGGGTGCAGCAGGGACCTAGCAAAAGCCAAAGGGAAGCGAATCCCCAGCCGCCTCTCAAGCTGGCAGAAACTTCATCGTCCGCCTGGAGCGGGAGGGGCTCCCTTGTAAGCCCATTTCTCAACTCCCCTATTTTTTTGTCTTCTCATTAGGAACCCAAACTGGCCTTCGAGGATGTGGATGCTGGAGAGTTGTATCCTTGTGTGATGTTTTACAGTAGCAACCCTGGAGAAAAGGTACCGTGGCCGCTTCAAGGGCTCTGGAGCCGGTGGCCACTCCCTGCCACTTTGAGAGAGAAACGGGGAGACCCTGGGAGGGGGAGGGGGGGGATAAAGATGCAGCTGGGAAGGAGGGGAAGGGCTGTAATTGAGAAGGGGGCTTTTCTGGCGTTCTAAGCTCAGGGCGGGAGCTTTGAAAGCCGGAGAGGCAGCCGAGCAACTGTGTCTGTGTGTGTCTGGGACGGCCTAGGTAAAGATCTGTGACATGCAGATGCGTGGCACCCCAAGGGATCTGCTGCCGGGGGATCCCATCTGCAGCCCGGTGGCCGCAGTGCTGGCAGAGGCCACAATTCAGCTGATCCGCATCCTGCACCGGACCGACCGGTGGACGCACTGCATCAACAAAAAAATGATGGAGAGGCTGTACAGAATCAAAGGGTGCCTGAAAGAAAGCGGCCAGAAGCTGAAGAAAAGCCGCTCCCTGCAGAGTCGAGAGGAGAACGAGGTGCGCGAGGAGGAGGAGAAGATGAAGCACTGCGGCCGGCCACACGGACTGGCCGACCTCTCGGAGCTGCAGCTGAAGACGCTCTGCATGGAGGTCTGGCCGGTGCTGGCAGTGATTGGCGGGGTGGACGCCGGGCTTCGAGTCGGGGGACGCTGCGTCCACAAGCAAACCGGGCGGCACGCCACCTTGCTGGGCGTGGTCAAGGAAGGCAGCGCCTCGGCCAAGGTCCAGTGGGACGAGGCCGAGATCACCATCAGGTACAGTGCTGGTGTCCGGCAAGCAGCCAGCGGTTGAGGTCCAGGAAAGGGTCTCCGGGGTTTCCGCTGCTGACCTGGGCGCTTGTGGCCTGGCAGAGCAGCCGCTGGTGGCCTTTTAAGGGCCGGGAGATACCAGTCATGCAGGCCTACCCAGAGGCCGAGGCTCCTTCCAGGACGGGGCTGGGCTGTCCTTGCCAGGGCTTTCTGGGGGCAGGTGGCACCCCAGGCAGGTGCCAGTCAACCGGCCAGCCGGCGGTGCCTGGTGAGAGGCCCTTGTCAAAAGCCGCTTAGAAAAGCTCCCCTGTTAGTGAACAGTAAACCATGTCAGGTGTTTTGAAGTCAAGACATTGCTGTAGAGATCCACACACACACACACACACACACAAGGCTGGTTACCTTTGTGTTGAACGTCCCCCGTCCCCACAATCTCACTTCCCTGGTTGACCTCGAGTTCCAGATGGTCAGCTCGTTTAGAGCGTGGCCTGTTTTGCGTCGTATTTTGCCTGTGTGATTTCCTGTGCTTTCCTCTTGTCTATCCCTCACTTGCCTCTTCCTGTGTCGTTCTGGTCTTTATTAAAGCTTCCCAACTTTTTGGTCGCCTAGTGATACGCCGCTCTATAACCTGGAACCTTGCGAACCGCTGCCTTTTGACGTGGCCAGATTCCGGGGACTGACGGCCACCGTCTTGCTGGACCTCACCTATCTGACCGGCATCCACGAAGACCTGGGCAAGCAGAGCGTTAAGCGGCACGAGAAGCGGCACAAGCACGACCCGGAAGACAAGGGGGACCCGGAGCAGAAGTCAGAAAGCGACGCTGCGTCCGAGGCACGACCTGTGCCCAGCACCGAGGAGGCGAAAGGACACGGGGCCAAGCTGGAAAGCGAAAGCTCTTCCTTCTCTTTGGACGCCATCTCCTTGGGCATGGAGTGCCCGCACCTGAACGCCGAGGGCAAGAAAAAGAACCACGAACACGCCGCCAAGAACTACGAGGCGGCCCAGTCAGAAACTCGGGCGGTTCAACTCTCCTACCTTTACCTGGGAGCCATGAAGTCCCTCAGCACGCTGCTCAGTTGCAGCAAGTACGCCGAGCTGCTCCTCATCCCCAAAGTCCTGGCCGAGAACGGCCACAACTCTGACTGCGCCAGCTCCCCCGTAGTCCACGAAGAGGTGGAGATGCGCACGGCCTTGCAGTTCTTGATGCGCCATATGGTAAAGCGGGCAGTCATGCGCTCGCCCATCAAGAGGGCGATGGGATTGGTGGACCTGGAGCGGGCACAGGCCATGATCTACAAACTAGTTGTGCATGGACTGATGGAAGATCAGGGCGGCTCCAAAGCCAAGCAAGGTACGTCCCAAGCAGGCGGGTGTAGCGCTGCAGCTGGACGGTTGGCGCGAGGCCTGTGGCTGCGGAGGAACGGCAGGGCCTCCTCTGCGCCTCCCTTGGTCCGGTGGCCAGTGGCGGCATTTCTCCTGAGCTCAGCTGGTGACTCCCCTCCCCCAGTTCAGCTCAGCTACTAAAAGTGGCTGAAAAACAAACGGGGGGGGGAGTTTTTTGGCCGCAACCCCAGGAAAGCCCCTAGCTGACACGGGTGAGGGCGGGTCAGCCGGTGGCAGTTTTGGAGGGAAAATCTCAGTGGGCCTGAAGTGCAAGAGGCCTCAATGGCGGCGGCGGCAGCAGCAGCCCCTGTTGCCCAGGAGCGAGGGCTGGCTGGGAGGTCCAAGGTCCTCTGTGCTTCCTTCATCACGAGCTGCAGAGAAAACGGTCCTTGGGGGGCCGCCTTGGTCAGCTGTAGGCGGGGGGGCTGGCCCTCGCCCCTCCAAGGAGTGGCTTCCAGGCTGTGCTGGAGGAGCCGGGCAGCTGGGGGGGCGGTCAGTTCTTGAGTGCTGCTGATTTAAACCCCCAAGTAGAAGGGCCAGGCATTCTACGGTGGGTCAGGCCAGTGGCCCTTCTCATCCCCCGGCCCCAGCACTCGCCCCCTGGCCAGCGCCCTGCAAGGAGCCCCCCAGCTGCCTTCGAGGGCCAGGCCGAAAGGGCTCCCCTTGCTTTGCAGAAGCAGACCAGCAGGCCGAAGAGAATGACCAGAGTCAGCAGGCCCAGACCCCTGTGACCACCAGCCCGTCTGCCTCCAGCACCACGTCTTTCATGAGCAGCTCTCTGGAAGACACGACAACGGCCACCACCCCCGTGACCGACACGGAAACCGTGCCCGCCTCAGAGTCCCCGGGGGTTCTGCCCCTCAGCCTCCTGAGGTACCTCTTGATTTCCACGCCTGGCTGCTCAGCGGAGTTTGGGGCATCAGCTGCTGGCCGGCCTTGCGTTGCTCACTCCCTTCTTTCCGGTCTCCCCGAAGGCAAATGTTCTCCAGCTACCCCACCACGGCTGTCCTTCCCACCAGACGGGCGCAGACGCCCCCCATCTCCTCCCTGCCGACTTCTCCCTCCGACGACGTGGGCAGGCGCCAGTCGCTCACCTCCCCCGACTCTCAGCCTGCCAGACCGGCCAATCGCACAGGTGGGCCTCGTCCAGAGCCGCTTGGCTCTCCTTAAGCCTGTGCCACCTTCTGCGTTCGGCAACCCCGGGCATTAACTTTCGTCCCCCACCCCCCCACCCCTCCCCACAGCTTTGTCTGACCCGAGCAGCCGCCTGTCAACCTCCCCGCCTCCTCCTGCTGTGGCCGTGCCCTTGCTGGAAATGGGCTTTTCCCTCCGGCAGATCGCTAAAGCCATGGAAACCACAGGTAAGTCCCAGGCGCTCCTGGGCCAGGGGTGATTCCGTCCCTCCCCCGGAGCTCCTGGGGAGAGCCTGCGGGAGCGCCCGCGAGGGGCACGGGTGGGGGGCGGGCCTCTCTCCCCCAGTAATGCCCCCTCCCCCCCCTTCTTGCGTTTCACGAGGCACGGAAATCTGGACTCTGCCATTCCTTTGGCCCGAACTCATTATGCCGGCGTGTGTCTAGCGTCGCATTTTGCCCTGTTTCTCTGCCGCCCAGGATCTTCAGTCACTGGGGAAGGACAGCTGGTGAAACATGCGTAGCGATTTGTTGGGGGGAGCGGGGGATTCTGGGCCGGGCAAAAGCGATGCCTCCTCCCTTGGTTCCGTTCAGCGCTGCAGCGGGCGGCTTTGCTGGGGTGTCCGACGAAGGTTTCCGGTTCCCGCAGGTGTCCGAGGGGAAGCAGATGCCCAGAACATCACCGTCCTGGCCATGTGGATGGTGGAGCATCCTGGGAACGAGGAAGATGAAGAGCCTCAGTCGGAGGACATGGTAGATGCCCGGCAGGGAGGATTAGGCCCTGGAGGTGGGGGCAAGTCCAGCGACCAGGGCTACCTGCAGTCCCCGGGAGACCTGACTTCGGCCGATGCCCCTGAGTTGGAGGAAGGCTTTGGGGAAAGGTGAGCTATGAGTATTGGCTTGCCACCTAATCCGTCAGTAGGGGGGCGGTATGATTAAAATTATTTCGGGCTCTGTTAAAAATAAAATAAAAGATGATTAGGCCCACATTTTAAACCCACATTTAAAGTCTCAATAGCGGGTTGCACCAGCGTTTCTGAGCTGTTTTTGTCCTTCCAGCCACGATAACATGGATCACGCAGAAAACGCAGCCTCGGGAAGTGGGCCCGTGGCAAGGGGCCGGTCGGCAGTGACCAGGAGACACAAATTTGACCTGGCTGCTCGGACGCTGCTGGCCCGTGCCGGTAAGCCTTGCAAAGACTACGTTGCACATTCCCCTCTCCTCCTTGGCCAGGTATTTGAGCAGGTGCTAACTACCTGTTTGTCAAAAAGAAAAAGTGCCTAAAAAGGCACCTATAAGTTCTGTGCATCCCAAGCTGAAGGAAGATTATGTCAGGATTTCCTGAGCATATTTCGGTTTTATAAAGGCTGTCCCAGAGTTGAGGGTGGAGAGCCTGCTCTGTCTAAGAAAACGGGGCTGATGGGGCGCCAGCCTCCTTCCTTCCTTCTTCCCCCTGTCAGAGTAGCCATTCCTGGGGTTCCATACCAGGTAGACCAGGCTGGGAAACAGATGCCCCGCAGACCCAACGCTACTCTCCTCAGAACAGGTCTAGGGACAGAATCCTGCCAGGGTGAATGTGCTGCCTCTTCCTGAGAATTGGGGGGTGGGGGGGTTTAGGGCCCCCTTTCTCAGATCATTGCCTCGGTAGCAGCCGTTCAAGTGCATCCTCTTCCTTCCCTGCCCAAAGGCCCCTCCTGGGGATCGGGCGGGGGATAAAGTCTTTGGGAGTGGTCTTCATACGGCCAGGAGAGCAGGGGACGATGGGTTTCCCCATGCCCCTGGGCAGGTGAGCCTCCGGTCCTGCAGTCCACGCCCCCTCATCCCACCCCCCCCGCTGCTTTTGACTCGCCCAGTAAACCCCGGTTTCCTCCCCTGTTCCAGCGGGCTTGTACCGCTCTGTCCAGGCCCACCGGAACCAGAGCCGGAGGGAAGGGATCTCCTTGCCACAAGATCCCGGCGCGCTCTACGACTTCAACCTGGATGAGGAGCTGGAGCTGGAGCTGGACGAGGAGGCCATGGAAGCCATGTTTGGGGCGGACCTTGCCGGGGACAATGACATTCTGGGAATGTGGATCCCAGAGGTATTGGACTGGCCGACCTGGGTGTGTGTGAGACGGCAGCTGGGCTGCTGCTTTGCTTCCTTCTTGCGCTTTAGAACGTGGCGGCTTCCCTCTGCGCCTCGTGGAGCCGCCTTGGTTAACGGGATGGTTGCTAAATGGGGGGGACGGACGGGGGGGGGATGGACTGTGACTGCGGCTGCTTTCTATTTGCCAGCCCTCTTTCCTCCGGGAAGTAACAATTCAGAGCCTTCTTTTCTTTTAGAAATAGGTGTAATCCCACGCTTTAGTAATCGGAAATAAACGCCCAATGTATTTCCTCTGATTTAAATTTTTAAAAAAAACTGAAACAGGGGATGCTGCTTGCATTCAAAACTGGAGCTAAACTGGAGCCGTTCAGCCCGTGGCTCAATGCCGTCAGCTCCCTTCAGGTCAAGGATCCGGCCAGCGCTGCCGAATCCTGACCTCTTCCGAGCTGACTCCCTCCTGGTCCAGAAGGAGAACGAGGGGCTCCTTGTTAATGCAGAACTGGAGCAGAACCCCCTCCCAGAGAGGGCGATCTAGAAACCAGCCTCAGTTCTGCCTGCCAGGAAGGCGATGGATTAACTTGTGTGCTGCCTTATTCGTGTGGCTTTCGTGGAAGTGGTGCAGCCGCCTCCTCCTCCTCCTCCTCCTCCTCAAGGCTTCCAGAAAAGAAAATTCTTGAAACTGAACTGGTAGAAAGGGCTCATGGGAGATTGCATATTGTTTTGAGCAGCATGTGGAGGAGGGGTCTCCCTGTGCCCTTGGGGGGGCTCTTCCACCCAGAAGCACACTTAATGAGGAGGGCACGACTATGGATGCTGTCGATTTGCCTTGTTTTCTTGCACATGGTCTTTCTCTTGTCTCCCTCTGGCAGCCCCTCCCCACTTGTCGGCGGGTCTGGTGGCGACTATAGGAGATTATGGGGGCTGGGGGGGGGGGGGGGGGCAATGCCACCTGCGCCTCTGGCACTGAGCTGGAGTGGAACACGCTAGTTTGCTTTCACGTGGGTGTGGAAAAAGTAGGCGTGCGAGATTCTTCCTTGAACTTGAAACCATAACGGCGTAATTGTGTTGTGCAGCATGTGTGTGAATCTGAAGACAGGGAAGAAGTGGTCGTGTGTGAGTTGTGTGAAGCCAGCGTGGCCAGCTTCAATCAGCACATGAAGAGGAACCACCCCGGCTGTGGGCGCAGTGCAAACCGCCAGGGCTACCGCAGCAACGGCTCCTACGTGGACGGCTGGTTTGGGGGCGAGTGTGGAAGCGGCAACCCTTACTACCTGCTGTGTGGCAGCTGCCGGGAGAAATACCTGGCCCTGCGGAGCAAGAACAAGGCCTCGGCCTCAGACAGGTACCGGAGAGGGTGGGGGCAGCCTGCTCACTCTCCCCTCTGCCCACCCCCCGTTCCCGCCAGCCCCTGCGTGGGCTTCTGGGGGGAGGGAGGGAGGCGGGCTGAGGGTTTTTCCCCCTTCTCCTCGGGGAAGGCTAACATCCGTGACCGGGCTGTCCGAGGCTCCTCCTGCCTGCTGGGTTTCCTTCGCGGCCCAAAGTTGACCGTGTTTTTGAAGTTCAGCAGCCGAACTTGGAAGCTCTTGGGGGCAGCAGCGGGGGGCCTGGACAGGCAAAGGTGGGTAGGGGAACAGCTGGGGAACAGCTCCTTGTACGCGGCCAGCATCAGGAGAGGCGGTGGGGCATGTGAAGGTGACCTGGGTTCTTCCCTTCTCCGGTGCAGGTACAAAGGCCAGGCCCCCGATCTCATAGGCAAGCAGGAGAGCATCTACGAAGGTACTTCTCCTCGCGGTCTTCCTCACGGCGGGAGCGTCGACGTGGGGCCTCCGTGGGAAGGTAAGGCCTAACCACAGCTTGCTTGCCTCACGCTAGAAGACTGGGACATGCTGGATGTCGACGAGGAAGAAAAGCTGACTGGCGAAGAGGAGTTTGAGATGCTGGCTGGACCCCTGGGCTTGAATGACCGGCGCATTGTGCCTGAGCCGGTCCAGTTCCCGGACAGTGACCCCCTGGGAGCCTCGGTGGCCATGGTCACGGCCATCAACAGCATGGAGGAAACGCTGATGCAGATAGGTAAACCGGGCCGGGGGGGAAGGCTGAAGCCTCCGGCTGTCCTTCGGGGCGCCCAGTGCTGAGATCCCGTCCCTGGGGGCAGGAAGCAGAGGCGGTCCTTGTGGGAATGGAGACCTCGCGGGAGGCTGCAAAGGGCGCCCAGCCTTTTCTCCTGAAGACACGATCAGGGAAGCCCTCGGGATTGGATCCAGGCCCTCCTGCCTTCTCCCACACCCGGTGGCTGCTGGGAAGGGAACCCGGGGAAGGAGCCCACGGCAGCCACACACGATTCCTGCCACAGGAGGAGGGCAGGGAGTGGAGGCCCAGCGCTGGCTGGGAAGCGTTGAGCACCCCTCGTACCCCGTGGGGCTTCTTTCTGGGCAGCAGCCGGGTTCCTTCCTCCGGGGACCTCGCTTTCCTCTTCCTCTTTCCAGGTTGCCAAGGCTCTGTGGAGAAAAGCTCTTCGGGGGGCAGGATTACCCTGGGGGAGCAGGCGGCTGCTTTGCTGAACCCCCACGACCGTATCATGGCCTTGAGGCGGGTGACGGCAGCAGCCCAGGTTCTCCTGGCCCGGACGATGGTCATGCGAGCCCTCTCCCTGCTCTCGGTCAGGTGGGGAGGCTCCGCTGGGCTGGGGAGGAGAGGCGGGGCGGGTGGGGGCCCAGGGAGGCCACGGCTCTGACCCTTCCTTCCCTTCCCTTCCCAGCGGGTCCAGCTGCAGCCTCGCAGCAGGGCTGGAGTCCCTGGGCTTGACGGACATCCGCACCTTGGTCCGCCTGATGTGCCTGGCCGCGGCGGGGAGGGCCGGCCTGTCCACAGGCTCCTGCTCCGGGCTGGGCCCTTCCGAGAGGCCGAGAGGCGTCCAGAGCCAGATGACCAAGCCCATCTCCTGCCTGGCCTACCTGAGCACGGCAGTCGGCTGCTTGGCCTCCAACACCCCTGGGGCTGCCAAGCTCCTGGTCCAGCTGTGCACCCAGGTGAGGGGCGTCTGTCTTTCAGCTGATGGGGAGGAGGAACTCGGCTTTGGGGGCTGAAGATCTGACCGGGGGGGCGGGGGGGGGGCGGGGAAGGGGGCAGCTGGAGCACCGGGCAAAACCGTCAGATTCCACCGGTCTTTCATCTCTGAAATCTGCTGCATCTGGTGGTGGGGATTATGACGACTTATTCCTGTCCTAGTCTTGTAAATTCCTGTTATTCGTAATCGGAGCAGACCGGTAAGCTGTACTTTGCTTTAAATGTGATGCTGGATCTGCTTTGATGGGAAAAGTTGTTCCTTTGTCGTGTTGAGCAGCTCAACGGAGTGAGAAGTGGCCTCTTAAAAAGTCCCTGTGGATTGTTGCTTTCATTCCTTGTTTTAGAACTTGATTTCGGCAGCTACCGGGGTCAATTTGACGACAGTGGACGATCCGGTGCAACGGAAGTTCTTGCCGAGTTTCCTGCGGGGAATAGCCGAAGAGAACAAGCTCATCACCTCCCCCAACTTCGTGGTGACCCAGGCCCTGGTGGCCTTGCTGGCCGACAAGGGGGCCAAACTGAGGCCCGGCTACGACAAAGCGGAGATGGAGAAGAAAGGTAGCTGTGCTGGGCGGGGCTGCTGCTCCCTCTCCCGGCGTGGCAGCCCTGTTCGCTCCAAGCAGGGCTCTGTTCCTTCTGCCCTAGGGCCCCTGGAGCTGGCCAACACCCTGGCCGCCTGCTGCCTCTCCTCCAGGCTCTCCTCGCAACACAGGCAGTGGGCCGCTCAGCAGCTGGTGCGCACCCTCGCCGCTCACGACCGCGACAACCAGGGCAGCCTGCAGACCCTGGCAGACGTGGGAGGGGACCTGCGCAAGTGCTCCTCCATCAAGCTGGAGGCTCACCAGAACAGGGTAACGCCCCCCCCACCCCCCGGACGTCTCCAGAGGCCCAGCTCAGCCAGCACCCCGGCAGCCTTCCTCAGCTGCAGGGGGAGGGGGCAAGTGGGGCTTAGCCGGCCGCAATTCCCAGTCAGGGTGGCATTAAGCCCTGGATTTGGTTCTGACCAGGACAGGGCGGAGCCCAAGAGGAGCTGGGGGAGGACTGAAATGTCTCCTCCAGCCGGGTTTTAACCTGGGCTCCAGCATCAGCGGAACAGGAGCCTCTGGCAGAGAAGCCGGCGGCCCTCCGGTCTTGGAGCCCGGCTGAAGCGCCTTTCCTTGCCACAGGTCATGACCTGCATTTGGTGCAACAGGAAGGGCCTCCTGGCCACCAGTGGCAGCGACGGGACCATCCGCGTGTGGAGCGTCACCAAGAAGCAGTACTCGCTGCAGCAGACCTGCGTCTTCAGCAAACTGTAGGCGGCCGGTTGGGCAGAAGGGAGGAGGGGCTTCGCGGGGGAGTCCAGGGCCGAAAGGATCCGAGCTGGGCCAGAGCAAGGGGCTCTCTGGGGTCCCCTGGCTGGAGCCCCGGAGCCAGCGGGCAAGCCGGCCTTGCGAAAGGAGCGGCCTGTGGGGTGCAGGGGACGGAGGAGCCCGGGCTCCTTCCTCAGGGAGGCAGCGGGAATGTGCTGCCCGGAAGGCTTGGCCTCCGCCGGATTAGGGCGGCTTGAGGGAGGAGGGTGGGTTGTTTTTTATGGCTTGGGCGCCAGAGGTTAGTGACACGCCGGATGCTGCCCCCGTGTTGTCTTGCAGCGAAGGAGATGCCGAAGAAAATCTGGGGTCTCCCAGTGACCCCGGTTTCTCTCTCGCCTGCTGGAGTATAAGCGGCAAGTACCTGGCGGGAGCCCTGGAGAAGATGGTGAACATATGGCAGGTCAACGGTACGAGCCACATCAGGCTGAGCATCAGCCATTTTTAGCGGGACAAAGTGAAGCAGAATTCAGTTGTGACGGGCAGTTTTATTGTCTTTTTGTAATGAAATAACCTAGCCTTTCTCATAACGATCGGGTGTTCAGTTCCCCCAATGCTCTTTCGGTTTATTGTTTAGCCAGAATGAGGGAAACCTGAATGAAACCCTAGTTTATTGGGGAGCCAGCATGGGGGAGGTTCCTGCTGGAGGCCCCCTTGGCCTCTCAGAGCTCCTGAGCCACAGTTGGTTCTTCAGGAGCTGCTGGCAAGGAAATGGGGGGGGAAGGGAAACAGAAGGTAACCCCCCCCCCCCGAGTCCCTCCTCCCTCCCGTTCCCTGCAACGCGGCCCTTTTCCATTTGGCCAAGCACTGGCAGTCCAGTCTGGCTCGTGGGCTCCTCCTCCTCCTCCTCTTCCCCTGACAGCACCCTAAACTCAGGCTCTCGGAGCCCTCGCCCTTCGGGGTGAGGAGAGTGGTGGTCCTTGAAGTGCCCATCTGCCTTGTTCCTAGGAGGGAAGGGGCTCCTGGACATCCAGCCCCACTGGGTCTCTGCCCTCACCTGGCCTGAGGAAAGCCCCTCCGCAGCCTGGACAGGAGACGCACCGGAGTTCCTGCTGGTGGGGCGGATGGACGGCTCCCTGGGGCTGATTGAGGTCCTGGACGTTTCCACCATGCGCAGGGTTGAGCTGGAGCATTGCTACAGGAAGGACGGTGGGCACCTGCCAGCTCCTGGGGCCCAAAAGCCTTCGGGCTGGCCCGAGGGGGGGCGGGGGGGGCGAAAGGGAGCGTGCTGGAGCTGATCCCGCTTTCCCAGCACTTCCTTTCTGTGCTGTGAAAGATTTGGGTGACTCGTCCGTCTTTTCCTGCCGGTCTCCAGTGTCGGTGACCTGCCTTGCCTGGTTCAGTGAGGAGAGTCCTTTTGCGGTGGGCTACGCAGATGGGAAGCTGCTGATCGGCACCAGAGAAGCCCGGGAGAGCGGAGGGATCGTCCTGGTGGACGCACACAAGGTACAGCAGGGCCTGCTTGCTTTGGCCTGCCTGGAAGGGTGGAAAGAAGAGGGGTGGGGGAGGGGTCAGTGCCCCAGCTCCGGGGAGAGGGAGGTTTGAGTCTTGTGCTTAAATAAAGGGGAGAGTCTCTGCGCCCTCACGATGGACGGATGCGCCCCTTTCCCTCTCCAGGACACCCTGGTCAGCATGAAGTGGGACCCCACGGGGAAGATCCTCATGACCTGCGCAAAGGAGGAGTCGGTCAAGCTCTGGGGCTCCTCGGGGAGCTGCTGGCGGCACTTGGGCACCCTCCCCCACCAGGCCGTGGTGACTGTCCTGGTCTGGTGCAGCCTCCCAGGGAAAGGCCCCACGCTGCAGCTGCTGCTGGCTACGTGAGTCGGAAGATTTGGCGCCTCTCTTGGCATCTGCAGGCAGGGAATCTGCCCGGGGGGCTTCCAAAATGTTTGGCCGGGCCCAAAAGAGGGTGGATTCCTCAGCTTATAGCCGTTCTTTTAAAGACGGCTGAAAGGCAGGACGGTCTGGAAAAAAGTGACTTATCGCACGTGATCACAATTCGGGTGCTTGGCAACCAGTTTTCATTGACAATGGTTGCTGCGTCTCCTGGTCATGTGATTGCGGTTTGTCTGCTTTTGTATTTTCAGATTTTTTGCTATCTATAAAAAAAGAACCAGTCTCCCCTTTCTGGGCTCCAAGGTTCCTTGTCCCCCGTTTTCAGCCTTTCCCCTCCCTCCCTCCCTCCCAATCCTCTGGTTCCCATTGGCTGCCATCTATGGGGGGGGGGGGGGGAAAGGCTGGGGGGGGCTTAGAGTTCCCAAGACCAGAGTCTCTGCTCGTTGGCTGGGCCTTTGCAGCCCTCGAGGGAGGGGGGGATGCCATGCGACCTGCAAGCACCGCTCGGGCGGGTGCGGGACGGTGGTGCTTCAACGCAGCTTCTCCTCTTGTCTTTTGTTTAGCGGGTGCCAGAATGGCTTGGTTTGTGTTTGGACAGTTCCCCAAGATGAGCTGGCCTCCCTGCAGTCGAGCCCGGGCTGCTCCGAAGTGTGGTGGGACGAACACATCGGCGGGAAGGTGAGGCCCGCAGGTGGGGGCTGTCTCGCTTAGCGGGAAGGCCGCCTCCGGGCTGCGAGGCAGAGATAAGCCGAGGCATTCCAGGCAGCTTTGGAAGCCAGCGGTTCCGCCTCTCGGCAGGGATGAGGGAAACGCCTCCCGTGCAGAGGTGAAGAAAGTGGGCTGGTGCCCATTAGCCGGGCAAACAACCCTGCCCTGAAATATTTGGGCCGTGTACGTGCGCGCGTGCATTTCGGTTCTCTGACGTGCAAAGGCCTGGGATTCTTCTCGCCCTTCCTTTCCAGGAGGCGTTCCGAAAAGCAGCCGAAACCAAGTGTGTTTATCAGCTCAAGGGACACATCACACCTGTGCGGACGTTGACTTTCAGTTCTGACGGACTCGTCCTGGTCTCTGGGGCCCTTGGGGGCCTTATCAATATCTGGTCTCTGCGGGTAAGAGGGGCGGTTTTGGTCCCCCCTCCAGGGGTTAAAAATAACACAAGGTTGCAGGCTCAAGTGGAGCAAATCATCATAGTGTGTGTACAAACCTGGTTCTGGAGTTGGGCAGACCCCGAGTCAGATACGTTGTTACGGTTGATGACTTTTTTGCCCACATACACAAATCCCTGCCCCACATACACAAATCCCTGCGTGTGCGTCATTGTCTTGCTGCTCCTCCCTGTTTAGGATGGGTCCGTCCTGCAGAGCGTGGCGATCGGTTCCGGGGCTATTCAGACCGTGGTTTGGATCCCCGAGGTCGGAGTGGCTGCTTGTTCTAGTAGATCAAAGGTGTGGTTCCTGTCTCTCCCTGCCCTCCCGCTCAGCGGGGCCCAGTGTAGCCGGCGGGATCGGTTTGGAAAGGCGTGATGGTCTTCTCCTCTCCTGATAGGACGTCCTGGTGGTGAATTGCACTTCGGAGTGGGTCTCCTCCAACCACGTCTTAGCCACCTGCAGGAGCGCTTTGAAGCAACAGGGCATTTTTGGCTTGAACATGGCCCCCTGCATGAGGGCTTTCTTGGAACGGCTGCCCATCATGCTCCAAGAACAGTACACCTATGAGAAGGTAGGAAGGCCAGCAGGGAGGGGGCTGGTGCGTGACCTGCGCAGAGACCATGTCAGAGAGGTTGGTCTTGGTCTCGGCCCGGTTCTGGGCTTCCGTTGGCGCCTCCCGCGTTCCCAGAATAGGTCCGAGGATTGCGCTGCACGAGGGCGTTGCTTGGATATATTTGTGTTGGGCAGCACGTTGCACAGCTCTTTGCTGCCCCAATTTCCCTTGGAAGGCGCACCTGGCTCTGTCCCAGCGTCATCCCCGCCCTGTTTGGCTGACGGAGCTCATTCTCCCGGACGTCGTGGCCTCTTAGCCTTCATGCCCGGGAGGGTCAGGAGGGATGGCCTTGGGGTAACCCTTCCTCCTCCTCTCCCTCTTAGCCTTACGTGGTGTGTGGAGACCAGCTGGTCCACAGCCCCTACATGCAGTGCCTGGCTTCCCTCGCCGTGGGGCTGCGTCTGGACCGGCTCTTGTGCAGCCCACCGGTCCCCCCGCATCACCAGGCCTGCCTGCCCGACCCCTCCGCCTGGAACCCCGCCGAGTGGGCCTGGCTGGAGTGCTTCTCCACCACCGTCAAGGCTGCGGAAGCGCTGGCCAAGGGAGACGCCTTCCCAGAGTCCTTCACTGTCCCAGACCTGGAACCGGTGCCGGAAGGAGAACTGGCCCTCCTCATGGTAACAGTGCCCTGCGCGGCCTCTGGGTGGGCCTGGCCCAGCGGAGCTGCTGGTTCTGCGGAAGAGAGAGGGACCTTCTGAGGGCCGCCTCTTGCCGCTGCAGGGGAAGGGGCCGGCGGGGGGCTCCCGACTCGGCAGGCGCAGCTCCTTGCCTCGCCTGAAACCGCAAAAGTTGGGGTGTCCTCATTGCGGAAGTTGCTCTGGGCATCTTTTCAAGGAAGCAGCCGCAGATGGCAGAGCTCCCGGCGCGGCCGTAAGGCACGGACTGTGTATTTTGCAGGACAACGGAAAATGGATCAACGGCCTGGATGAGCAGATCATGTCCTGGGCAACGTCACGGCCGGAGGTCAGTGCCAGGGGTGGTGGGCTGGGAAGAGCCCCCAAGAGGCCCCACGTCTAAACCTCTCTGTTCCCCCTCAGGACTGGCACCTTGGGGGGAAATGTGACGTGTGCCTCTGGGGAGCCGGAAGGCACGGGCAGCTGGCAGAGGCCGGAAGGAACGTCCTGGTGCCCGTCTTGGCCCCCTCCTTCTCACAAGCCCAGCAGGTAACCACCAGGAGCCTTCAGACCCTTCTGACACCCCCACCCCCCACCCCCAGGTTCTCCCGGAGAGAGCAGAGCCGGCCACACGAGGTGGGCGGATTCCCGCAAGTCTGGGGGCCTTGAGGGCAGCCGGGGAAGAGAGAGACTTTGGCTGCCATAAGACAGGAGTCTCCGCCTTTCTTTCCCCAGGTTATTTGTGGCCAGAACTGCACATTTGTGATTCAAGCGAATGGGACGGTTTTGGCCTGCGGGGAAGGGAGCTACGGCCGGCTGGGACAAGGCAATTCTGATGACCTTCACGTGCTCACCGTCATTTCAGCCTTGCAGGGTACGTGCTGTACTTCGGCACGGGAGATTTGCCCAGCGCCCCATATTCGGCCAGGTGGCCGCCTTCTGTTTATTTGTGAAGGGCGCCATGCCCAACACGGGGCTCCAGGCTGTTTCCGGAGCCCAAGGGAGAGTCCAGGGTGCTCCCAGAGTCCCTCCTGGGCCAGAGCCTCTTCGGGGGGGGGGGGGGGGGCAGGGCCTGGCTGAGGTTGGCCAGAGGGCAGCCTGGTCCGGCTGGAGAGGAGCCCGGAAGGGGCCCCACACAGCCTCAGGGTTTCCAGGGGAGGAGTCGGGGAGCGAGGTTGGGCCTTTGGGTGGAAGGAGGTATTCATCTGGTCTTCGTTCTTCCACTCGTGTGAAGGTTTTGTTGTCACCCAGCTGGTGACCTCTTGTGGTTCAGATGGACACTCCATGGCTTTGACGGAGAGTGGGGAAGTTTTCAGCTGGGGAGACGGCGATTACGGCAAACTGGGACATGGGAACAGCGACCGGCAACGCCGGCCGAGGCAGATCGAAGCGTTGCAAGGAGAAGAAGTGGTCCAGGTACAGCGAAGGGCTCCAAGACTGGATCCCTCGTTGACTCGGTGGGGTCTTGGCCAGAATTGGGGGCTCTGAATTCGGGCCGGGGGTTAAAAGCCCCAAATTGCAGCTGGCTGGAAAGAGAAGCCCCACGAAGGTGCTCAGGGGGTTCTGTTTCTTCCAGATGTCCTGTGGCTTTAAGCATTCGGCTGTGGTGACCGCAGACGGCAAACTCTTCACCTTTGGGAACGGCGACTATGGGCGGCTGGGCTTAGGCAACACCTCCAACAAGAAGCTTCCCGAGAGGGTGACGGCGCTGGAGGGCTACCAGATTGGAGAGGTCCGACTTCCAGGCTAAAATCTCGCTCTTTGGAAATGTACCAGGGGAAGCGGGACTTCCATGCCTGCCTCAAGAGCTTCGCCCCCCCCTCCCCCCCCAGCTGGCGGGCGAGTGAGTCCCCTGCGGGTTGGGGCTCTGGGGTTTGAGACCCCTAGGCAGAACCCCTCCCTCCTTCCCTCCCTCCCTCTCAACGTAGGTGGCCTGTGGACTCAATCACACCATCGTCGTGTCTACCGACGGTTCCATGGTTTGGGCTTTTGGGGACGGAGACTACGGGAAGTTGGGCCTGGGAAACTCAACGGCCAAGTCCTCCCCGCAGGTGAGTCCCTGCAGCCGCAGCAGAAGCAGCAGCCGCAGCACCTCCTGCCCTTCCCAGTCACCTGGCAGGTGTGCTCAGAGATGGGCTTCCGCGAGTGACGTCTCTTCCCGGGAGGGGAGCCTGGGCGGCCTTGGAAGCCCCCCGAGCCCCCCCCTCCCCGCTCGCTTTCTGGAGGGCTAGTCCAAAGGGGGGGGTGAGGGCAGCGGGGGGGGGGGGGTTTATAGTGCAGCACCCCTGAATTGTTCACCAGGGAAGCACCAACATGGAGTTTGTGCCAAGGAGGCCAATTATCCGTGTGCAAATCGCTCTGCCTCGCCAGCAGTGTGGCCTCCGAATAGAAATAAGAATTAAAAGCAAATTAATGCTATTTAAAGGCTCTGAATGTGGTCTCTGAGGCTACCCGTTCCTGTTCCTTTTTTTTTTTTAATGTTTCCTTTCTCTCTCTCTCTCTCTCTCTCACACACACACACAGAAAGTAGATATTCTTTGTGGCATAGGAATCAGAAAAGTTGCCTGTGGCACCCAGTTTTCGGTGGCTTTGACGAAGGACGGGCACGTCTACACTTTTGGGCAAGGTGAGTGGCAGCCTTTGGGTGCCGGAGGAGATTTCGCGGGAAGCAGGCCGGAGTGGCTCCTGGGACCCTCCAGTGCTTCGGGCGGCACCGTCAAGGCTCTCCCTCATTCCAGACCGGCTGATCGGCCTGCCGGAAGGACGAGCCCGAAACCACAATCGGCCCCAGCAAGTCCCGGCCCTGTCGGGGGTTTTTGTGGAGGACATTGCTGTGGGCGCAGAGCACACGCTGGCGCTCTCCTCAGCCGGAGACGTCTACGCCTGGGGCAGCAACTCGGAAGGCCAGGTGTGCAGCCCGCGAAGGGGACGCGGGGATGCGTGGTGGGAGGGTGCGGTCGGGCCGAGCCCGCCCTGGCTGAGCCCTTCCTTCTCCGCCTCTAGCTGGGGTTGGGCCACACCAACCACATCCGGGAGCCCACCCTCATCACCTCCCTGCAAGGGAAGAACATCCGGCAGATCTCAGCGGGGCGATGCCACAGCGCAGCCTGGACCGCCCCGCCTGCCCCCCCTCGAGCGCCAGGTACAGGAGGGCTGGGGGGAGGGGCTCTTTTGCCCGCTGGGGGGCAGCCACCCCTCCGCCGGGACACGCCTTGGGCCGCCTTCAGGGGGAAGGGGCTCCACCCCAGCCGCCAGTGGCTCTCCCCTGCATTCCCACCTGTTTTTCAGCAGCCTCCCCTCCCCCAAGAGCAGGGGCCTTTCTGGGGGGTGGGGGTCGGGGGCTGACGGCCTCTTCCTCCCTGCAGGGGTGTCGGTGCCGCTGCAGCTGGGCTTGCCGGACGCCGTTCCACCCCAGTACGGGGCCCTGAAGGAAGTGAGCATCCAGACCGTCCGGGCCAGGTTGCGGCTGCTCTACCACTTCTCCGACCTCATGTACTCCTCGTGGAGGTTGCTGAACCTCAGTCCCAACAGCCAGGTGAGGAGGCCGCGGCCTCTCCCCCCACCCCACCCCCAATGCACACACACACACCTCCAGGGAGACCCGCCCAGAGGTGTGCCAGCCTCACTGACGCAGCTGGCCTCTCTCCACCGGCACCGGGCGCCAGCCTTGGCAGCTCCCCTGTGTGGGGAGGCACCCTCTGACCCGGCGGCTGCCTTCCCGGGGGGACCTCGGGAGGGTGGGCCCCGGACCTCAGCCACCCCGAAGGGCCAGGGCCAGACGGGGAAAGGGGTCTTTGGGAGGGTCTGGAAGGGGAGAGAGGAGGGTCAGCCTGGCCCGGCCACGGGCTGCTGGGCCTGGGAGTGGAGGAAAAGGGTTGCTCTCCGAAGAAGCCGGAAGGGCGACTCCTTTTCTGGCCCCAGCCGGGGGCGGGGGGGAGGCTGGCCTTGGAGCCCCTCCCCTTCAGCCCTCCGAGCGGCTCCCTCCTGGCTGAAGCCCTGGCCCTCCCTCCTGCTACAGAGCAGCACCTCTCACTACAACGCCGGCACTTGGGGCATCGTCCAGGGGCAGCTGAGGCCGCTGCTGGCGCCCCGAGTCTACACGCTGCCCATGGTGCGCTCCATTGGGAAGACGATGGTCCAGGGGAAGAACTACGGCCCCCAGATCACGGTCAAGAGGATATCCACCAGGTCAGCCCCGGGGGCCGGGGAAGGGGGGCTGGCAGGCGCGGTGGGCAGGAGCGGCTCTGGGAAGCCGACCTCTCCTCCTCCTCCTCTTCCCCCCAAGGGGCCGGAAGTGCAAGCCCATCCTGGTGCAGATCGCCAGGCAGGTGGTGAAGCTGAACGCCTCCGACCTGCGGCTGCCCTCCCGGGCCTGGAAGGTGAAGCTGGTGGGGGAAGGTGCGGACGATGCCGGGGGAGTCTTCGACGACACCATCACGGAAATGTGCCAGGTGTGGAGGGGTTCCAGGGCGCTGGCTGGCATCGCTTCCCTTTCAGGCGGCTCCTCTTACCGCCTGGGCCCCGAAAAGGGAGCGAGGGCCTGGCTAGACATCAGGCACGTTGCCCCTCCTCCCTTCCCCCTCCCCCCTCTGCCCCTCCAGGTCAGAATGGAGGGGGAGGGCCACATCTTTGCAATCCCCGGTTAAAATTCTGGAGTAGGATACAGCCTAAAATAAGACATCTTGGACCTGAGGAGTGGTCTGTGGTCACCACCTGCAGAACCACACCTTTATCGGGGGTGTCTTGCTACCTGCCTCTGCTTTCCACCTGTTGTCTAGTCCATTTGCACAAGAGCAGGTGAAATGGATCGCCAGTCGGTGTGGCTACCTAAGTGGACGGTTTGATTTCACAGAAGTGGGATTGACCTGGAGTTCCGTTGTGTCGTTTAAGTGCTCCCTTTATTTTTTTGAGCCGTGTAGTAAGTAGGCCTGTTGTTTTGGCCTAGACCAGAGTATGTCGAGCGATGCCCATGGCTGGTCCTTGAGCTGCTCCCCCACACGGGGACCTTCACCAGTGGGCAGTGCCAGCCGGGGGAAGAGGATGCAAGAGATTGGCTGAGGTTTCAGTAGCTGCTAGGGGTCCTCGGCCGGGTCCCTAAAGGCAGGTGGGTGGTTGGGAGGCTGGAAAGAGGCCATTTCCTCACCCAGAAAACCCTCCCCACCCCCTTTAATTCACAAGGAGCTTGAAACGGGAATTGTGGACCTGCTGATTCCTTCCCCGAACGCAACAGCCGAAGTTGGCTACAACAGGGATCGGTAAGTGAGCCGCATCCCTTCCGACGGACACGCGGGGCTTCTGACCAGTGCCAGGCAGGAGGGAGACTTAGAGGGGGACCTATGTTTGTGTTTCTCTGGGCCAGGAGTGGACAGGTTGGTCCAGAGCCATTTGCCACACACACCCCCAGCCGCTCCCCCTCCCCGCCTTTCTGTCTGCCCGCCGGCTGCAGAGCCCAGGGGAAGCGGCCCGGCCGGTCCGTCTCCTGGCTCTTCCTTGGGGGGTGGGCTTTGCCTTGGCTCTGTGCACTGGAAGCTTCTGCCTGGCCGTAGTGCTTGGTGGCCCCCCCCCCCCCGGGGATCCCGCCTCGGGCGGAGTCTTGGGGCCGCTTGTGGGCCAATAGCAGCCTTGCGTCTTGCCAGGTTCCTCTTGAACCCCTCGGCCTGCCTGGATGAGCACCTGGTGCAGTTCAAGTTCCTGGGCATCCTGATGGGCGTGGCCATCCGCACCAAGAAGCCCCTGGACCTCCACCTGGCCCCGCTGGTCTGGAAGCAGCTCTCCTGCATCCCGCTCAGCCTGGAGGACCTGGAGGAGGTGGACCTGCTCTACGTGCAGACCCTGAATAGCATTCTTCACATTGAAGACAGCGGCATCACCGAGGAGAACTTCCACGAGGTGAGTGGGGGGCCCCCCCTTGCAGGCGCCTCGGGGGCCCCGGGCCCAGCCACAGCCACCGCCCTCCTGACCCAGCAAGGACGGTCGGCGGCTCTTGCCGCTTCCAACTCCTTGGAGGTCGGCAGAAGGGGCTTTTCCTAGGGATTGGGGGGCCGCTTTGCCAGGTGGGACCCCAGGAACCCGCTTGATTTCTCTCCCGTTAGATGATTCCTCTAGATTCCTTCATTGGCCAGAGTGCTGATGGCAAAATGGTGCCCATCATCCCCGGTGGGAACAGCATCCCCCTCACCTTCTCAAACCGGAAGGAATACGTGGAAAGAGCCATCGAGTACCGGCTGCACGAAATGGATCGCCAGGTAACCGTCCAGCCCGCCGGTCAATGGGCTGAAGCTCCGAGGTGCCCCTGGCCGGGTCCACTTTGCCCTGGCACTGCGCAACGGGGGTCACCCTTTTCAGCGCCATGGAAGGAACGCAGTTCATAGGCTCCACCCCTGAGGTGGGACCCTTTGCCCGGGCTGCCCGCTTGTCCCCCATGGTGGTTTGTTCCTGCCTTGCAGGTGGCTGCCGTGCGGGAAGGGATGTCTTGGATTGTGCCGGTGCCTCTGCTGTCCCTGCTGACAGCCAAGCAGCTGGAGCAGATGGTCTGCGGGATGCCCGAGATCTCGGTGGACGTGCTGAAGAAGGTGGTGCGCTACCGCGAGGTGGACGAGCAGCACCAGCTGGTCCAGTGGTTCTGGCACACGCTGGAAGAGTTCTCCAACGAGGAGCGGGTCCTCTTCATGAGGTTTGTGTCCGGAAGGTCTCGCCTGCCAGCCAACACGGCGGATATTTCTCAGCGGTTCCAAATCATGAAGGTCGATAGGGTAAGATGGCGCTTCTCCCCCTCGCGGTTGCTCAGCTGGCTGAAACAAGGGGGGCCCTTAGTCCGTTCAGCAAAGGGGCTAGAGGAGAATTGCCAAGGCCTGAACACCTGCTCCACCCACCCACCGGGGATGGCGGGATCTCAGAGGGAGACGCTGAGCCAGTTGGTTAAAGCGGGAACCCCGAGCTTAGCCAAAGGCCCGCCAGCATTCCCTGCCCACCTTGTGGGGGGTCTGTTGATAAGTGAGGTCCCCCCTGCTGGCCTAACCTGCCCCCCCTTCTCCCCCCCTCTCTCCCCGCCAGCCTTATGACAGCTTGCCTACCTCACAGACTTGCTTCTTTCAACTGCGTCTCCCACCCTACTCCAGTCAGCTCGTCATGGCGGAGCGGTTACGCTATGCAATCAACAATTGCAGGTCGATCGATATGGACAATTATATGCTGTCCCGAAACGTGGACAATGCCGAGGGCTCCGACACGGACTATTAACTGTGGACAAAAATCCTCTCTTTCTCTCTCTCTTTCTCTCTCTCTCTCAAAGAATGCCCACACCGGATTTCAGTGCTGACATGGTTTTACGGTAAAGATAGATGTTTGGCCACCTTTTTAGTTACTCTAAATGTAACAAAATTTAGATGTGTTTATTTTTTGTGACTGTAAGCAGAAAATGCAAAAAAAGTGAGATCAGTAAAGTTTTCCCCTTTCCCCCCTCCCTCTTTTTTTTTGTTCACTTTTGATAAGTTTGCATGGGGCCCTTCGGGTGCACTTTGTGGGGAACGGAGCCTCGTTTCCCTTCCCAGTGAATCTGAAGAGCTGTACATTGTGTATAATTGTTCATTAGAAAGGACAGTTTTACATGAATCTTCATATATTTATTTTTGTTTTAATTTGAAATGCCTGTGCAGGGTTCCTTATTCAAATAAAGCAGATTCAAGAAAGAAAGAGTAGTTCTTTTTATTTAAGGCTCTCTGGTGATTATCCTTTTGGTGTGCTTTTATTTTTCTTGTTTTTATAAATTTCTACATTTCTGATTTTGCCGTGTTTCGGCTTTGCTCACAATTGCCCAAATGAAACTGAGGGAGGGAGGGAGGGACGAAGGAAGATGGTTTTATGTGCAATAAATAATTTAGAGAACTTTACACACACGGAAAAACTAAGAGAGGCAAGTCGATACAGTCGGTATGAGTTGAGAGATACAATGCTTAGATTTAAGTTGTGTCAAAAATCTAGCACGTTCAACTAAAGAAGAACCCGAGAAAGGAAGGATGGTTTGTACAAATATTGTCCACTGATTGGGAAGTTCCATGTCACAAAATAATCCCTGCTACTTTGAGAAATGGAACAGCACAGGGGTTCATCAAGTGGTCCACTAATAGAACAGCCTAAATTTTTGTTAGAAAACAGCCACTTTGCCACTTCCACAGTAGGGTTGAGTAGGGTAACTTCCAGGACCCATTTCACATCTCTCTTGCAACGCACGCGGCACCTCAGAGCAGACTCCAACCGCGAGCGTGGCCGCTTGCTTGGCTAATGCCACAGCGTTCTCTTCAAGCCTCTTTCCAAGGCCCAGCCCCCCGGCCGCTTGTCCGGAATCATGTTTGCACTTCTTTCCGCACTGAGCGTCAGGGACGGGCGCATCTTCTGAACTCGCTGCACCCCAGCAGCTGTTATGTTTCTGCAAAAGTCCACCTGCAGAGTTTTGAGGGAGTCTGCATGCAGAGCAGCTGCTTCCAGGGTCTGGTCAGTGATCAGGACGCAGTTTTCCAACTGGAGGGTCTGGAGGCCGGGGCAGCTTTTGAGAAGCAGCACAATGGAGTCGTCTGTCACGTGGCCACATCCAGAAAGCTTCAGCGACAGCAAGCTGGGGCACCTGGAATTGGGAGCGTGGAGGGTTAGAGGGGGCGGCGTGGATTGGGACTGAGCGCCACATCCCTGCAGCCTCTGCCTTCACCCTGACTTCAGGTAAATTCACAGGCCCGGGCACGACGGCTTGTAAGAATTGGTCTGAATGCTGCAAAGCAAAAGGTGGCCGGGCCTGACTTGAGAGGGACGGTGAAGCCTGAACGGGGGAATATCTATCTATCTATCTATCTATCTATCTATCTATCTATCTATCTATCTATCTATCTATCTATCTATCTATCTATCTATCATCTATCTATCCATCTATCATCTATCTATCTATCATCTATCTATCTATTTATCATCTATCAATCTATCTATCTATCATCTATCTATCATCTTCTATCTCTTCTATCTTCAGCATCTCACAAGCTTTTCAGTGTTAGCAAGAATTATAATGGTTGCATTGACTTTGGAGCAAATTTTAAACTAAGCAGAAAAAGACAGACTGGCAGACCTGCTTCCTGTTTCGCTCCTCCTGGAGTAATTCCTCCCACTCCAGGCTATCAAGGATCTTTAGTTACATCTAAAGACTAAACCATAAAACAAGCTAAGCGGTTGTGTTGATGTTAACTCACTGCATAAAGTAGTTTTCAATGCAACAGGATTACAATTTTATTTTTTGATTCATGGTGTCTATTGTCCCCGATACTTGTATCGTGCTTAGTTTAATGCTAGTGGTCAGCTTTAAAAATAAAATCGTTGAAATGTTGAAAAATTCACAATTGTTACGATGCTTATAAACTCCTTTTGATAGAAAATAAGATCTCATTCCTGCCCCTGCCCAGGATGAATACAAGCGTCACAAAGATTGAGAGCTTCAGTATTAACTGTACGGGAGGGTTTTGTGGTCCTTTTGTTCAGACCAGTGAGAGTTAAACATTAAGTTCCCAAAACGAGGGAGCAGCAGGAGAAGGGGATAAAAATCACGTGTCTCCAGCCAGGGGACTAAGAGCCTCGGCGGAAAATACGCTTGGAATGCCTGAGCACGAAGCAGGAGTTGGTGGCACAAAATGCAAAGCGATTATGACACACACAACAAGCTGGTTTGAAAACCGAAATGTCTGATTTTACGCTTTCAACAATCCCTGGGGAGCGAAGCATTGGGGACTTTCCTGGGGCACGGAAGTAGCTAAAGGTGCGTTTGTGTGTAAACAAAACCGCTTTTTCCTCATTTCGTGGGGGGGGGGGGGGGGGGGGGAAATCCAAAGCCCTCCCCACAAGGAGGGCATAATGTAGGCTACACCCGCCTAGCAAGCAGTATTTCTTTCTTACCTGTTGGAAACCTGGAGTAGAAACTCATCCACGAGGTGCTTGTGTAGGCTGCAGATGCTCCTCTGAAGCTCGTTCTTCATCCAACCCTCCACGTTACACACCTTGACCTGGCTGGAATGCCAACAGATGGAGAGGTGGCGCAAGGCTGGTCCCAGGACAAAGTTGTCCTTGGTCAGTTCGGCCAGAGAGCGGAAGTGGAGCAGAGGCCACAGCGACGGGTCCTGGAAGACCCGCAGCAGCCTGCGGCACGTCTGGCCCAAACTCTTCCTGCTGTCTTTGTCCAGGAAGGAGAAGAGGTGCAGGAGGCACTCCCAGTTCAGCTCCGTCAAACGCATCGCCCCGGGCTGTCTGGGGAGCCAAGGCAGCGGGCGCAGCGCGAAGGGCGCTGGGCTTAATCAGCTTCCAAGGGCTCCGGTTCCCTTGCACAAATATGGTGTGGAATGGAAGTTATTTTTGGCTGCCAGCTGGGAGAGAGGTTTCCAAAAAGGACAAGGCGCCAGCCTCCCTTGCCTCTCCCTGCCGAGGCAGCCGCACGGCCTCATTTCAGCCAGCCTGGGCTCAGAAGGGCCACTTGGGAATTTAGACCCAGGTTGGCGACTTCTAGGGAGGACCTGTTGCCTTCAGCTCAGGTCAACGGGCCTCGCCCAGAACCCGATCGGCAGGAACAGGAAAAGGGCCCAAGGTTGGCGTGGCTTCTCTCGACAAGAAGCGGGAGTTGACCGCTGCAGCCGGACTTAGGGGGCACAAGGCATGGGACAGAGGAGGGAGAGCCCCTGGGGCCCTCGGTCGGTCGCCAGACCTGCCTGGGACTGCAGAAAAGGCCTCCTGGCGAGCCCCCTTTGGCGCCCGCCTCTCCCCCATTCCTTGCGGCTGAGCTACCCACAGCCGAGCGGGCGCTCTTTGCAATCCTGGGTGGGGGCAGCGGGGCCTGCATTTCCTTTCCTGGGTGGTTGGGGAGGGGGACGGTCCGGCTGTCAGCCTCCTGACCCCTTAACCCTAAAGCAGCCCAAACACCCAGCCAGGAAGCCGTGAAAGAGGGAAGGGCCAAGCCTGCCAACTGTGCCAAGGTAGCTCAGTTCCGACCTCCAACCAAGCAGCCAGGCCCCATTTCCCAGCTCCCCCCCACCCCACCCTTCCCCCAGCCCAGAGAAGACAAGACTTCAGAGAGAACGTGGAGAGGAATATATTTTGGGAGTTTCAACCATGGTCAAGATCACCAACAAATGCGCTGAAGACAACCACTCACCAAATGTATACATGAAACTTCAATGGCCAACAAAGAGACCCCCCCCACCCCAGGCTGCACATGAGCCCGAGAACGCAACACACACGGGAACCACAGAGAGAACGCAGACGGAGCACAACGGCGGCCTCGCCCTGCTCCTCTACGGGGCCTTCCGGGGGCCCCAACCTTGAGGGGGGCGCTTTTGCAATGCCAACCTCCAGCAGAAGCAGGAGACAGGAGGGCCCCAGGGAGGAGGCAGGAGGCGCTCGGGCGACGGCAGCCCCGGTGGGCAGGGAGGGGGAGGCCGTCTGCCTAGTTCTGCCAAGGACCCCTGCAGGGACCGCACAGCTGGCGTGGCCCAGAAAAAGTCCCCAGCCCACAAGAAGGGGGGGGGGTCTCAAAGAGGGGCAAAACCCAATACTGTTTCAGGCTTCAACTCAGAGCAAAATCCGGCCCATCAACAAACCGCCACCAGGAAGAGAAATCCGCCGTGTTGCCACAAGGCGCAGATTCGCCTGTCCGTTGGCAAAGCCAGGGAGGGGTCAAAGGAAGAACGGAGGGGGCAAGGGCCATCGACGCTGCCGAGGCCGGCACCTCAGCCAGGCCTTCTGCCCTTGAGGGGTGCAGCTCCTGACGGGGAGGGGCTCAGGAGAGCCGAGTGCGAGTTTTAAGCGCTGGGCTAACCTGAAGGAGAAAACCCGGCCTCCCTACAGCCGCCTCCTCCAGCAGGGCCACCCATCCCAGTCGGGGAAGCGGCTCAGCTCACACCTGTGGGCATCGGAGGGGGCAGAGGAGGCCCCGGGGGCAAGCTAAGCCGCTTCCCTGACTGGCGGTAAGAGAGCGCCCCCTGGTGGGAAGACACCTGCATTCCGGCCAAAGAAAAACTCGGCAAAAGGGTCCAACGGATTGCAACGATACACAACATGGGAATGTGAGGTCACAACCGACTCACAGAAAGGAATCCAGCTTGCACACTGTGAATCTGGGCTTCCTTTTCTCCTGGACCACTTAATTCTCTTTATACCTGCGGGGGGAGTTCCGACAGCTCGTCCGTGATTCTGCTGCTCCGGCTCCATCAGCCCTGGACCTGCCTCTCGGGCCCTGGACTTTTATGCCAGGGGAGAGCGGGGGGGGGGGCAAGGGGGGGGCATGTTCAACTACTGGCATATTCCACCTCATGCCCACAATGTCCCTTTCGGGCTCTCCTCCTCCTCCTCTTCCCTCCTCAAGGAATCCTGCAGAATTCACGTTGGGCTGACTGGAACAAATGCAGCCAGGGACCTTCCTTCTTCCCCTCAGGGAAAAGCAGCCCTAAAATAGCCTCTTCCACTCAGGTGCCGTAAGAAAAGCGCAGCCTGGAAAGTCACCCCCCTGGCTGCTCTTCCAAAGAGGCCCAAGAGGGCCGGTTCTGGGAGGGGAGCGAAGGCCGCTCTGCCTCTCGTCTTCTTCCAAACGGCCTCAGAGAGTCTAAACGCTGCGCTAGCAAAATGAGTAGCCGATCCTGAATTCTGATTTTTGGTACCTTAATTGCAGCAGAATAGTAATTTTCCATATACAAAGTAAAAAGGATTCTTTAAAAAAGAGTTTCTATTACAAACAACGCAGCCATCTACTGAAGTACAACCTAACGGACTAAAAAAACAGCCTTCGGAGAAACAAAAATAGCAGCAGTTACGTGGCCTGTTTAATGCCGCCCCGTTGAGTCCCCTAACGGAAGACGGGAGGTCCCAAAGTCCGTGCCTGCATCCCGTTTGGGCCGGGGGGGGTGAGGGGGTCGAGTCCTTGATCCAGGGAGGCCCGTGGAGGCCGTGGCTGGCATTTCCTAACAGCAGCCAGACTCGCGCTCCTCAAAAGCATTCAAGTTTCCCTCGTGGAAATGTGCCTTTAGAAAGCAAACCAGAACATGGAGACAGAAAGTCAAACATAAAAGTCGCTCTTCAACTACGTATAAAATTTGAGTTCAAGCAGCCCATCAGTCAGTATCTGCTGAGGTTTTGCCTTTTTTTCTGGCGTAACTAACCACCAAGTTAGCTTGTGTCCATTTTTTAATAAATCAGGTGCTACTACCGACAATGTAATAAAACTAGAACCCACAAAAAAATCTTTTTTTAAAAAAGTGCACAATGAAATCAAGAGTCTCGGATCAAGTATCTGTGGAGAACTGGGAATCTTTTGTCCATTGGGCCGGATAGGCACAGGGCAGAGAGCGGCCTCAGAGTTTCTCGGCTCCAGACTTAGCTTGCCGGTCAACGTAGAAGAGGATGTAGGCCTTGGCTTTCGAGACGGTCTCCTCCTCCGTCAGCGTCACCGTGCTGTCGTTGAAATGGAACCAGCGCCCTTCGTGAGTCGCGTACGCCGTGTAATGCCCAGAACCGACCCTGAAAATGCCAGCACCCAAAAGGTGAAAGGGAGGCCCCCCTGGACGGAGTCCGGAGCAAGCGGGCGGCTGGAGGGAAACGGCTGCTCGCTTCGGCCTCTTCACAGTGCCGGCCATCCCAGGTGGCCCCTTGTGCCAAGCCCCCCCCCCCCGGTCATCAAGCCTCCCACCGGTTGAACCCCACCAGTTTATTGCCACCTGTTCACAGAAACGGCCACCCTGGGAAGGGAGGGAAGGCCACAAGGAAAGCCACGCCAGTTCGCAGGTGCCCTGCGAGGCCTTAGGAGCTCCCCCCCTCAGCCGCCCCCCCCCTGCCACTCAAGGAGCTGCCCTTTGCCCACCTGCCCGCCATGTCTCAAGGCCTGCCAGGTTTTCAGCAGCCCAGCCCCCAAGCCAGGTCCTTCCAAGCACTCACCCTGACCCATGGTGCACAACCACTGCCGCGAGGTCATAGAGGCAACTGTCTGGGCCGCTGTTTTCCGGCTGCACACGGGGGGGGGGGGGGGGGGAAGCCCAAGAAAGTGAGTGCCCTGCAGCCTCGGCCGGTCCGCTTCCCTCCTCCCCGCAGCCGCGGGTGCCATACCTCCAGCAAGTAGCACTTCATGTCCAGGCCGCGCAGAGGGAACTCAACAAAGGTGTCCACCTTGTTCCGCAGGTAGGCCGTCCAGTGAAAGCGTTTCAGGTGCAGGCACAGCACCTGGGCAGTAAAGGGACACACAGCTGACAAGAAGCCCCTTTAAGGGCTGCATTGGTCAACACCCTAAAATTAAAGCCGCTTTGGCAGCAGCTCCGGGCACAAGAGCGCAGATTAACGTTGTTTCTGGGAGAAAGTAAAACCATTTCACAATAACAGCAATTAATTTAATATATTTCTGTACCCCTTCCTATTAAATCTCAAAGCAGCACGCAAAAACTCACAGACACACACCAACAAAAAGAACCGGGGTGAATGTCCTTCAGGTGCCAAGATGTTCACCTACAGGTTTGATAAGACCCCACACAGAAGCTCCAAGTCCCTCCGCAACCTCCCCTAGAAGACGTTACCGAGCACCTGCAGGTTCCCTTCGTCTACAAAAAAAATTCCCCACAATATTCATCAAGTGGAGCTCACGTTGGGCAGCTTCTGCATCCAGAACTTCTTGGTGGACTTCTGTTTCTTCTTGCATTTGTGACACATGTAGAGCTCCGAGTCGTCAAGTTCTTCCAGGTCGGTGAAGCTGCGGAGACAATCTAGAGACACCAAGAGAGCCGGTGAGTCTCTGCCGCGTGGCTCTTCGGGGGGGGGGGGGGGTGTCGGGGAGACCGGAGAGCCGCCTTCTAAGAACCTACCCCGCAACGTGCAGATTGGTCCGTTCTCTTGGCTCTTGTTACGCTTATTCCGGAACTGGCTTGGAATATCTAGGGAGAGGTCTAAAAAAGTGGAGGCCTCGTGAAACGTCTAGAAAAGATTCTCGGGGGACCAGAGTTACAGCGGGGAAGTTTCCTTGGGTACTTCAAAGCCGGGCTGGATATTTTTGAACCCTTTACCTAGGAATGGATCGAACTTTCTGGATTCAGTTCCACATATCAAGCAGTTGACTTCGTTCTGGAGGACGCCTCCGAAGATGGTGGTGACAACGGTGGAAGCGCCATTGCTGAAGGGAAGGCGGGAGAGGCCCGTCAGGACAGCAGCCTCCTCCCGGTGCCTCCTGCCCCGAAGCTCTAAGCCTCCCGCTGCTCTTCGGGCCCTTCGCCCTTGTGCGAGGCAGCTCCCAGGGAGAGTCCGCCCCCCTCCTCCTCCTCAGCCAGGCCGACCGGCCAAGGTGCCCCCCATCAGCGAGGGCCCTCCGTTGCGGGAGACCAGCCCAAGCGGGAGACTTACACGCAGCATCTACTGCCGGCCGTGAGGGCGGGCTTCTCTTGGAGAAGGGCTGGGTGAGCAGCACCGTTGAAGCCTTCCTGCAGTTCCAGGTGGAGGTGGTCCAAGAGGTAGCGCATGAACTCGTGGGCGTCTTGCTGCTGGTATCCCCTTAACAGAAACAAACCCAGGAATCGCTAGGCAGGAAGGCCCCGGCCCTGGGCGAGGAAGCTTCTGGAAGCCTCAGGCCGCCTGGAGGGCTTCTAAAGCCCCTCTGGGGAAGTTCTTGGCTATTCAAGG